CATTCCCATCCAAAACTTTGTCCTAACCATATCCCTACCCCTAAAACTAACCCAAACCATAAGTTATCTCAAAATCAGAGGGAAATTATACAGTAGGTGAATAAAACTGATATAGAAGCACCTAACTCTAATTGTAAGCCTAAACTTGGCATAAACTGTAAACGTTTTCCTCAAATCTGACTGGTTGATTGAAAAGTCGTTCCAGGTCAGGATCAACAAAGACGTTGATCCAGGAGCTTGTTGTGCTTTCACCAAACCACATTACATATGGTAAACATGGAAGCTCATGCATGCATCAAACCTACATGTTTTAGATCTTCTAAGTTTTGATTACCTGGAATTTAAATGAAGGGACAGAAAACTCTCAGGTTTCATTAAAATATAAAATTTGGGTTTCGAATGGGTTTGGAATGATATGAGGATGAGTTTTTGGCTTAACTATCCCTTTAAATATTTTTTGCTCTTCATATAGGCTATTTTTAAAGGGTGTTTAGAGATTTTTACTAGATAACATGACTAAAAATTAGAAAATGTGTAAATGTTTTTTAGATTTTGTAATGCTGTATGCAAAAACATACGCACAACCGGCACATCCGGGAACTTAACTGTCAATTTTGTCCCCGCCCCCTTTTGGGGGAAAACAAACTAGACTCCCCATAGACTTCAATACAAAATAACGGCAAAAACCAACGTCCGTACACAGCCGACAGGCGTAAATAACTTAAGAAATCACTTATATAAAACATGTCATGTAATTATATGTCCACCCTGCCTGCCATAGAGCGTGAAAGATAACATTTTTTATGCCCGTAATCAACTAGCCCAGGCTACCTGCCATCATCATCATAAATTCATAATATATACATTAAGGTTTTTTACTTTAAAAAACGAAATAAAATCATTCAGGGGCTTACCTGGTGACTCGATGAGGATAAATAATAAATGTCAAATAAACATTTATTATATTAATAAATGAATGTTACAAATAAATGTCCGGGTAAGACACCTCTGGCCACTGGGTGGGGTTGTTACACCAATTTGACGCTGGGAGAATAAAGGGACGTGTTTTTAAATTGGCCAAATTAAGTTTGTGTATGTATCTTTCACACTCTATGGCTGGTAGGGTGGACATATAATTACATGACATGTTTTATATAAGTGATTTCTTAAGTTATTTACGCCTATCGGCTGTGTACGGACGTTGTTTTTTGCTGTTATTCTGTATTGAAGTCTATGGGGAGTCTAGTTTGTTTTCCCCCAAAAGTGGGCGTGAACCTATTCAGAGACATTCTATGACGCAGCGCTGGTTGTGCGTATCCCTCTGTAATTGCATAAAAAGAAATTTAACAAAAATGTCAACTTCAGTTATCTTAGATTCCCTGCTTTTAAACCCCCACCATACAGCTTTGTTCTAGGGATAACTAAATGCTATATATTTCCCATAAGAATTCTCCCTATGTAGATCAAAATCGTAGTTTAGTATCAAAACATTTTTTGCTTAAATATTAAAAAAGGTCATATTTGTGTCTCTGATATTGTTCATTTCTTTGTCTTCCTCTGCAGGCGGAGCTGCAGCATTGATAAAGCTCCATGCTCGCAACGTCACGCTGTACTTCTTTCCCATAGAAGAGACATTAATCGATCAGAGTCTCTGCGTTTTGACGCTTTGGACAAAACACAACGCATCTTCCGACCCTCTGACCTAATATATGGCGAAGTTTTGGGAAAAGGCTGTTTTGGACAAGCCATAAAGGTAAAGCAATGAGTCTGGCTGAGCTGACAAATACATTTAAGGTCACAAACTATTACCAAATCATTGCTTCCTTTGGGTTGTCAGGTGACACATTTGGAAACAGGTGAGGTCATGGTGATTAAGGAACTTCTTCAGTTTGATGATGAGACTCAGAAGACGTTCCTGAAAGAGGTTTGTTGTAGTTTTTACTTTCTCAGACACCTAAACAACAAATGTATTGTTTTCTAATAAAAACTTTGGCTCCAGGTCAAAGTAATGAGATGCCTGGAACATCCTAATGTCTTAAAATTCATCGGCATTCTCTACAAAGACAAACGGCTAAACCTGATCTCTGAATATGTGCAAGGAGGAACACTGAGGGACACCATCCAGAAGATGGTTTGATCTGAATCTTTCTTTGCATGAAGTCCATATATTACATGGCAAAAAGCATTTTCTTGAGGTTCTGAGTGAGTAAACTCATTTATGTGTCATAATTTAGGACTTGAATCACCCTTGGAAACTTAGAGTGAGCTATGCCAAGGACATTGCCGCTGGAATGGTACGTAATGAAGAGCAACGAGTGTTAGAGATCAAACATTGAGTGAATGTACAATCAGTGCATTACTATCCAACAATGCATGAAAAGAAATCTTACAGTGGCATTACTTCTATCTTGCGCCCTATGCGTTATTTCTTTAATGTGAAGACACTGGAAATACAAATGTGAAGCTAAAGTTTAGTTAGCATCCAAATATGAAAGCTGTTTTTCTATATATATATATATATATATATATATATATATATAATGTATCTGTCTATACATTCATTTGTTCTCTCTGTCCGATACAGGCTTACCTACATTCAATGAATATCATTCATCGGGATCTAAACTCGCACAACTGCTTTGTTCGAGAGGTCAGAATACATGTCAATACTCATAAACTAGGAGCATGTCTTTAAACAAACTGAATTGTGTGACAGTACTAGTTTTCCTCACAGAACCAGACAGTGGTTGTTGCCGACTTTGGTTTGGCCCAGCTTGTAAAGGAAGAGAAGTCCTCTCCTGGACTAATGTCCAAATTGAACAAGCTTGGTCGTAAAAAGCGGTATACGGTGGTGGGGAACCCCTACTGGATGGCACCAGAAATGATCCAAGGTAATTAATCAGGTATCAAAGTAATAAGATTGACAGGGTAGAAATTACACCATTTAAGGGGATAGTTCACATTTTTTGTATGTTTTAGCTTACCTCAAGGGCATTCAAGATGTAGGTGTCTTTGTTTCCGCAGTAGTTTCAATTTTTATATTTTTAGGTCAAACCGTTCTTGTCTGTCAGTCATATAATGGAGGTCTATGGTCACCGCCTCAAAGAGCATGCACAGAGAAGTCCAAATTGAACATAATTTAATGACTCGTAAATGTAAGCACACATTGATGGCCTAAGACATGAAACGAGCGGTTTGTGTGAGAAAACAAATAGTATTTATAACGTTTTTAACTCTTGTAACCACAGCCACGTCCAAGTGATCTTGTGATCAAGTTCGTTTTCTCACACAAGTCGCTCGTTTCGTGTCTTAGGCCATCAATGTGTACTTACATTTATGAGTCATTAAATCATGTTCAATTTGGACTTCTCTGTGCATGCTCTTTGAGGTGGTGACCATAGACCTCCATTATATGACTGACAGACAAGAACGGTTTGACCTAAAAATATAAAAATTGAAACTACTGCGGAAACAAAGACACCTACACCTTGAATGCCCTTGAGGTAAGCTAAAACATAGCAAAATTAATTTCAAAGTGAACTATCCCTTTAAGTGCGACTTTTTATGTAGGCCTACATAATAATAGTATTTCTTACCTGCAGGAAAAGTCTACGATGAACACGTTGACATTTTCTCATTCGGGATTGTGCTTTGTGAGGTAGACTTATATGTTTCCCTACTTGTTGTCATCATTTTGATTTTAAAAAATAGGCCTAAAAATGTATGTATATTCCCCATCACAGATTATCGGAAGAGTATATGCCGATCCGGACGACCTCCCTCGTACGCAGGAGTTTGGATTGAATGTGAATGAATTCTTGGAGCGCTTTTGTTTAAAACATTGTCCAAAAGCTTTCTTTCCCATTGCAGTTCTGTGCTGTGCCTTGGAGGCTGAAAAACGGTGATTGTCAGTTACTAATCTACATAACCCTACTACAAACTAATTTACTTGCTGAAACGTGGCATTTTCTTTGTATTCTTTTCTATAGTCCCATTTTTGCCAAATTAGAGGAGTGGCTGGAGAACCTGCATATGCACATGGAGATGAGAGTTCCTCTGATGTCGGAACTGGATAAGATCCGCCAAGCATTTTGGGAGAAACACAGCCAGCCAAAACAAACTTATGAGATTCGTTCTAAACAGACTGACAACTCAGCGTTAGGCCGAAGCTGAGACTTGGCATCCTTATATAGCAGACAACAGTATTTTCATGGAATGATTTTCAAATTCTCAGACTGTTATTTACAGTGACCGGCAAATATGAATGCCATTACATGCTTCTCTCAGTGAATTCACCTTTTATGAGCCTTTTTTTTTTGCAATGCCTTTTACTCGTTTTGTCTTAAGTTTAAAGAGAATATCTATTTTATCATTTAAAACGTATTTTTGTGAAATGTTTTGTTTGAAAAGTATTTGTGGTATAATAATTAATTAGAATAAATGTCATTTGATATTATGTTTTCTCGTGTAATGCAAAGACATTCATACATTTTAAAGTATCCCTGTAGTCAATCATCAATCAGTAGATCACCAAAATGGAGATCCATTCGTTGACGATGATTACAAGGTAGCTTGTTTGTGATGTCAGAAACATTAGCGATTTCAAGCTGCGTTTTTGAGACTGTCTTTAGTTCACTGCACATTTAAGGAGAAAATACTCCGCAATGGTGCTAACGTATGAGTTTATACATGGTTTGTCTAAAAGCATATAAAACATCACATAGACTGATAGCCAAACAATAGTAAAACCTGGATTTTTACCACAGGGGGACTTTAAGTCTCCAAATACATATTGGGGTCACTGCATGTTTTACAAGCTATTGGTTGTACAATCTGCTACAATAATTTGATCTCAGACACAAAGGTGCTATACAGTATTATACATTTAAGATTAGCACAAGGATATTTAGTGGATCTGCAATCTAAATTGTCTTTTTGTTTATGTTTCTACGTACGATTGTACATCTCATATATATATATATATATATATATATATATATATATATATATCCATTTATGTAACTATGCCGAATTGTGTTACGTGTCAGAAACTGTGAAACTCCACGACGGAACGAATAAATATCATGTTTTCATTCGATTTTATTCATTTGAGTCGGCGGTTTAACGGTTTATTTCGGTCACCGAAACAGATGCTCCTTTACAAGTAGGAAATAATACAATTATTTCATAAATTTACAATGTTTTGAACTGTACCGTTAATTCGTAACGAGTTGAGTTGTTTGGTTGACGGGATACTACAATTAACATGGTTTTGCTAATTGCTAACTTACACCAACCATAACGTTAGTTTAACCCAGGTTTAACCGTGGTAACTTATTTGTTCGATACATATAATAAGCAATCGCCACAAAAACATGGTTACTACACTTTTTCTATAGCCTATTTTTTTTTTTTTTTTTACTGCCTTCACGTGCTATCGGAAATTTCCTACTTCCCACTTCTGAAGTCCTGATTTCGAGTTCTTCGCAAGTTCGCGTTAAAATTTGACTTGAGACGAGAGGACGTTTAGCTATGTTCAATTATCTTAAATCAGGAAGCTAAATTACGTTAGTTTACAATAATTCCGATAGCACGCGAAGACGTATGAACTTGAAGGGAAAAGAGGTTAGCTATAATTGTAATCACTGCATCTATCATATAATTATCACCACAAATATAAAAACAGTAAAGTCTAACAGCGTCTATCATAAATTCAGTGTCTATTAAACGTCCAGACGGTTTACAGATTAACGACATCAACCTTCAAGGTTTGTAAATGTTTATGTTTCGAATAAATCTTCTTTAATCTTAACGTTACTGCAAATTGCTGTTGTTAGAGCATAAACACATGCTATATAGTTAGTGTTCTCAAGGAGATTATTAATAATATTTAAGATTATTATTGTGTCTATTTCCTATGCCACATCATCTTACCATGAATATCTGCCTTAGTTGGGGAGGTATCATACTATTGCATAAAAACGATTTAGGAACAAGTACATCAGTGTAAGCTGTCAATCACCACATTCAATCGATCTGCCTTTCTGCTAGTTTTCCCTAGCGCTGGATGAGTCTGGAATGAGTCTCCTCAGGGATCCTGACACTTCTCTACTTGACTCCACTCAAGCTGAGGACAAAGATAAACGTACCCTTTCATCCGACACATTCTACTCATGCTCATCTTCTCATGAACAAAAGACTCTTCCCATTGATGACAAATCGCCTCTTAGACACAAGAGTCCACAGGGCCACTTTGACCCGTATGACTCCTCTGAGGTATGGCCAAAGTGTCTTATTTTATCAAAAATACAGTTAAAAAAAAAACAGTAATATTGTGAAATAATATTACACTTTTAAAAAAATACGGATTATTTTGTATTGTCCCTCCCAGGAATATGTTGGCGTTGTGACACTGCCGAACCAAGTCCGACAGAAAGCAGTGAAAACAGGATTTGTGTTCAATCTGATGGTTGTTGGTAAGCAAAACGCAAACTATACTGGTTTTGAAAAAAGTCTCTTATGCTCACCAAGGCTGCATTTATTTGATCAAAAATACAGTAAGAAGAAAAGGTAATATCCTGAGTAATATTACTGTTGAAATGTTTGTAAAACGTTTTTTTTTCAGGATTCTTTAGAAAGTTTAAAATAATTTATTTTGATTTTTTCGTAACAATGTAAAATTCTTGACAGTCAATGAACTGAATTTGAACGTTTTATGAACTAATTTTTTTATATTAAAATAAATAAATTTATGTTCAGGTGAGTCTGGCTTAGGCAAATCCACTCTTGTCAACAGCCTTTTCCTCACAAACCTCTATACGGACAGATGCGTGCCTGATGTTTCAGGTACACTTAACATTACTCAACAATTGTATTCATTCTACTTATGAAAGCACTACTGAATTAATTAAAGACAAGGCATCCAAAATTCATGCAGAGAGGATCTGTTGTGAAATGCATCCATTTATGTCTCACAGAGAAGATAGCTCGGACAGTGTCAATAACAAAGAGCACCGTAGACATTGTTGAAGATGGAGTAAATCTAAGGCTCACTGTTATCGACACCCCTGGTTTTGGAGATGCCATTAATAATAATGAAAGGTACTTAAGTTGCACTCAGTCATTTTTTGTTTATGTTGCACTTGTTGATATTGAACTTATACAACATCTAGAGGTGTAGAAGCATCATGCAACACCAAAGTTGTGAAAATGTCCAGTAATAGAGGGTTTCTTGCAGTGTTGGGGAAAGATACTTTTAAAAATAATGCATTACAATATTGCGTTACTACTCATTAAAAAAAAGTAACTAATTGTGTTACTTAGTTATTTTTTACTTTTTGCTTAGTTACTTTTTTGTGTTACCTTTTCTCATCTGGCATTGGCTTGTCTGTTTAATTTTTTAGTTACCAAAAAAAGTTCTATTTTTGGCAAATGTAAAGAACTTTTCACACCAAATGTGTAATGAAGAATTCATGCTGCGTTTACACCGGACACGAATAGCGCGTCAAATTCGCGTCTACCACGTCTAGTTTGACGCTTGACCACTTTGTGTAAAGGCCAATTTATACTTCTGCGTCGAGGGTACGCCGTAGTGTACGGCGTTGGCTATGCACGTAGGCGTCGCCGTTGTGAGCATTTATACTTCTGCGTTCAGGTCTTGGTTGCTCTGCAGTACTGCTCCGAAACGCTAGTTGGCGGCGGAGGGTTTTAATGTTCCACTGTGTTTAGATTCCTCGCGGCTAGGTTACTATGGTTACTACAAGCAATAGCAACTGAAAGAGAGCGGATCATGTTGGAGCTTATTGAGGTGGAAAAACAGTTAATTTTAGTGAAATTACTAAAACTGAAAGGCAGAAATGAGAGAAGACGTCGGAGGACATGGTACGTGCGGAAATGCGTAGGAGGAAATACGATGCTACCAAGCCGACCAATCAAGGATCTTGCGGTCCGCGTCGTCGCGACGTGTAGTTACATTTTTGAGGAGGTGCGCGTCAGGCTACGGCGAAGAGTACCTACTGCGCGCACCCTACACAGAAGTATAAATTGGCCTTTAATTCGCGCGTCAAACGTGAACGTGACGCGTGCAAAAACAAAAGTTTGAAGCGAAATTTACGTGCGTCACACACGTCAGAATCGAAATCTGTTGGTGGCCATTTTTTATGTCGACCGAGCATTCATCGAGAGAGTCACCGCTCTGTATTTGATCATATTACAAAATAATTTATTGAAGCGTCCAGATTTTTCACCACATGAGCAAGCAGCAGGCTCCTGATTGGTTAACGCGGCACGAATTTGACGCCAAAGTTCAGATTTTTCAACTCGGTGGCAGGCGCGACTTCGTGTCAAACGCGTGAATGCACAAACAGCACTAACTAAATCATTTGCGCGTAATGCGCCAGACGCTCAATTAACGCCGTTCATGCGAAATTGATGCGCGAATGAGGCGTATTTGCGTCTACTGCGCCTCACTCTACACCTCATTCGCGCCCCGCAGGAATTTTGGTACTTTCCTGTTATCCGGACCCCACCATATACCATTCCGGAACTATAGTCATCCCTGATTGGTCTTAACCCCAGTGATGGGTAGGTTTAGGGGCGGGGTTAGGGGTAGGCCATCTTCCCTGATTGGTCTTAACCCCAGTGATGGGTAGGTTTAGGGGCGGGGTTAGGGGTAGGCCATCTTCCCTGATTGGTCTTAACCCCAGTGATGGGTAGGTTTAGGGGCGGGGTAAGGGGTAGGCCATCTTCCCTGATTGGTCTTAACCCCAGTGATGGGTAGGTTTAGGGGCGGGGTTAGGGGTAGGCCATCGTGGGGTCCGAATAACGGGAAAGTAGCGGAATTTTTTTATAATTCTTTAAAAAAATATGAGTGAAGCTCGACTAAACTTAGATAGCTCTAGTGAATATCAAATTGTAGGGATTTAGTGTGAGTTTTTCATGATGCACGAAACGGGAGGGAGGGGCGAACTAACTTGGTTTGTTTGGGATATCGCTTCAAAAACAAACAGAAGTGACATCACCCACAATCGCTGATACAACCTTTAACAGGATTTAGTACACATTCCCAAGGTATTTATTTAGACGTTGGTTTTGGTTACAGCTGGAAGGCTGCAGTTCATTATGTAGACCAGCAGATGGAGATGTACCGCAGAGATGAGATTGGGCTGAACCGTAAAAACATAAGAGACAACAGAGTGCACTGCTGCTTGTACTTCATCTCACCTCATGGCCATGGGTAAGACATCTTCTCAACACAGATTTTTAAAATCTCAGGATTTCAATAACCATACACATATAGACTGAAGTGAGTTAACAGATGTCATTTGGGCTGTCTCAGTCTCAAACCAATAGATGTGAGCTTCATGAAGGCCCTGGATCAGAAGGTCAACATTGTGCCTGTGCTGGCTAAAGCAGACAGTCTCACTCCAAAAGAGACAGACAACATAAAAGCCAAGGTGAGAATTAACATGTACTGGAAATCTGGGAAAGCCTACATGGTTTCAAGAACATGACTTCAAATCTCAACAACTACCACCACCAGATCTGCAATCTGTAATGTTTTGCATTTGTTTCCATAGATTTTGACAGAAATTGACCGATACAAAATCAAGATCTTCCAGGTCCCAGATTGTGATCATAATAATGATCCGTTCAGGCTGAAGGATCTAGAGGTAAAGGTCAGCACTACAGGTCATTATATTATTTTCTTTTGGAAATTAGTCACAGATTTTGCTTTTTAAAATAAGTTTTCTTTCCCTGTGAAAAAGAAGGGCTCACAAAAAAAAAAAAAAAAAAAAAAGAGTTCTTATTATGAAAATAACATATTTTAAAAAAATCACACTTAAGTGTGAACTGAATGTAATGTTTTCCGACACATAATTGCAGGTTACATGCAATTAAAACAAGATATATTATAGTTTCAATGTGTATTAAGTCCAAACTTTGAGCTACTTAACTATAGGACTGAAGTCCATCATTATTTGTAATTACATAATTCTATTGTTTTTGAAATATGGTGAAATGTCATTTTAAACACAAGCATTTATAGTAAACTAAAATGTACATTAATGTCATTTCTATTAAAACTTCTGTCATGCATTTAAATATATTTTTTATTACACATTTGTAATGATGAAGTTACAATTTAATACATTTAAAATATCTCTCCATTAAATGTAATATAGAATAATACACGACAGTCCTTTAATGTGTTACTCTTAGAAAGTGTCAACACTTTATATTGACTGTGTGTCATGAAAGTGTACTCTCTTTAGTCATTTCATTAGTATTATATTATCTGCAAGTACAGTTTTTAAAAATTTTTACTTTTAAGATTTGACATTCAATACAAGTAAGGGTAGTTTTTCACAAGGGTTAAGCTTGTTGGCTTTTGTTATTTTTTATAACAGCTCTTCAATGTTTCCATGTCTTCTTATAGAGAAGTATTCCCTTTGCTGTTATTGGGAGTAATGCAGTAGTAGAGAGAGATGGCAGAAGAGTTCGAGCCCGTGCCTATCCATGGGGGATTGTAGAGGGTATGTTCACTCGCACCACCAGATGTTACGTTTATAGTATACTTGAGGTAACATTTAAGATAAGTGGAATAGATCACTCAAAAATAGAAATTATTTAATTGTGTCATGTTTAATCATGTTCTTTCCAATCTGTATTAAATGTTTGGAAGAAACTCTTTTTTTTAGTTCTTTTCACCATATAAAGGGCCCAATTTTTTATGTTCAAAAATCTTGGAAAATAGCAGAGAGGTTGTATATGGTGTGTAACACTCTCTCCAACAGTTGAGAATCCATCTCACAGTGATTTTGTGCATCTGAGGAACATGTTGATCCGCACAAACATGCAGGACCTGAAACACACCACTCACTATGTGTTGTATGAGAACTATCGTATAAATTGCCTGTGCAAGGACCCGTGCTTGGTAAATAAAAAAATAAAAAAACAAAATTGTATATCCTTTAGGACTGAGAGAATTTCATAAGTTTTTTTAGTAATATTAACTCTCTTTTTTCACTAATAGGAGAATTTTTAAGGATTTGCCAGCTGGATTACAGAAGAGGACAGCATGCATCTCATGGAAACCCCTAGATGGAAGAGGCAATTAATTACTTTGTAAAATATACAAAAAAAATATATATATATATATTATTAAAAATTAAACTTAATTTTTATTTAAATGTTGAAAGGAGGAGTACTGTAGCAATTATTCTGCTAATGTAATAGGAATTGACAATTAATATTCATTAATAAAATTAATATTAACACAAAATAAAACCTTTGCCATTACTCTGTCGAATGTCTGAGCTCTTTAAATTGCTTTGAGGTGTTTGAATTTTTTTGCATATCTAAGCTCAATGAATAGATCTGGGGTAAGGCACACACACAAAAATTAACTAGGCCTATGTATTTATAATCTGCATCTTTTTACTGCTTTTACCTTTAAATTGTGGTGGGTCGAAAAACACTAACAATACTTTACAGTGAAAAGCACATATTGTCTTGTTGATTTTATTATTTTGCTCTAAATTACCTACCTATATGGTAGCCTAATTCATAGGCCTTGTATTTTATTAAAAAAATTACATAAATTGTCAAATTATTAAACTTAAGATGTTTAACTTGCTAATCGAGTTTAAAAAAATAAAAAGATTTTTTTATTTGCCAGAAAGTTTTGTTCATCAAAATTTCATTTAAACTGCTGTACATTTACAATTTTTTTATTCGCAATGGCTACTAAAAGAAAACATGTATTTTATAGCAATTATTTCAGTTGAACACATTTATTGCTTAGTGTAGTTGTTTCAGTTTTTCACTGGTATTTATATTCTTATATTTTAAACTCAATTTAATTCTTAGTATATATTTGTTTTAATTCTATTCAGCGATTTTTTTTAATTATTATTATTATTAATGCCATGAACCAGAACAATACAATGAGACTTAATAATTCAAAGTAAAACAAAAACAATGTAAAGTAAAGTAAAATAAAAGGAACAGTGCCAAAAAATGGTGCTACTTTATACAACATCATACTTGCTTACAATAATTGCCTTTTTACTTGTGCAATTACACAAAAGAGAACAATAAATCTTAAAATCATTTTTAAAGCAAGAAACGTTTGGTTTGGAGTCAGACCATATCATTTTATGAATGTGAAACTTCCTCCTCAATGTTAACAACTGTATAAAGTATGCCTTATCTTTCTCAATAATCTTTCTTCCACAATAATCCAAAATATTTTTGGATGCATCATACAATGGAAAAATAAATGAAAAATTGTTTGCTTTTCACCTTTACACAAATTACAAGAGTAATCATGACGCAACGCATCTTCAAGCTGGCGTCGGCACGCAGTCGACCAATCAAAGCGCGACGTTTATAAGCGCGACGCAAATGAAACGCTCCTTCACGCGACGCAACGCACAGCTCTCACTGATTTAAACGTGCTGGTTTGTGTGTGCTGTAACTTTGCTTTCCTCCGTATATCCTGAACATTTAGCGTCAGGAAAGTTACGTTAACTTAATTGCGGAGATTTTTCTGTGACGTTACTAATCTCCACAGATAAAATCCGCACAGACGATTTTTTTTACTTAGATAAACATCAACGGCATTGATAAGTGGATGTAAACTGGTCTGGTGAAGTGAAATGGAGCACCTGTCGTCGACCACCAACCGATTCGTGAATGCGATGTACAGACAACGCGGTAAGGGCTTTTAAAAATAAAATCAATTTTTTTTTCTAAATTACGGATATGCAAATGTAGGTCAGAAACGCATCTGACTGATTTGGAACTTTAATATCTTCTCTTTCTTTTTGTTTACACACTTTCATTGGCTCCAGATCCTGAGGTATGGATGCATAACTACTCATTTATGAAAGATATGTTGTTATAGTTGTAGGAAAACAGTCAAACTGTGCCTGCAGCCACGACCCCCACTTCTCTAGCATCTTACTGGAGATCAGGGCATTAGTGTGAGGTATTAATGTGTCTGGAGTGGACTAATGAACAGTGACAGGCTGCTGGATGAATGCAGGTCACGTTGTTTGCATTAGAGACTGAGTGACTTCCTGTGTTCAAGCTTTGTTTATTTGTGACGAATCCTGTAAATTAATATTTTAATTGTATCTGTAGAAGTACAGTAAAACGTGTTATGGGGGATACTGTAAATTATATCTAACCTTAAATTTAATGTAATTTTACAGTAAATTAAAATTGGAGCGCGACAGCCCCAGTTCACATTCACTTTAACTATGTGAAATTAAGAAGCGGTACATTATTTTTTTGTGTTTCATGAATAGGTTAGAACAACATGATCATGTTAATTGTATAATTAAATGCCACTTATTATTTTCTCTTATAATGCTTCCAATACACTTAAATATAATTAAAGTAAATGGGGACTGGATATGTCAAGCTCTGAAATAAGAAAAATAACATTTAAATTATAAAACAAAATAAATAATGCCAAATAGGATTATCTCTATGTTTCTCACACAGATGCCTTTAATTTATTATTTTCTGTCATTTATTTATTTGGCATTGGATATGTGGCTATAGATGGTTAATTAGAATTACAATTTCATACAAGAACATAATACTATTCACAATTTAGTATGAAAAGACTTGCAATAATGAGGCCCAATTACAATTCATTACGCAAGTATTACAACACTGCCATAATTGTTAATATATACTTTAAGCATTCGATGGAATATTTTCCATTTTTAATCTTACGTTTCATAATTCGTGAAAATCAAAATAGATTGCACTCCTAAAACTGAAGATTCAATACTACTTTTAAATGCATGTTATCAGCTTTCCACAACCCATGCTGTGACCCTTTACCTCGGAAGAGGGATGTTGCAGCTGGGAATGACGTCACACCCGAGTTTAGCACGTTGGTCAGAAAACTAACATGGATGCAAACCTGCTTTTTCAGAATACAAACTTTATTTTGAACAGTCTACAAATAGAGGTTGGGATAGTATGTGCACCACTGAGTTTAACACAGACAAACAGAAGTATATTACTGCTTTTCCACTATGGATGTTGCGCTGAGCATCCATATTGGATTCTGAAGTCGGGGTTGTTGAACGTCCCCTGAGTTTCCCATTCCACTTAAAAGTTCCTACTGGGAACTAGGAATCTCCCACTTCCAAGGACAAATGGAATGCACCATTAGGTCCAAGCTGATTATTTAGAGTTGATCTAAACTGAAACTATGAAGTCATTTGTGTCCTATATCTGCAGTTGTCTAGTTTAGCCATAGGAGACTGTGAGGACTCTGAACTGGCCTATACCATGAGAGACCTGCCCCCTAGAGCCGGTCAAACTTTCCCTGGAAGTGAGATGCCCATGACGAACAGGGAGCCCGACGGCAGCACCCACCCTCACACCCCGGGGACGCCCACTTTCACACGACCCCTGAGCAGAAGTCTTGAGCCGGAGTTAGTTCGCCGTGGCCAGCTCAGCTCCATGAGCTCTCTGGATTCTCCCATGAGCCCCTCTCGCGCCAAAAGTCCTTGGGGCAGATTTGACCCCTATGACTCTGCTGAGGTAATGTTGACTTGCGTTTTTAAATCCATGTTTACTTATTTTGAAATCACATCACTATCGGAGATTTTTCTCTTTTTATAGGATCAAGATAAGGAATATGTTGGCTTTGCGACGCTGCCTAACCAAGTGCACAGGAAATCTGTGAAAAAGGGGTTCGCCTTTACTCTTATGGTGGCAGGTGAGGTCATCAGATGTCAAATTAAAAGTTATATTTGATGTCCTATAATTAATTATTATCCTTTTGATCCTTCCAGGGGAGTCAGGTTTAGGGAAATCTACACTCGTCAACAGCCTCTTCCTCACAGACCTTTACAAAGACAGGAAGATGCTCAATGCTGAAGGTAAGAGACAGTGTTATCGTTAACTAAAGCTAAAACTAGAAAAAAACATTTGCATTACTTCCCTGAAATAAAATAAAATATAAACACTTAAAGGCAACAGTTCTCATTTTTATTTAGTTTACATTGAAGTGCTAAAATAATAGTAATAGAAGTGCTAAAATAATAGTATAATACAATTAGATAAATGACAAAAACACAACAATGTCAAACCTTACTTAAATTAAAAATTTAAACTCGAATTAAAAACTAAAGTAAACTAAAAACTAAAGTAGTATATCAATGATTAGTTTGAGCAATATTCTTTTGTAAAACAACATTTGTTATATTTATAAGCATTATGTTATTTATTATTTATTATGTTCACACACATGACCAGTAGATACTGTGTGTGAGAAAAGGGCTTATGACTTGGCACAGTTAATTCAGGTTATAATGTCATATGATATACCCACCAAAAATAGTAATATTGTTTGATTTGATTTACCTTGAACAATACATTTCAAGAAGTTTTGAAAAATATGTGTACACTCGCATGCATTCAAGGTGTACGGAAAATGCGTTATTATTTTTACTTGATGGTCGTTTTCTAAAATTTTTCTTGAAAATAGTATAAGTGTTTTTTTTAAGCCATATGAAAATAAAGACGGGTGCACACTGCGATTTTGGCCACGATTTGGCTGTCTGAGACAAATTTTGCAAATCCTAAAAGATTCCTCTGATCATAGGCTAAAATTTAAAGTATTTGTTCATATTTACAGACAGCCGATTAATGACCGTTGCAATCAAGTTTTTGATTGCAAATTAAATTCCAGCACGAGAATGAATTTCGTTGGCTCTTGCTGAAGCTCATACCTGCTGCGTAACACAAGAATGAACCTCATTGGTTCCTGTGCGAAAGTATTACAGGTTTGGAACTACATGAGGGTGAGAAATTAATGACTGTCGTGTTTAATATTTTTCATTGACCCATTTGCAGAGCGGATCTCGCAGACAGTGGAGATCACAAAACACACTGTGCCTATAGAGGAGAAAGGCGTCAAGCTGAGACTCACCATCGTGGATACGCCAGGATTCGGTGACGCTGTCAACAACACAGAGTGGTGGGATTGCATTATTATTAGTTAGTGACAGGAGTCATTTCTCAGAATAAATGTTTACTGTGTCATATTGCCTCTCAGTTACTCAAAGTTTTTGTGACTTTGGTGATATCTAATACATTTGCTCATTTAATGTTCATTGTAATAGCTGGAGGGCCGTTGAGGACTACATTGACCAGCAGTTTGAGCAGTATTTTCGTGACGAAAGCGGCCTCAACCGTAAGAACATTCAGGACAACCGTGTGCACTGCTGCCTCTACTTCATCTCACCTTTTGGCCACGGGTAACACTCCCTGACAAAAACAAGTGGAAGTGCTTGATATTCACAAGTAGTGATCGATAGTTTGACCACGAGTGTGAAAGATGTGTTGGCCAAGAGATTGAAAGTTTTTTAAAGAGTGTGCATGTGCAAATGTGCTTCACACTAGCATAGTATACGTATAGACCATTTCACAAGATGTAAACAACACTGGTCCAGAAGCACTTCCTGTTTCAGTTTTTTAAAGGGTAACTAAACCCCTGGTCAGAGCCTGACTCCACCCACTAGCAATATTTGAAAAATGCTGAAAAAATGGGCAGACCCCAGCGGGGCTAGGGGGCGTGCACCTGAGACCCGCCGTGAGTGACAGCTGCTGTCAGACTCTAAAATAGAGCGAGACTAGTCTGGAGTGACTCAATAGCTGCCTTTGCAACAGAGCGGCCATTTGAAGTCGAGGACTTTTCTCCCTCACCTTCACCTTCACCTGAAGTGGATGAGGGTGAATTGTATGTATACACAGGGCCAAATCCATTCGAGCTGCTGGCTCAAACTGCGGTCTTAACTCCCGCATCGCGACCGGCATCTGATGACTTATGTCGTCGAGTTGATCTCAATAGCGCACGCTATTGATATTATGCCGCTATATGAAAAAATCCAGCAAAATGCACCGGCTCGTTTGTCGACCCTAGAGGATTAACTTTATCCTAACCATAAATTGTGATTAAAATATCCATGATCACTCACATCAAGACGCCGCTGCGGTGGAGGAGTCCATGCAGGACGAGCAGTGTTTGGCACTGCGTGTGGAGAAGCCCATGTCCACCTCTATTCCGTTACTATCCTGATCACTGTACTAAACACTGATAAATCTATGCTAACTTGAAGCTATCCTAACTGTACTATGCTACTAGCTACACAAAATAATCTAAATTATCTATATAATGCTATGCTAAATAGATGCAACAATACTCTATCCTGGTCGTTTTCAAAAATAATCTAAATAACTATATAAATGCTATGCTAACTAGATGCTATTATATGCTATAGTATCCTGATCGTTTTCAATACTCATAAATCCAACTCCTGACTCGCTACAGTAGTTTTGACGGAACCAGATGCTTTTATACCAGGGGCTGCCAAGGGCGTGGTGAGCTCGCACCAAGGGTGTGACAGAGTGCGTCTGAGAGTTCGCTACGTCAGCAAGTACCCCTACTGCAGGAGCTTTCCGTTTAACCTGAAGAGGGCAGCACTCAGACGTTTTTACACCATATATTTGAAAATCAAAACACTTTATACTCAATTGTCAAAAAATGTACTCGAATCAATGAACAGCATTTATGAAGCTCCATTCTTACAGATCATTAACTAAAAAAAGTTGTTTTGGTGTTTAGTTACCCTTTAACGCTACTTAAAAGCTGGGATAAAATACAAGCAACAGAACATTTAAAACTGAATCAAAAAGTTAAACAAACATCTTTAAGATGTTTTCTTTACATGTGAAATAAAGAAAACAGTTACAAACTGAAACAGGAAGTGCTTCTGGACCAGTGTTGTTTACATCTTGTGAAATGGTCTATACATTCTCTATTTCTTTGGAGGCGTTTACAAGACACCGTTTTCTAAACTAAACCCCGGAAACTTTTTCTGCGTTTTGGCGTTTCATTTACACTAGAATGTTGATTTGAGGGCCTGAAAGGCACACTTTTGAAAACAGAAAAGTGCTGAAACCGATACCATTATCTTCTCTGTGTAAACTACAAAAAGGCAAATTTATGAAAACCGTGACCTCACGCGCATGCGTATTAAGTGTTCAGTCTATAGGTGCGTAGTGTTTCTTTTCAAAGTGATATCACTAACTACTGGCCTAACAGCAGAATACAGCAATTTTAATAGTTTTCTCAGATCCTTGTGAAAGGGATCGTTTTTACAACGTTGTCATCTGTACACAGAAAACGTGTCGTGTAAACGTAGCCTTACTTGTACGTTCGCAGTCGCACCGCCGCCGACGACTTGGGCTTCCAAAGTGGCCGGAAGTCATTCCTTTTCAATGGAAGCTGGCTTCTCTCGGCTGCAAGGAGCGTCAAATCCATCGACATCGCTTTTTGGGTGTTTCGAGCGTCAACCAGAAAGTTGAAAAGAAGCTCAACTTTATAGTAATGAGCTGTTGTAATCAGCGGCAAAACCCGGCAACCAATCGGAATATAGAAGTCCTTCGCGCTGGCTGTTTCCGGAGAAACATAAAATGTAAACTTTCGTTCCTACCAAAACATTAGTTCTGAGTAAATTGAGGATAAGCTAATCATCGCCGTTGCGGGGTTTCCTATCATTTATGACATGGCGTTGTTTACTTATAGGGACTGCATGAGCCCAACTTTTATTTGAAATATTTAACGCTCATTTTGAGCGGGAATGCAATGGGCTATATGCACGCATAAGTTCCGCATTTGACGTAAGGATGCTCGTCCATTTCCGGTTGTGTAGATTAAAGCGGAGGAAAACCGGAGAAAACGGGATTATGGCAGAGTCTTCAATATTTACTGTCCTCCCGTCTTTGAAACGAAACGTACATACGTTAAGATGTAATTTTATATATAGTTATGTTTATTTAATATAATTTTAAAAAGAAGCATAAACACAACGAGGGGTGTCTGTTTTATCTGTTTTTGTGACTAACGTTTCTTTAGTATAACCATGGAGTATAAAATTCAATATAAATTCTTGGTATTGCATTGGACTCTATGATCGGCGGAAGTTATCGAGCATCCCTAATCCTTCACCGGAAATACCGCCGTGCATAGAGCCCATTCATTTGTTCAAGGTGACACAGATTTGACCAATTGCACTCATGCAAATAATAGCCTAATGCAAATAATAATAATAACTAATTATACTTAAAAAAAAAAAAAAGCAAGATGTGACTAAAACACATTTTTTTCTTTCTTGTCTCAGTCTCAGACCAATGGATGTGGAGTTTATGAAGACGCTACATGAGAAGGTCAACATAGTGCCTGTGCTTGCCAAAGCAGACAGTCTCACTCCAGAAGAAGTCAGAAAAATGAAAATGAAGGTATGGACAATGTATAAAAATACCGGCTAGTGCATATTGTTACGCCCCATTCTAAGTTAAAGCCACAAAATGAACTGGAAAAGTCATCCAAAGACCCTTTGTAGACTTTTATTTACAGGGCCACAAGTGAAAGGACAATTTTAGGGGGTAGCAAAGGCCAAAATGACAAACAAACTCCTAACAGGAACAACTAAATTCCCTACCAAAAGAATAAAATAAAAATATAATTTACTACCCTATGTAGGCTATATGACAGACTTTAAGGTGCACATGTTGCACTTGACTGTATTTTCCTTTTCTGAAGGCATTCCAATCATATTTCAAGCATTTCAAAAACATCATGGAGAACAGTGCATCTCAGCTGAAGGATATATATATATATCACAGTCACTGTGTGTTTGTTTTCTCTCTAGATTTGTGAGGAGATCGAGAGATTCGACATCAACATCTACCAGTTCCCTGAGTGCGATTCAGACGAGGATGAGGAGATCAAACTCCAGCACCAGGAACTGAAGGTGAGCCGACCCAGCTCCATATGTACATCAAATTCTCCGTAACACGACTGACTTAATTGAAATGTGGCTTTCCTTCTTTGTTACAGGACAGCATTCCTTTTGCTGTAATTGGCTGTAACGTCCAAGCTGAAAGCCAAGGCAGGCGCTTCAGAGGCCGTCAGTACCCCTGGGGTGTGGTGGAAGGTACTCGGACACTGTTGCATACGTATTTTATTCTTATACATGCAATTAAAGGAGAACTCCAGCGCAAAATGATCCTTTGGTCTAATAATAACACATCGGTACCTAGTCGACCGTTCTCTGAGATTTGTTTTCATGATAATCGAATGTAAAGAGTTTTATCTCTAAAAACTGCTTTGAAACAATTTGTCTATAAATGTTCCTTTTGCAGTTGAAAACCCAGAGCACTCCGACTTCCTGAAGCTGAGGAACATGTTGGTGCGCACACACATGCAAGACCTGAAGGACGTGACGCGGGAAACGCATTACGAGAATTATCGCGCTCAGTGCATCCAGAATATGACCCACATGGTGGTCAGGGAGAGGAAACGCAGGTCAGAGGATAAACAGACATCAGTTATCACTGAGTGCTTCCTGTGTGCTGCATCTTACTGTGTTTCATTGGTTGTGTTCATTCAGTCTATGTAAAGACCTTCCTGTGCCTTTGGTGCCTGTGGACAGCAACACTGAGCGCCTTATTTGGGAGAAAGATGAGGAGGTAATACTGTTCTCTTTGGGTTTTTGAACTCCACCATGCAGTGTCTTCATTCTCTTTGGAATGGATTCACTGGATGAATCTACAATTTTTGAAAAATTCTAAGACAAACAATAGGCATTATGTATTGATACCTATGTGGGATATTTAACTCACATGACCTGGGGTCTCATTTATAAAACTGTGCGTAAGATCCTTACTAAAAGTGTACGTGCGCCGAAAGCCAAAAATATTCAGATTTATAAAACTGTTCGTACGCCAGAACATGCGTAGAATTCACTTTATTAATCCCAGATTGTGCGCACGTGCGTCTCCACCCCGAAATGACCATATATGGAGCATACAACGCCTCGTTTAAATATGCATATCCTCATCTGCATATCATTTGCATATGAGTGTTGTATACATTTAACTTCTGTTTAAACTTCCTTGATAATTGTTTTGCAATTTTCCTAACATTTTTCCCCCGTTTCTTCTGCAGTTGCGGCGAATGCAGGAAGTTCTGGAAAGGATTCAGGAACAGATGCGTCATGGACATTAAGACTTATCCATTAATTTAAATGTTTATGATTTAAATGCAGTTAGAAATGTCAGAGGTTTTGCAGTGAATATAATATAAACTGTAAAATGCATGATCTGTAAATGTAGGTGCATGTCCTAAATTAGAATGGGATGCATTTAAATAACTCATTATTTAGCTGGCAAAAATACTTTATTTTATAATGTAAATATGAACAACTATAATTGTGGTACACAAGAAATAAGACCAGTACAACTTGACTTGTAAATGTCATAAGATTTATTATGAATCGTCATTGTTTTTTGTAGTAATCTAGCATATTTTTAATAAGTTTTATTACTATTTCAGTTAAACACGGTGGACAATTCGATCTTAATGCAGCCCAAAATGTACAGGCGATATATAACTTAAACTTTCTCCATAGGGAAAAATGCACAGTTTTTCATATATTTATATATAATATCAATGTAGAATGAGGTCTAACGGTCCCGTCCACATCATACAGTATGAAACATGGTCCCAAAAATGAAATAAGGGGAGGGATTAACATTTAAACAAACAAACAAACAAACAAACAAAAACTGCAATCTACATGCAAAACCAGGCATCAGTATAATCCTAAAATACATACACATATGTGAATGCGTGCATATACCTCACATGTATACATCCATCCATACACATATAAAGAAAAATGAAAAACACACTAATAAATTCCACAAAGGTTAGGCCATTTTTTTGTTTGTTTGTTTGTTTTTAACTGAGTGTGAAGCACAGACTGTATCATTTCATCTTCACATCCCCCAAAAGAAAAAGAAACAGATCCTCAAACCTCGGGTGTGGGGCGTTTGCAGCAGGGAAGAGGCGTTCAGAGCAGGAATCACAGTGTTCCGTTTGAAAGTGACAGTATAAATCAACAAACCATCGAGTTTACATTGGGAAAATGTATGATGGGCTAATTTGTGCAGTTTAAACCAAGCGAGTGTACTGAGAATGACAGGCCAGATTGGTAAATGGGCTTTTTTGTCATCGTTGAAACAGAAACAGGATGTTTCAACATCGTAAAATGCTGGCAAACAAGCATCCTACTTAACGACAATTTACACAATCACGGATAAAAATCGATGAGCGAAGAATGGGACACGTGCGCGCGCATTACAACAAGCCATCGACGAACGAGCGCGCGGTGACGAAAAATCTATTTACTTACGTACTCTAAGACTTCGACGTTTTTCAACGTTTTGCTACAAGCACGAGGACATTGGTAATGCTGCTGATTTAAAGAGACGGAAATGCCCGACATCTCGACCCGCTTTCACATTTTTAATAGTTTGAAACGTTAATCAAGTATTATTTCGTTATTATGTTAAATATCTGAGCACTTGTTGGGAATTATAAATGCTTGAATGTACTTTCAAATACATGGCGGAATACAGGTCTTTCTCAGATGTTGAATTGTCTATTAACGAAGTTTCCTTTGGGTTCACCCGAAAATCAAAATGTCGTCAACATTTGCGCACCCTCAAGTTGTTTCAAACCTGTACGAGTTTCTTTCTTCCGCTGAACACAAAATAATGATGATAAACAGATATTTGATGGGTGAAGAAAACAGAGGAAAGAAACTCATACAGGTTTGGAACAACTTGAGGGTGAGTAAATAACATTTTTTTAAAAAACAAAATGGGTAAATATCCCTTTCAGACTGCTTCGTGTCATGACAGGCTTGTGCGCATGCGCTTCATATTCAGCAGTGTTGTTGCATTGCGTAGGCAGCAGGTGGCGCCAATGGGCTTGACTTGGGGCATAGGCACTTACATTTGCTCGCAAGTCAAAGACACTTTGAGGAATCCCATTTTTCAGAAGTCTGAATGTACCTGTTTTTTTTTTTTTTATTATTCAAAAACCCCGTTTGAAGAGTTTTAAATGCCCCTAATAATATCTTTAAGCAGTAAACGTTTGTTTTTTTTCTCCTCGTGCTTCCAGTATTGACCTTTAAGCACTCGTCTGTGGAATTTTTTGGTGAATGAATGTAAAGCGTGAAAATTTGCACCCAGAAAAAAAGGATAGGAGGAAAAGAGAAGAAAAAATTGATTTGTTTTAGCACTCCACTCTCACATTATTAAAGACTGACTTCGAATTTAGCTAAGCAAGTGCATTACCTGTATTTCATTCCAACGCTGCATGGCAAAAGACACGCAAGCCCCTTCTACACGTGAAAGAGGACACGCTCCGATCCTGAAAAGGTCCCGGCGTGTTTGAGCAACAGTAGTGAATTTCTGACTGGGATCTAGTCGTCGACTAGATCGCCGTCTATCTTGCTCTAGCTTTGTGAGACCTCCTTTCATTGAAGTCTTTCTGCGCACCCTCTCGTTTCTCTCAGGCCAGCTTTAGCGTGCTGACTGGAAAAGGAGGAACAGTTACCATAGTCACTGGATTGAGCACCGTCTGGCCCACCAGCCCAGTGTGATGGTGAGCGACCACGGCCGTGGGTTTCCCCACCATGGTGGCCTGCTGGCCCGTGACCGGCGTGCCGTTAACTTGGGCGTGAGCGTGTGGGTGGTGCGCCAACGCGTGCGTGATGTGTCCCACCATCGCCGGTTGCGAGACGGCCACCGACTGCGGGTAAATGGCTGCGGGCAGGTGGGTCACGGGATGCACGGTGATGTGTCCGATTGGCTGGCCAGCGCTAGAGGGCGCAATATGCGCCAGATGTTTGGACCCAGCTGGGATGACGTGATTGACGGCCTGGATGACGGACGCATGGGAGACGGAGGCGTGGGTGATGACTGTTTGCTGAGGAGGGGAGATGATGTGGGAAGGAGGCGCAGGAGCGATGGCTTGAGGGGTGATCACCGCTGCCTGGGGATGGCTGGGTGGGGTGGCGGGTTTGTGTTGTATGGAGATGTGCGTAGGGAGGATGGAGGGCGGAGGCATGGCAGGACGGGGCTCCGACGGCGCAGGCAGTTTAGGTGCAGAAGACGAGGGTGGAGAGGAGAGGATGTCGTCCTCGACGTCTTGGTCGAAGTTGTCTTCACCCTCTGGAAAAAAGGAAAATGATTCATGGTAATTCGATTTTACATCGCCTCTTACCCCTCAGACACATTAAACTGAATCATATCAGGAAATGATATTTGATATGAGCATGATAACCCTCAGTTGCTCTTCGGTCCTTTCTGACTGAAAAAATTTCTGTGTTGAATTTCTAAAAATCACAGCTTCATCGGAATGTTATGAAACTTGTTGACTTTTATGGCATTATGTATGTGAACACACAAAAAAAATGAGGTCATGATACGAGCATGATGACCGACCTGTAGGAAATGAATGGGAAATTGACAAAAAAAAAAAAAAAATTCTCAGAATTTTTGTACGTGCAATCTACAAATCGGCCACAATTCTAAAAAAAGTACACCGCAGGAAAGGGGTGACGCTCTACAACATCTAGAGTGCAAAACAAACCCATCCACACACACACACACACATATACAAACACACTTTTATACACATACACACCAATAAATTTTGATTGCAAAAAGTATGTTTTGAATTTTTAAAAATCATAGCTTCATCAGAATGTTACGGAACTTGGTGACTTTTATGGCATTATGTATGTGAACACACAAAAAAAATTGAGGTCATGATCCGAGCATGCTAAGTGTAAATACTTTGGTCAAAAATGATCCCATAGGAAATGAATGGGAAATTGACAAAAATTTAAAAAAAAAAATTTTTTTAAATAAAAAATCGTTTTTGAGATTGTTTCAACTATATATTCAAATCCACCCAAAAAAAATGTGTTCATAAACATCTGGGGAATTCACATGCTTCTCCATTGAGAGCTGTACATGCCATCTAGTGGTTACACCATGATTCTACGCTTTTTCTCTATAATGTAACCAGATGGTGCTAATTTTCTTCAAAAAAAAATTTTTTTTCTGAATGCCTAGACTCGATATTAAACTAAAATTCTGCATTAATAATTAAAAAAAATAATAATAATATATACATAGAAAAATATATATATTTTTCCATAGCAAAAATAGACCATAAATATTGCATAAATATTAATAAATTCAATCAAATTGTCTCAAAATACTAAATTACAAAGAATAAATATTGTAGAACAAAAATAAATTGCATTGGATGGAGGGAATTTAATTTTTAGGTGTCCGGTCACTTTTGACCAGGAAGATAATAACAAGTGTGACTCCGAAACGAAGAGCACCTGAGGGTTAAATACTTTCACTTTCAGAAGAACAAGTGTCTCGATTAATTGTACACATTATGAAAAACTAAGAGAAACTGTTTCTGGTGAAAGAAACCTCAAAGGAAAGAATAAATATTATGAATAACTTTTTAATATTATATATGCGGTTTTCTTTGTATTTCCACAAAAACATGAAGCAGCAGAACAAGTTGTTCTTCAAAATTCAGAAATGTTTCTTGAGCTGCAAATCAGCATATTAGAACGATATCTGCAGTATCTTGGGACAGTTGCGTTTACATGGATTGTAATTGGACTACTAGCAGTCAGAATAAAAAATTAAAATAAATCACATGTAACCACGTCAATCGGAATAAACTGGCCAAAAATACGTTTATTAATTAATTCGGATTATAAAGGGTGGTTTAAACCTTTGCTAATCCGATCGAGAGGACATGTAAACACTTGATCAGATTAATAAACCGAAACTGGAAAGTTCTATGCACGTGCAACGACGTAGATGCTGCTGTTGTTGAGTGAAGTGTCATAAATTACTGTAATGTCATTTTAAAATGTGGAGACGGACAACGTCCCATCAGTCCTTCTCATCCACAGACGCCTTGTTTTGGGTGCAGGAATTGGCGTTTTTACTGCTTAATAAATATAAGCAGCACGAACTAAGAAAAGAAGCAATTTAGGAGAATAGTAGGCCTAAGCGCAAACAACAGGACACTTAAAAAAAAAAAACCTATTCCTATTTGAAGCTTGTATCATATGAACCCGATCACTTTATTTAGCGGTCATGTAGACACTACGCAATCGGATTGAAGCAAAAGGTGTCCATGTAAACGTTCATCTTTGCCGTCACAGGATTATAGTCTGACTGTACCTGATGCTGTTGACGTGGAGGCCTGATCATCTTCAGGTTGGACAGTTTGTCGGAGTATCCGGTCGATCTCTATGACGTCTATGCACTGGCTCAACTCGTTCTTCAGCTCGGCGAGTCTCTGCTGGGTGGCGATCTTCTCCCGCGCCAAACGCTCCATCTCGTGCTCGTACTCCTTTTCTTTCCGCTTCAATGTCTGAAAGAAAACATGTCATATTAGTCACTTTAATTCTCGCATGAATCATATTTATTCATTGTACAAAGCAAACACTTATCATCCCTCAATCAAACACATTTTTATTCCAGTATGACTCGTCTTAATCAGCAGACAAACATGTTTTTAACAATTAACTGATGTCTGAACATGCATTTTGAAATATTTCTGTGAATATTCATGCAGAATAAATGGAAACGCACTGGTCGTTGGCCACCCTGCTCTCTAGATATTCATCCATGCGATTTTGACCACAGAGAGTCAGGACCTCGGTTTAACGTCTCATCCGAAAGACGGCGCTTGTAAGACCCTGATATACTTCAAGCAGAACTTTTTTGCCATTTTCAGGCACCGTACTTCAACAAACTCCTTGAGTTTTAATCGGCCTTTGTGATGAGTTTTCGTTGAAGAGCGTGTCCTCGGGCGGCCTGCAAATTTCGATGTTTCACCATGAAACAGGAAGTTGCTGTAACTCAGGCAAACAATAGCTGCGTCCCAATTCGCCTACTTATACTACGCCCTAAATGAAATGTACTCTTTTTGTGAAGAAAAAGTACATACTTTTGAGTGTGTACTCTAAACTCTATTTTAGAGTAGGCAAGCTTTGGTACACACACATATATATATATATATAAATTTGAGCCCGACCGATAAAGGATTTTGAAGACCGATACCGATACAAATATTTTTGGGTTTTAAAATCCGATATGCCGATATATCGGCCGATATTTTGTTTTATTTTTTCAGAAACGCGCAACAAAACTAACAGATTTCCCTAACATAGTTATTTGTAGTTATTTATGAGTTTTAACTAAAATAGTATGATAAAGCATTTTAAAAATAAACTTGTTTTTTATTGTCACAACAGAACAGAGGAACATCAAAATATATTAAAGTTCTGATAAATAAAATAATAATTACTCCCTACATTGCCTATAAGCTACCTTATAATTACAATGTCAGCTTGTTTATCCCTTTACCTGCACTTTTTAGCTACATCAAACCATTTTCAATCATCAGTTACGTTTGATACTTTTTCTCTATGTCTAAATGTTCACTCCTCGCAAGTCTAACTTACATTTTACAATGCAGGGACTGTAACTAGAGATATGCTAGTTATAAATACAGTAATAATTACTTTATTTAGGCAGAAAAAGTTCATTGTGGTTTCAAAGCTCATTAATGTTAACGTTAGCGGTCTTCCACTGATGATAGTGGCATGATATAGCTTTGTGGTTAGCTAGTCTATGACGAGCCATAATTTAGCAATAGATAACGTCATACTGCAAATTGCAAAACATACATTTTCAATATAACATGCCAAGGAGAGATGATTGAAGCGTTTTTCGTCCGTTTTTATTTTATTTTTGATATATTCATTTATCGGCCATTATAACTGCCGATACCGATATTTTGAAAAATCCCTAATATCGGCCGATAATGCATCTAATAATGATGCATCTAATGTATCTTTACAAAAGTTCACAATGCTTCTGCAGATGCAATATTGTAGCCAACATTGAATAAATACATTTTTGTCAGGTTAAATACTGATAATTAATCAGTCAAACCCCTTTATCTAAACCTCTCTACACAACCGCCGGATTCGCGCGTCCTCCAAGTGCCGTTTAACACTGATGCGCTATTAGCGACATACTAAAATATGCCATTACACCTACATCCCAAAATGTAGCTATAGTCATAATGCCACCAGCTGGCAGCAGGAAGTGATGCAAATACAAATTAGAGCCAGACCGATATATCGGCTGGCCGATATTATCGGCCGATATTAGGCATTTTCCATAATATCGGTATCGGCAGTTATAAATGGCCGATAAACTAATATTTAAAAAATATAACAAAAAACGGACGAAACATGCTTCAATCATCTCTCCTTGGCCTGTTATATTGAAAATGTATGTTTTACAATTTGCAGTATGATGTTATCTATTGCTAAATTATGGCTCATCATAGACTCGCTAATGCCACTATCATCAGTGGAAGACCGCTAACGTTAACATTAATGAGCTTGGAAACCACAATGAACTTTTTCTGCCTAAATAAAGTAATGATTACTGTATTTATAACTAGCATATCTCTAGCTACAGTCCCTGCATTGTAAAATGTAAGTTAGACTTGCGAGGAGTGAACATTTAGACAAAGAGAAAAAGTATCAAGCGTATCTTGTGCAGAAAAGTTAGCTTTTCTTTTACACGTGTGTGAAATCCAACAATATTTAATTTAAAAAAAATATCGGCCGATATATCGGAACATCGGATTTTAAAACCCAAAGATATTTGTATCGGTATCGGCCTTCAAAATCCTTTATCGGTCGGGCTCTAATACAAATGACTGACATAGTTGTCCTATATTTACCTACTTGCTCACCATGCAGTGTTTCCCTTTCATCGCTAACTTTTTTACTTTTAGTGAACTATAATAACCTCAAAGACAGGCCAGTCCACTTTGGATGGATGAAATGCACCTTAGATGTCCAAGGTGAACCTTTTTAAAACAGAAGAATAAAAGGAAGGGATGTGGCAGTCACACAGGCAAACGGTTTGACCCACTTTTTGCGTTAATCATCAGACCACGGGTCATCAAACAAGACTAACGGGAACAAACTGTTTAAATATTTAAAGTTTAAACCTTTGAAGAGGAACAGGTTTGTCCATCCGCATTCAAGAAACTGTGAGAGCAGAACGTCTCCGTGACCTCATCCTAAAGATACAGTGTGTGCTCGTACGATTTTAGGAAACAAACTGTCCACAGAGAAAAGCAGTTTACACAGCCCACCCCATCTGTCAAAGCCCGAAGCACGTGACGGCTCCGACACGCTCACATCACTCAGTTTCCTCCGTCCCTCCCTCACCTATGCTCTGCCAAACAGACTGTGTGACAACATGGACATTTTGGCTCCCAATTAGCAGGAGTCCTGTAGAGACACAGATGACTGCGGGATACAGAGGAGCCGAGCGTGTGTCTTACAGAGCAGAGAGAGTGATTGTGCAGAGGTGGATGGTGGTTTCAAGCGTGTCTGGGATTATATAACACACTGATACAGTATAAGGGAATGGGAATGCGACTGGTGCAGTAGGTTGAGAGAGAGAGAGAGAGAGAGTCCAAGTGAAGCCTGATCCAGGATTAGTCAGATTGGACTGTCTGACCCTAAACCCCCTTCACACAGCAGGCCAACACACACACAAACACACACTACTCTAGTCTTCATTGTCACACGATCCTTCAGAAATCATTCCAGAATGCGAATATGCTGCTCAAGAAACATTTCTTATTATAATCAATGTTTTTGTGCAAACCATGCTACATTTTTGATTAATAGAAAGTTCAAAATTATGGCATTAATTTGAAATAGCATTATAAATTTCTTTGTCATTTTTGATCAATTGAATGCATCCTTGATCAATAAAAGCGTTCAATTAATTTAAAAAAATCTTACTGATACTTAACGGTAATGTATATATAATTTATATAATTAATTTAATATTCAATATCTGCTGATACCAATGAGAAAAATATATAATATTGCTAACTGATATTTTGCAGGTCGGTAAAATGTATTTTGTCTCAAAGTGAATTTTAGAGTTTGCTTGTAATCACACTGCACTCTAAACGAACAAATAGGACGAACAACAGATTAGAATGACGACGAAAATACCAGCAGTTACACGAAACTAACATTACAAGTGCTGTCGTGATGAAACTCAAATCATGATGTGTGCTGACTGACCCCAGCCCAGTTTTGAACCCACTCTATCTTTTGTGTGCCGAGTCCGACTAGACATCCCTATGGACTAGATATTCAGGTCCCACTGGATATCACCACGGCAACAGCTGGAACCCGCTGTGGTCTCCTTGGCAACAGAGCAGGGAAGGAGCAGCGTGGCGATGAGGAGAAGGTGTGATAGAGAGGCAAGGGCTAATGCGATTGGCTCACATCGACCTCTAGTGTTTTACAGTCCGATGGCTCTCGCACTCCCTCCGCTCCTTTCACATCTTCATGCTCCTCTTCCTCCCCGATTAGAAACACTCTCACCTGCTCCTCAATGCTCACTGCCATCACGTGCAGTTTGGAGAAGAGTTCGCCACATTACAAGCGAGCGCTTAACATCCAAACAATGAAATAATACTGTGTGATGGAATCATATAAATTGGCTATTAAAATTGTTTATTGTTATTGTTTTTAATGTTTTTGAAAGTCTTATGCCCATCGAGCCTGCATTTATTTGATCAAAAATACAGAAGAAAAAAAAAACAGTAATGTTGAGAAATGTTATTACAATTTAAAATAATGGTTTACTATTTTAATATTCTTTAAAATATAATTTTTTCCTGTGATGGTAAAACTTGAGCATCGCATGATCCTTTAGAAATCATTCTGATTAATTTGTCATCAATGTTGGAAACAGTTGTGCTGCTTAATATTTTTTATAACCTAATACTTCAGGATTCATTGATGAATAAAAAGTTAAAGCAACAGCATTTATTCAGCTTTTATAGCAATATACGCTACCGTTCATAAGTGTGGGGTCAGTATTTTTTTCTTTCTTTAAAAAAAGAAGAAATTAATTTTTATTAATTTTAAGAATAACTTTTATTCAGCAAGGATGTTCAATTGAAAAAAAAGTGATAGTAAAAATTAATATTGTTAGAAAGGATTTCTATTGTGAATAAATGCTGTTCTTTTTTTTTACTTTTTATTCATCAAGGAATCCTGAAAAAGTGTACTTTTTCACAAAAGTTGTCAATGAACATTATGTCAATTAATAAATGTTATTTATTGTATATTACTAGGCGCTGCGATTGCGATTCTCGTCTCACAGTTTTGAGTGAATGTTCCTAGGCTTAATTTCAAAAATTGTCTGTATGTCATCAATGAATATTCATGATTAGCTGCATGTATTTATCAGCATTACATCATATAAATTAGACAAATAATGTGTAAAATTATGGGACCAGAACATCATTGCATTGCAGTTGTGATCTGATCATGTAATTTGTAATATCTTGTTTGAAAATTCAACACTCCTGTCCCTGTAACGTTAATATATTACACTGTAACCAGTGGGTGTAAAAGAAGAGCGCTAGGCCTGGTTAAACCCGCATTTGACCGCATCCAGATCTCAATCTACAGACAGAGGAACCCCTGCGGTTCCCTGACCACCACCAGTCTCCTTGGTTACAGCGATTCACAGGACTAATGAAAACAAACACGCAAGGCCACCGACTCAAACAATGGAGCGTAACCTACTTTTACAGACGCATGCCAAACAAAACGCATCACATTCGTAATGAAACAGTCTATCAAGAAGCGTTGTTTCGTTTAAGAAGATTTGCGGACGTTCGGCATGTGTGGGTCTGGCTTGCAGGGTTGCCAGGTTTACAGCAAAACCAGCCTAAATGCTTTTCAAACCCCGCTAAATCACGGCCAAAAGTAGCTCAATCGCTTTCCGTGGGGTTCACTTGTATAAACATTGACCCGGGTGATGTATGTGGTCACTTTAACCTGCAGAATAAAACAAAACTCGCACCAACAGTGTAAAAGTATCCACATTCAGCGGGAAATCGGCAGACTTGGCAACACCGCCACGCTGAGGGAGAGGGAGACAGCAGCTGACGTCACTGGGCTCGCGCTTGCCATGTGCTCATGTCTCACGTGGACGAGGGAGAGGGAGCGAGAGAGAGAGCGGTAGCGTGCAAGTGGGCGGGCGGACCTCACCATACTCCCTCGCTTGTGCTTATTGTGTCGTCGTTATATTCAGTTTTATAGCTTTTCAGATCATGTTAACTCGGGTATATCACTCATTAACAGGTCACCTTTCCGCCCACGCCATTATATTAATTGTCAAGGCTGCAGTCTGCAAATAAAATGATGCAGCGTGACCTTGACGCTTTTATGTCATCTATTTACGTCAATCCGGGCAAAATGATAGGCACTTTAGCACCATAACAAAGGGAAATATAATGTTAAGTTGACTCACAATCTGTGTCTGACCATCAATGTGCAAAATGTTTTATAAAATAAAAATTATCCTCTCAGGAATCCAAAAAACATTAGACGTTGAACATGAGGCGATTAAAAAACAGTGGATAGAGAAACAGCCCGATGGAAACCAAGTAAGAAAAGACCAGGGGAAGAGGGTAAGGAAAAGATATAATGAGCCCACACTGAGAAGAATTCGACCCAGGATGTTTTGGCAGATGCACATGACACCATTCTGCCAGTAAAGTATGTGCAGAGAAGTGGATTGTGGATGTGGGAGACCGAGAACAAGAGGATAAGGAGGATCAAATCCCCATCTTGTGACCTATTCCCAACACGTTTTACAATTACAAGTTATTAGTTATCACACAATATGCTTTCGGCTTAACCTGTTTTATAAATTCGAGTTGAAGTCTAACTTGTTTTAATTTAGGTCAGAGGAAAAAACAGTCACGATCGTCACATTTAAACATTAACTTTTACAAGCAGACGTAACAGTCCACATCTTCGTTTATCATCCAAATGGCATAAGGCTCGATGTGTGTTTCTAGGTGAACCTCATAAAAACATGTCTGGTTCACCAAACATTGAATAAAATAATAATAATCATATATATATATATATATATATATATATATATATATATTAGGGCTGTATTCAACCAAAGAAATCCTTAGTCGACCAAAGTCGAGTCCTGCTCAACGATTAGTCGACTAAAAAAAAAAAAAAAAAAAAAAAAAAAAACGTGATGTTTTGATTAAACATTTTTTAAACAATTTTCATTGAGCATTTATAAAACAACAACGAAAAAACATCACAAATAAATAAAACTATAATAATAATACAATTCTTTGAAAATTAAGTGATTTTTTTAACTGCAAAAAGTGAAGAGCTCTGTCCTAGGTCTACAGTCCCAATCGCGCACCTGACCACACCACACGCTGCAAAAAATATAACTGCTATCTCCCACATAATGAAAAATCCCAACAAAAGCTCTCGTTTATACAGGCTTTATATTCTTCTTTACTTTCAAAGCTATGGGTTAACTTTAGTCCTGACGATCAAGGCGTTTTAAACAACACTCAAAAAACCCCAAATAACTTAAAAACAATCCTATAATAGGCTGTAGGACCGCGTATAGGTTTATTTTCGTTTTGTTGCATTATTTAGGCTATTTTCAAATGCGTCAAGTGTACAAATAAAAACGAAAACATTAAGAAAACACAATCTATTGAGTCAGCATGATATAGCCGTTAAAAGGCTGCTCGCGTCTTTTGCGCGCTCAAGTTCGATTTTAAATATAGACGCGCGACTTGTGCGCTCATAATGGCAACGTGATCGCCTCCCTCCACAGTCTTGTCGTCTTTGTTTTAAAATGCAGCCAGACAAAAGATTTATATTTCCTGGACATTTTGTCGACTAAAGCCAAAACAAGCAGCGTTCTAACTGAATGAATACAGCATCCCTTACCGAGCGCGAGCAGCAGCGCAGTCAGCCACAGGTGCGGTTCCCGAGTGTATTGTGTGTGTGCGCTAAACTGTGGCGCAGTTACAAAAATAGCCTAAATTAAAGCATTTTAAAGTTGGGGACAAAACATAGGCTAATTATATTTAGAATACAGTAATAAATAACTGCTTATAAATGAATAAATATCAAGGAGTAAGTCATTGAAAAATTCCTTCTATTTGTAAAAAAAAAAAAAAAAAAAAATGCAACTGGTCGACCAATAAGAATGTCAGTCGACCACGACCGCATCGACCGATTAGTCGACTAAACGACTAAAGTTGACAGCCCTAATATATATATATGAAGAGTTCAGATGCAAAAGCCTCTAAGTGCCATTTGAAATTTTCTTCTAGAATGATCATTTTTATCAAGCTTGTATATTTAAGTTCAGTGATTTCAATTAAATGGCAATGATAATTACCTATTAATTGTTATTTTGAAATTACTGAACTTAAATATACAAGTTTGATAAAAATCATCATTAAAGAAGAAAATTTCAAATGGCATTTAGAGGCTTTTGCACCTGAACTCTTCATATATATATATATATATAATATTTCTGTAACAACCCTGCATTTTTGCCTGCACTCTTCACCTCAAACACTCAACAGACATGAAATCCAATGCGTGTATCCTTCGTCCTCCATTGTGCCTATAATCGCGCACTTTTTTAATGACGTACGACTCGCATTTACTGGGGAATATCCCATTTGTCTGCTTACATGGCACACGCATCCGATTCATATCTGATTTACAGTGGTGGAGGAAGTACTGAATCTCAGTACTTAAGTAAAAGTACAAATACCCAGATAAATATTTACTTTAGTAAAAGTAGAAGTAACACAATGACAACCATACTTAAGTAAAAAGTACTTTATTTTAAATGTACTTTAAGTATTAAAAGTAAAAGTACTTGCATAGCAATTGATTCTCTTAATGTCTATTTTCTAATGATTAATAAAACATTTAATTCTAACTCATTTAACCTAATAGCCTACTCCTATAATGATGTTCAATAATGATGGAAAAAAAAATGTCACCATTTCTGAAACAAGCTTGCAATTAGGCAATATAATGCTTATCCTTACTATATGTTAATAACTATTGGCAGTAAACGCGATTCATTTATGGTGTAATTCTGAACCTCTTGGCTTGCCATAATCCTAACCAAACCAAACATATATTACACACGGTGTTTTTCCTATGCACGTAAAAACAAATTTTCGCGTATAAGTTGCATGATAAACACACTGCGTGCGAGACGCATTTAGTTGATGTATCTATGGCAACCAAACGTCACTGGTGAGACAAACGTGCAACGAACGGACGGTCAGATTACGTTTTGGCAGTGGAAAAACTGATCAGAAAATGTAACGAAAATGTAACAGAAGCTGTAGAAATGTAGTGGAGTAGAAAGTAGAATAATTGCTGCAAAATGTAACGAAGTAAAAGTAAAAAGTATGCACTATTTATTCTACTTAAGTAAAGTAAAGATACGTGAAAAATTTACTTAAGTAAAGTAACGAAGTATTTGTACTTCGTTACATTCCACCACTGCTGATTTATAACCACATATGAGTGAGGCCTGAATCCGATCTGAGAAAATAGGAATCCATACACGTTCACCGATCATATCCGACCTGTGCCACATGAGAGGAAAAAAATCGGATTTGTGTCATTTGAAGCATGCAGTGTAAATGTGATGTTGGGCTTACCTGTATGTAGCGGAGGGCACTCCTCAGGACACTCAAATTGGAAGTTTTCTTTTCATCCACATTAGGAACGTTCTTCTTGAGGGTGTCAAAACATTCTTTTAGATGTGCTCGTCTGCGACAGAAAGAAAAGCACTAATCATTTTTTTTTTTGTGCAAAGCAAGTGAGGGTTTTAAGAGATGTTGACGCGAAGCAGTTTGGTGATGCAAGTAACAGCAATGAGGTCACTAGTAGGGCAAAGGCCTTCAAGCCAATAAACAAATAGTGCACTAATTGCAAATCGACCAAAGGTTAATGAATGTATCAGTGATCAGTCCTGCAACCAAGCAACTTACATAAAGGCGAGTGTACCTCAAACTCAATGAGTTCATAAGCTCCGCTTCCGCTTGTCGAAATAAATAAGCACAAAAATGAAAACAGAAGTTCACCCACCTGTTCTTTTCCAGCTTGTTGTGAACTTCTCGAGTTCCAGCTCTGCAGGGAAAATATTAAATACGTTTCTACGCTGCATGTAAACTTTCATAAATCAAACCCATTACATTTCATATCATGGTCTCTTGCACGTGTGTACAAAGAAGTACTTTACTGCAAAAAAATTAAATAAGTCTGACATCGCTCACCCTCATGTCATTGCAAACACTTTGTTTCACAAACGATTGTTCATGCAGCTCTAACACAAATAAAGACAACACTAGCCAGGTCAAAAACAAACTAAATATATTAGGGCTGTCAAACGATTAATCGCATCCAAAATAAAAGTTTGTGTTTACATTATATATGTGGGTGCACTGTGTATAATTATTTTGTGTATATATACACACACATGCTTGTATATATTTAAGAAATATTTTCATGTATATAGATTTATATTATATATAAATATATTTTTTATATAAATAATATTTTTTTCTTAAATATACATGCATGTGTGTGTATTTATTTATATACACAAAATAATTATACACAGTGCACCCACATATATTATCGCTCTTTAAATTTTCACACTGTTGTGACAGCGTATGTCACGCGACAACAACATGGCGCATTCATACTACCCGTATTCACACTATATAGAACGTACTTTTTTAACGGTTGTGAAGTACGTTCTTATTTAAATATAGTACCTTCTCACATAGTACGCGATTTCGGACGCATCCAGTGTCCACTTGACACCCCTGACATGTGATTGGCCACCCCAAAATTGAAAAAAGCATTTATTTTGCTGTGTGGCGGAGCAGCACACTATTAAGCCGCGGTCACACTAGACTTTGAGAATGCCAAATGTCTTCGGATACATCAATGGTCAAAATCTTCTTTTTTTTTTTTATAAACATGAATTAAAAATAACAAATAGCAATACATACAAAATGTAAAAATACTCAACCTTACTGCAAAAAAAAAAAAGTCATGGTGAAGCCATGACATATCAATCTTCTACTGGTCACACGTCTTCACGTGATGCGAATTCGCAGGTCAGAGGTCACCAAACTTGAACTTTGGAACGCAGTGAAATGCGAAACTTTTCGTCTGCATATGCAGTGTTGGGTGTAACTAATTACTTAGTAATTAGTTACTGTAATTTAATTACATTTCCCTTGAAAATGTAAAGTATGGGATTACTCTTCATTTATCTGTAATTTAATTACAGTTACTTCTGATGTAATTGAGGTGAATACTGTGTATAGATCAATCCGATCTCGCAGCGATTCGTATGCATTTTATGAGGTGTCTAAATATTACGACCGCACTCGTACAAACTCGTATGAATTATTGTAAAAATGTATGAAAAAAGTGTGAGATCAGACATAAAACAATAGTGGGTTTAACATCAAAATGTATTGTCTGATGCTAAAAAGTATGTTTTTATAATGTAACCTTCTCCTCCTTGGTCAGTTTAAGGATAATTCGTGCAATTTTATAGTATTTATTTGAAAGAATTAAAACGGATTCATGTCTATCCTTGTATTATTCAGCTGGTTGAGATTGATATGGGATTTTGAAAGTAATTAGTAATTAAAAGTAATTAAATACTTTTTAGAGAGAGTAATTAGTGCAGTAATCTAATTACACTGTTGAAGAGGTAATTAGTAACTAGTAATTAATTACTTTTTTAGAGTAACTTACCCAACACTGTGCATATGAATGGAAGTCAATGGAAAGAAAAGTGTAGTGTGAGTGACTGCCCCTTTAATGTATTAATACAGATTATTACGCAAATATTAACGTTAGTTAAAAGATACAGAAGAATAAGAATAAAACATGTTATTATCCGATTTGGTGTGAGTTAAAGGTTTACCATAGGGTTTAGGTTTCCTGAAACTCTTTTGTGCAAGGTAACTTTTGCTCCATTAACAGACAGTTAATAATAATAATAGTGTTTCAGATTTATCCTACCATACGTTATGTTCACATCTAGTACTCGCACGGTTAAGCTAATGTGGGGTAATGTGAATGTGAAGTTACACTTTTGGACCACACACTTCTGTTTCTAATCAGCAATCGTGTGATTCATTCATGCTCACTTTCTTTCATAAGCTCCAGACTTGGCCACCCCATTTATGCAAATTTTGTTCCACCATTTAGTGAAGAAGTCATTAAAACAAACGGTATTTCTCGCAAATATCACTTCACAGAATAAATAAAGTCATTTGGGTTTGGAATGACATGAGGGTGAGTAAAGAAGTCACATCTTGCAAACACAAAGCATGACCCGAGGGCCAGCGTTACTTCTGGGTCACCGTACAGGACAGCATCCTACTTTTCAAAACTGCAATCTCCCAACAAAATAGCCAACCCAGTTTCATTCAGTTACGATTACAATTTAATCTCCACTGCTTTGAAAAATCCCTTCAGCTTTCTTGTAGGGCTGCACGAATAATCGAACTCAGACAGAAATCGTGAAATGGCTTGGTGCAATATTCTGCGGTGTTCTGTAAAAATAAAAGTGTTGTAACAGTACAGTTACAAATAAAATCTATTATTATTATTATTATATTATTTTTATAATATAACATAGTATATTAGATTAGTAATTGTAAATATTTCTTATTTTGATGTTATTCAGTATTTTTTATTCTGTAATAATAATGATTATTATTATTATAGTTATTATTTTATAGCCATATTGATATATAAACATATATACACACACTCACACTATATATATATACACACACACACACACACACTAGTGCTGTCAAATCATATATATAATGTATATTAGGGCTGCAACTAACGATTATTTTAATAATCGATTAATCTGTCGATTTATTTGTCGATTAATCGGATAAAAAAACATTAATTTCCAATCCTTTATTAAAAAACAGAACTGAAGGTGCAAATTCAGTGAAAAAAAAATCCAGTGCAAAAAAAAAAAATGGACTAACAAAAAACATACACATGTATGCTTTACATCTGCCAAATATATAGGCTTTTTAAAAATAAAGTGCACAAAAGATGTATATTTTCTTGTTTAAAGGGGCCTGAGCTGTCAGAGCAATAAATTGATGAAAAAATAAAGAAAAATACAAATCAGAATTTGTATTGAACGTCAGAACTTGTTCTCTACACCATACTCGCACACACTCACACACTTGTGTTGTGTTTTGTTTTTGTCAAATATATATATATATATATTGAATAAAAAAAAAACTTTTATGTCAGATGTGATTAAACTCAAATTAATATATTTGACAGCACTAATAGTTTATACACACAGTATATATAGTTAGATATATATTGTGCTGCTCTGCTTTCTTGTATAAAAACCACAAAACATGGCTCACCCTCCAGGTCTCCTTTTCCCGTCCAGGTTGCGTGGATCTTCCACAGTGGCTCCATTAGTCCTGGGCGGTTGTCCTGCCTGAGCCTGGGCCGGCGTGGGCTGAGGTTGGGGTAGCGCTGGCTGGGGCAGGAGTGTGTGTTGCTGCGGTGTGTGCTGGGCTGTGATGATGGGGGCTGGATACGACTGCAGCAGTGTCTGCGTCTGCAGCTGTTTGGCGCCGTTGTTCGATGGAGACAAGCTGTTAGTTTCTGTTTTTACATGTGCAATCAAGTGACGTTGCTGCTGAGGAAGAGGAGGAAGAGGAGGAGGAGGGGAGTGGGCATCTTTGCCATTGGGGCTGAAGAGAGGGGCTGCTGCTTGCGGGGACAGGGCCGTGGCCAAGGAAGTGACCACTGGCATTGGAGAGACCGTGTGGAGGGATGAAGCAGTCTGAATGGGAAGGCCTGCAGGGTTGGCAGGGACCATCGGGATGGGAATGACGGCTATGGGAACAGGTGGCGGGAGGGGTGGGGGCGGGACCGGAGGGTGGTGCTGGTGCGACCCGAGGTGCGACCCGAGCCGCATGTCTTCTGCCCAGGTCACATGGTTGAGTTGGACAGTCTGGATAACAGGGGCGGAGAGCTTCTGCTCAGCCTCACGGGACAGCAGGGCTTTCTCTCTCTGCTGCTCCTCCTCTGTAGAACAACAGAAAATAAAATAAAAATGTTATGCACAAAAAAAAGACATAATGCACGCTAAAGACCTTTCTGCTATTTGAGATCGAGAACCACCTTTTTCCTAACTAGCCTTCGGCATTTTAGATTATGGGAGAGGACGCACTTCCGGTTTGGGGAGACTGATCGTGATCGAGATCGAGAATAATGTAACGCTTGGTATGTTAATGTGACTCTAACATGTAGCAAGACCTCTTTTAAGTCACTGCATGCATTATTCCCCCCCCCCCCTTTTTATTGGATTGTAACTGTGTGAAAAAATAACAACAGAATATAGCCTACTGTGCATTTGTGGTTTGCGCTCCCGATTTACTTTTAAGTCGATATTAAGTCGAAATAACGAGATATTAAGTCGAAATAACGAGATATTACGCCGAAATAACAAGATATTGTGTTGAAATAACGAGATATTAAGTCGAAATAACGAGATATTACATCGAAATAAGTTAACGACTTATTAAGTCGAAATAACGAGATATTAAGTCGAAATAACGAGATATTAAGTCGAAATAACAAGATATTACGTCAAAATAACGCGATATTAAGTCGAAATAACGAGATGTTAAGTCGAAATAACGAGATATTAAGTCGAAATAACGAGATATTACGTCAAAATAACAAGATATTAAGTCGAAATAACAAGATATTTAGTCGAAATAAGATATTACGTCAAAGTAACGAGATATTAAGTCGAAATAACGAGATATTACGCCGAAATAACAAGATATTAGGTCGAAATAACGAGATATTAGGTCGAAATAACGAGATATTACGTCGAAATAACAAGATATTGTGTTGAAATAACGAGATATTAAGTCGAAATAACAAGATATTAAGTCGAAATAAGATATTACGTCAAAATAACGAGATATTAAGTCGAAATAACGAGATGTTAAGTCGAAATAACGAGATATTAAGTCGAAATAACAAGATATTACGTCAAAATAATGAGATATTAAGTTGAAATAATGAGATATTACATCGAAATAAGTTAACGACTTATTAAGTCGAAATAACGAGATATTAAGTCGAAATAACAAGATATTACGTCAAAATAACAAGATATTAAGTCGAAATAACAAGATATTAAGTCGAAATAACGAGATATTTAGTCGAAATAAGATATTACGTCAAAATAACGAGATATTAAGTCGAAATAACGAGATGTTAAGTCGAAATAACGAGATATTAAGTCGAAATAACAAGATATTACGTCAAAATAACGAGATATTAAGTCGAAATAACGAGATATTACATCGAAATAAGTTAACGACTTATTAAGTCGAAATAACGAGATATTAAGTCGAAATAACAAGATATTACGTCAAAATAACAAGATATTAAGTCGAAATAACAAGATATTAAGTCGAAATAACGAGATATTAAGTCGAAATAACGAGATATTAAGTCGAAATAACAAGATATTACGTCAAAATAACGCGATATTAAGTCGAAATAACGAGATGTTAAGTCGAAATAACGAGATATTAAGTCGAAATAACAAGATGTTACGTCAAAATAATGAAATATTAAGTTGAAATAATGAGATATTACATCGAAATAAGTTAACGACTTATTAAGTCGAAATAACGAGATATTAAGTCGAAAAAATAAGATATTACGTCAAAATAACAAGATATTAAGTCGAAATAACAAGATATTAAGTCGAAATAACGAGATATTTAGTCGAAATAAGATATTACGTCAAAATAACGAGATATTACATCGAAATAAGTTAACGACTTATTAAGTCGAAATAACAAGGTACGTTTACTTTCTTTTGTTCTCACTTTGCGGTTCAGGGCTTCCGTAGATTGTGCACACTTTTGGATGCTGTATAAAAATGCTGACCGAAACACCCACTGAAGTGAATCGATATCTGATGTTCAGTGATTTGAGTAAAATATTGTGTGAAATACTTCTACACAAAATTGGTGAAATGAAAGAAAATCTCATTTGTGGTCATTAAATGGTATCATATCAATTTCAATTGGCTATTAAAAAATTAAACCATGTTTGCAAACCACGATTTGCATTACTTTTGTTCTTGAGACTGTAAGAGATTACTTATGGTCTTATGGTTATTCATTTTCCTTATGAAATTCACATTCATACTACCCTAATGTATTTGCCTGGTTCATTAATAGCCGGAAGTAAATGGACAGATTTCAAAGGGTGTTTTTTAAACATTATTATACTTCTGATTGACTTTTGGCGGATTTTATTTTATTTTTTGCATTTGAGCAAGAAGAGTAAATACTAAACTATAGCCACACCTAATACACACCAGTCACAATACTAAAGATCAATGCCAATTTAGCGATAAGTAATGGAACTAATTTGCTTGCCTAAGCTCTGACTAAAAAGCTCTCAGGACTGTGAAGTATAAAATAATTATGAGAAGCTGCAGGCCAACACAGACAATCCTGTGATTCAATACATCTGTGCTGTGTACGCCATTCATATAGAAGGCCTCGGAGCCTGCAGTGTCCCTACAGTTTCCATTTAAAACTGGAAAAGCCAATGAAGGGCACAGTAAAGCAAGACTCCGTGTCTAAATTGCGTGAGGTATGTGATCTATCTGTCAAGAGCGGTCTGTCTCTTTAAGAGAGAAGCCCCAGTAAGAGTGTTGTCTGGTCTCCAACTCGACCCTGACATCACACAGCAGTCTGCAGGAGAAGCCAAGAGCCGCCGTGGGGAATCTGAAGCCCGGGCCGCACCATCTGCAGCCGAAAATACCACCGGCACCGGACGATTTCCATGATGGATCTATTGTTTAGCCCCGTCGATCCATATTCAGTTGCATATGTGATATGACTTCAGATCGATTTTTGAATTTTAATACGACGGGAGGACTTTGGGCTCATTTGGAGTCATTTGCACTGCAGGGACTGGGGCAGTTGTGGCCTAATGGTTAGAGAGTCAGACTTGTAACCCAAAGGTTAAAGGTTCGATTCTCAATACCAATGTGTTCACTACTCCTAATGTGTAATAATATTAATAATGTATATTCACACTAACTTGGATGGGTTAAATGTTAAACTCGGACAAATCACGAGTATGGGTTCACTTCACTGTCCAACTTGTATCTTGTGAATGAAAGCATGCCCCAGACAAATGGGTGACCTGATGCAAACGCAGACAGCAATATAGTGTCGGCCCAGATCTGGTACTCATGGGCTGACACTATACGCTTGATATACGGGAATCCTCCTGCATCAGCAGAACTAATAATCCTGAGTGCAGAATCCCTCAAAAATAAAAAGCATATTATATAACAGGAGAGGAAAAATGCATACTGAAAAGTAATTTCCCTTGATATTTAAATGCATACACATAAATAAACAGCATAGTAACCAGCAGGAATGGAATCACAAACGCTTCAAGGGCACTCCTGAAGTGAACTGTGTCATTGTGCAAACATTGTACGGCCGGGCTAATAAGCTCTCAACGGCTCATGAATATTTTGCTCTCAGTCTCCATAAGCAGCTCTTGAGGCGTCAGGACACAGATGAGATACTATGATGGTTTGCAGGCTTTAAAGGAGTAGTTCACTTTTCAAAAAACTTTTGCTGATAGTTTACTCACCCCCGTGTCATCTGAGATGTCCATGTCATTCTTTCTTCAGTCGAAAAGAAATTAAGGTTTTTGATGAAAACATTCCAGGATTTTCTCCATATAATGGACTTCAATGGGAACCAAACGGTTCAAGGTCCAAAGACAGTTTCAGGGCAAACTGCAAACTGTTGAAAGGGCTTTAAACGATTCCAGACGATGAATAAGGGTCTTATCAAGGGAAACGATCGCTCATTTAAAAAAAGAAAGTTTAAGTTATAAGCTCAAATGCTCGCCTTGCTCTGTTCTGTGAAGCACGTTCGTGACTCTCCTGTTCGAATTCGTTCATCAAAATGAACAAATCTTTTTTTGTGTGATTTGGTTCATTCAACGAACGAAATGAGCGAATTGACTCAGGAAAAGATTCGTTCATTTTGATGAACAGGAGAGTCACGAACGTGCGTCACAGAACAGAGCAAGGCGAACATTTGAGCTTATAAAACGTAAACTTTTTTTTAAAAATGTGCAATCGTTTCGCTTGATAAGACCCTTATTCATCGTCTGGAATCGTTTAAAGCCCTTTGAACAGTTTGCAGTTTGCACTGAAACTGTATTTTGGACCTTGAACCGTTTGAACACCAGTAATGTGCATTATATGGAGAAAATGCTGGAATGTTTTCATCAAAAACCTTAATTTCTTTTCAACTGAAGAAAGAAAGACATGGACATCTTGGATGACATGGGGGTGAGTAAATTATCAGCAAAAGTGTGTTATAAACATGGCATACATTTAGGACTGTGTATTTGGGACAAAGGAACCTCCTAATAAAGTTCAATTCTATTTTCACAGGCTAATGCGGAAATCATGACCAAATATTCTCCAACAAGCTAGACCAGAATAGCACAAAAGATTTTAAGAGGCTTTTTATCAATTGAATGAACTCGCATTAAAAGAAATTACCAATATAATCAAATGCAAACATGACATTTGATTTAACAACAAACTTATCAACCTCACCTCTGTGTTAACTCATAGATAAGCAAGTGCGTGCTGGCCGCCCGGTAAAGGGCTCTTTTATAATTATGGGCAGCTTGGAAAACATACAAATAACAAATAATTAGTTTCTGGACAGCTAGTTAAGAACCATTCATGTCTTTAATGCTTTATATTAAGAGCAAGTAAACACTTAACCAGGTTTGAATGTATTAAAAATGAAAGGAAATTCATTCGTTGGTCAGGAAATGGGGGATCATTTGCATTTCCTTCAACATGAAGCCCCACAAAGATTCTTTAATTTTTTTAGAGATTGAATAGGCCACATTTGAGATTGCATATAAGTCTCTACATCTAGCCTAGTGCAAGGTCAAATATTGTGTAAGTGCATGCGAAGTTTGTACGTTTAAATACACCCTTTCAGGAGAAAGACCTTGCAGAGATGTTCAAAAACATGCCAACAACTGCACTTCATGTTCTGCTTTCTATTCATCAGTATACCAAGAAAATCAAAAACAGTCTGCAAAGCTCTTGGATGTGCATGTAAAATGCACATTATATAACTTCTGCATTGAGGGAGGGTGGCGTTGCCCTATTTTCTCCCCAGTTGTGACCTGGGGAGGGGGGGCTGTCTGGCGCGCACGTGGTCGAAGAGGGCGGTCTTTCAGCACGCGGTATTTGCTGTGGGTGTGGCTCTACTGACACGTCACCTCGAGAATGAAACAAAAAGCCCTCCGCTCTGTTTAAAGCGATAAACACCTCGCGACTATAATTTTAAATCGACAACTTTATTGAAAATTATAGGAATATAGTACTCCAACAACAAGCAAAACTAGTTTAATCACGATGAAGTGTAAAGGGAAAAGTAGGCTGGTCTTTAAAGTCATGAGTGAGATAACCACTCAGCAATGTCATTATGTAAAAAAAAAAAAAACCTTTGGTCTAATGCCACCGCCCAACGCATAAGAAACATTCGCTACGACATTCGCTACTTTCAGTAAGCCTGTTTCAATTGTAGCCGTATTTTTTTTTTATTTGACACAAACAATATAAGCGCAAAAATATGTTTAACTTACGTTGCCTGACTAAATAAAACGTAAATAAATAAATAAAAACGACGCCCCGTGCAATGGGGTGAACGTACCCACCCACCGCAGCGCTATTGAGCGAGTATAGTAGCACACTATATATAGCATGGATTTAACCCGGAAACCGAGTGAGCGAAATATGCCCTAGTCACCAAGACTGCACCCAACAAAGAGTGGAAACCTGTGAACATGACTACTAAAATGAGCTCTTATTCGCATGTCTATAAGAAGCTGATTTGCCGCGGGTTTTCCTCAATGTTGTAGCTGTTTATCTTAAAGTGAGCCGGCATGAAAATGCAATTTGCTGGGCAAAATCCCAAACAGATCATGCGTATCTAATTTATCCATTAGATGTATGCAATCACCCAGTTTCCCCCCGCCTTACCACGTGTAATCTGTTGTTGCTGGGATTGCCACTCCAAATACCTGGCCGCTTCCAATAGAGTATCGATACTCATTTTGAATACCGATACAATAAGTTCCCGTTAAAATGTTTGCAAGTCCCCGATACAAAATAAACGTGTTGGCTCAATCACAGTAAAATCCACTGGCTTCCTTAGATAGTCATAAGACATCCAGGGCGCTCCCGAAATTCATCAGACACACATTACTTCACTGGCAACAAGATGGCGATTGGAGTAACAGAAAACACAACAAGTCGAAAGGCATCCCGTCCAGGGTCCGCCCTCGTCGTGCTACTCCTCCCTCATACTACCAGTGATTAAAAAGTAGGGCAGAACACGCTGTCACGATAAGCGACAGGACCGGGAATCCATGTTGAACATAACATCCCAAATGACATCGAAATGTGTGTATTAATGACCAAGACTTCGGGATGAGGTTTACGACACAATAGGTGATGTGTAAATTGGTTTCCGGTCCCTTACTAGAACATAAAAGGAGGAAATAGTGTGAAACGTATATTGACTCCAGTTTCCGGGTTTTCGCGGTGGCCCTACCCTGCAGTGCATTAGCACATGTCGATGCTAGGGAACCAATGGGCGTGGAGAACAACAAGGCATGGTGTCTGTCCACATGGGCACCCGCTAAACTGAGCGAGGCTCATTTGCATGGCGAGACTGTGTACGGCAAGCCGCATTACATTTATTCCTCTTTACTAGCATCTACTTAACTTGTATACTACACTGTAAAAATGCTGGGTTAAAAATAATAATTTCTGGACAACCCAGCGGTGGGTAAATATTAGACATAAGTTAACATGCTTGGTTAATTTTATACATTAACCCATTTGCTGGGTTGTTTTTGACAGTGCTGAGTCTACTTTTTCATTTTAAATAATAATAATGCACTTTAAAATCTGTTACAGGTTACATAAGTGTCGCTGCGCATACATGGTCCTTCAAACATTTAAGGCCTTGTCCACACGGACACGGGTATTTTTATAACCGTGAAATTTCTTACGCGGTTCGGCCGTGCGTCCACACGGAAACGCAGTATCAGGTCACTGAAACCGAGTATTTTCTGAAATCCCGGTTGCAGTGTGGTCGTGTAGAGAGTAAAACCGGAGTTTTTGCGCCGCTGACGGCTTCTAAATGGCTAACGTGGCTTTACGGTTAGGGTTATATCGCCACCTGCTGGTGTTGAATGTTTTTGATAGCGTGTTTTTGCGTTGTCATGTGTGGACGGAGCCAAGGTTTTTCATATTACGATATATCTCCGATTTTCTGATTTGTCATTTTAGGTTTCAGAAGGGTATGCCTCGATCATGTGCCCTTTTCCCGAGTCCGAATCAGATTTTTTAAACTTGTCAAAGTCTTTTTTAGTTTACTAGTAGGCCTAATTAAACATTTTCTAACACTTGGAATACACACTTTCTGATAAGATAGACTAGCCTAAATATATTTTATTCAGTTAGAACACTCTAAACAATGCTGGGTTGTTCAAACCCAATTTTGGGTAAAATATGGACAAACCCAAATGTCGGGTTAAAAAAAAAATTCAATTTTAACCCAACATCAACTTTCACTTCCAACTGTAATTTTTTTTGTTGCATTTTTTAACCCAACATTTGGGTTTGTCCATATTTGACCCAAATTTGGGTTGAAACAACCTAGCATTGTACTGGGAAACGATATGCTATTGCAATAAGAATGAAAAAGTAGTTAACTGAAAGAGATAGTAATCATTTTTGTAACTAGTACATTATGTTACTAGTTTTTAGTTTTAAGGAATACATGTGATGGCGGCTTGCCATAAAACGTGAGCATGCCTCACTGTCTTGCTACCTGCCAATCATCCTGAACGAGTATCTAAATGGCCACGCCCAGATCGTGGTTCAGCTAGTTGAAAAACTAAACTCCTACGAAAACAAAGTGCAAAAACCTCTGCGCCTTGGCTTTACAAAGATTTTTATTTTGTATGCGGTAGTTGCACAACAAAATGTTTTTGTGGTGCGTGTTTTATTTTATCCTGCTGTTCCTGAAATTAATAAAAGTTCTTGAGCAACCGATCGAGGGCGCGGTGGACAGACGCAGTCACGAGTGACGTAACTCAAATTTTCAGCTCAGCTTGTTTAACAGGCCAGCTCTGTCACTGAATAAAAAAATTATTATGATTTTCTCAAAAATGTCGGAATATATTGATTAAGTAATTTAAATAAGTACAGCTAAAAGCAAAGACAGCGCGCGAGTTTAGCTTTTGAGTCAGATAACACTTCATTCAGGTCTGGAAAGCTGTTCAGTATTTATATATAATTATTTAAATTATATTTCATTTAAATTGTATATTCAAACACACAGTATTATTTCTTTAATAATGTTTTTATTAATATAAACATGAATCCATTCAATATACTGACCTCTATTACATTGATCTAGAATTCATACGTTTATAAAAATCGGTCTATTTCGCAAAATAAAGACTTTAAAATTCAGCATTGTGAATAAACAAGCGTGTGTTGCGTGGTGCTGTACCGCATTGTGGCTCGTGCCATGCTGACATCTCTATGAATGAGCGCTTGCATGGCAACAGACTGTGATTGGCTGATTTGTAGGGATACCCTAGATGACCAGCACACTGTCAGGGTGTCTCGGCCAATCAGCACTGAGCTCAGAGGTGCGTAATACACGCTCACAAAAATACACACGTATAGACAGACAACATTAACTGCATGCCAGTGTTTCACACATAAACAGCAGATGCCGACACAGGCTGCTATTGTATTAGACACGGTACAGTCGTTTCTAACCCTGGCGAGTCTGCTATTCACAGCTCTTCCCATGAGCTATTGCAGGTTTGATGAAGATGATGATGATGATGATGTGATGTCTGTCTCCTATGACCTCTGTAAAGTCAACAGCATACAGAAAACATTTTAATCGCTCTGTTTGTGTGTTTCTATACTATATATCTGTGATTTGTTTTATTTTATTAATACATGAAATAAAAAGACATGTTGGTAAATACTTATTTTTTATTTTTTGAAATGGATAAAGATATAGAGCTTCTGGGGGTTATTTGTCATGCAAATAATTATAATGCAAAACGTATAGGCTGCATTTTTTTTTGATAGATATTCTTTGTAGCCTTTTAGGTTAAATGGAGAAAATGCAGGTTAAGGTCCATTTTGAGCCATAAGAGGTAGAAATGCATATAGTGTATAATATCAAAACCAAATTTACAAATAAGCCAAAACTCTCAAAATACACATCATTAATTTATATATTTATTTTAAGAAGAGATATAAAAATTGTTTGACAGCATTTCAAAGTAATATTTATGTTGTTTTTATGTTTTGTTGGAAAATATGTAGGTTTGATACATTTTGAATGTCATCAGTTATGTTAAAAATTTAAAAAAAAATTATCAGATACAATGTGGGGTTTAATTAAAAATCATGTTATTTGTCTTTATAAGCTATAAGCTTACATCCCACGGTTTCAAACGGATCCGGGAATGCTCAAGTCGCATACAGATGTTTAATTCAGGGTTAAAGAAATTAATCTAGAAGATCCTTTTTTTTTTTTTAATGGAAGAACTCCCTCTAGTGGTGAACTAGGAGATGGACGGACGGACAGACAGAGGGAGTTTTGATAGATGATATAGTACTGAATAAATTCATGAACCATAGTATTTACATTATACTCCAAGCATGGTGTAAAAAAAACACCTATTACTATTGCCATTATCTGGGGACACATAATATTCAACCATATCACTGATCTGACGCTGTTCTACGAGAACTGACGATGACATCACTGATCTGACGCTGCTGAACTGAGCTGGACGATGACATCATTTTTTACAGAACTGCTTTATAAATGAAATGAACTAATTTAATATTTGATTTGATGATTTTTAGAACAGAAGTGAAGCTGCTTTGAAACAAATCACTCCCGTACAGGTGAAATATTAGATCAGGAAATGAAAATATTGGCTAAAATGTCACATGGTTGGCCATTGTGTATGTGCGGTCATATGGTGTCTGTAACAAACACTGACCATCTCATTGGACTCTATAAAGAGAGTCTTCTGTCTCTCTCTCTCTCTCTCTCTCTCACACACACACACACACACACACACACACACACACACACACACACACACACACACACACACACACACACACAGTAACTGTTGCCAGGATACAGAAGCTGCCATCTACATGTCTGATGTAGTGGGCTGAAATATATATAGAGAATATCCTCAGCACTGGGGATGTAACGAGGCAAAACAAATGGGAAAAAATAACATTATAATTTCTACAGCTCTCTCTCTCTCTTAGAAATATTGCAAGTTTATATTAAGTTTATTCAATTGAAGACTATGAAATCGCTTTATTTTTCAGCCTGAACAAACCAGCAAATAAAAATAAACAGAAGCTTGACATGATCGACATCTTTCGCGCCGTGTCCATGCGCATCACCCAGTGTTTCCATGGAAACCAGTGTTTTGGCACCAGCCTGTTGAAGTTTCATGCAATCAGTGCATGGATTAAACCTACAAAATGTTCAATGAGAAGTCTTTGTTTGACATGGTTTGAGATTTAACATACGAATGCTGCCTTAAGTTCTGGCTAATGACATATTAGCAACTAAAATGGACATATTAACACCTACAATGTACATTAGCATCTAAAATGTACATATTAGGACCTAAAATGGACATATTAACAACTAAAATGTACATATCAGCACCTAAAATGGACAAGTCTCATTTAAAGAGCTTTGTGATTTACCGGTAACATAAGAATGCTGCCTTACATTATGGCTAATGACATATTAACACCTAAAATGGACATATTAACACCTACAATGTGCATAGATGTACATTTAAAGTACGTTTCCATGTACATTTAAAGAGCTTTGTGATTTACCGGTAACAAATAGTTCTGGCTAATGTCTGAACCAATTGAATATGTGATAGACAGCAAAACAGAGCATTGTATTTCAAACCTGATCTAGAACCACGTGTGTAGTACCATTTATGTATATGCTGTGTAGATATAAATGAATAATTAAAATTCATTTTTAAATAATTCGTTGTACTTGCAAGCTTAGTTTTTATTTTTCTCCTCGAACAATATTGATGGTTTCCAGAAAAAAAAAAAGGCGCCACTATATTCGGCCACAACTGTAAGAAAAACAACAACAACAACAACAACAGAGGGGCTGATTTATATTTACAGATATTTTATTATTTTAATTATGTTGCAAACAATGACATCAAGATATACTGATGAACAATTATTTATTTATGTGAGTGCATCAACAGTGAGACCACAAAAAGCAGAATGAAGTCCTCAATATTGGGGATTCTCAGTACATTAACAAGGCAGAGAAAGCGAATAGCTGGAGTCAGAGTCCGCTGTGTGCTCACAGACAGGAAGTGACGTCCACACACACACAGATTCTACATACACAGCTTTTGGGATGGCAGTGTTTGGGCACACATGGCTCTACTGTTCAAAACAGCGAGCACAGCAAACTACTCGCCTTAGAAGATGCTAAATGTCGCCAGTGGCTCTTTGTCTGTCTGCCCACGCCATCTTCCAATAAATGTGTTCGTAGAAAACACATACACACCTTAATAGTTAACACAGAGCAGCCTATAGATATTGCACGTCGATCTACCATGGAAGTGTGGTCCTCAAACGCCACGAGGACAGCGAGTGTCGCCAAAAACCTCCCCGGTTCAAGACTAACTAGATCGCTCGTCGGCACGAGGTGACCGAGCAGAACCGCGGAGCACGTCGAGAAGCCTGTACGGGCGACTTCTCCGGCACACGGGCAGCAGAATGACGGAGAAGCAATGAAAGCGCTACATCAAACGACGTCGAGTGGTTCGCCAGGAGGGGTTAATGAAACCTATGAACAGATTAAGCCATTTTTGAGAATAGCGTGAAAGCGTTTGTGTGAAGTGTTCTGTCCCATAGTCCTGAAAATGGAGAATGAGTAAAATGGCACCTCACTTGCCCTCTATCAGCAAATAAAGTATATCAAGGCCCTCCATTACCAAGCCGTGGCGAAGGAGGGTGTCAGAATTATATTTTCTGTACAAAAACAAACAAACAATGTAAACCTTGCGTGAAACGGTATTGCCTCCAGGGACAAGTGCACTTTACTGATCCATGTCCTAATAAAAGAGATCCCCCTTCTTCGATTTTGTTTCGCCTAAACTGCTTCACAAACGTGTTTTTAAAATGGATAAGGACTTCATGGATGTGAACTGAAGCGGTCTCCTACCAAACACGAGGGGAGAGCTGCGCATCCAGACATTCATAAGGTGAAGTAACTAAGCGGTTCATCTTCGGTCAGTTTCATTGTTAAGCCTTCCTCTTCTGTAAAGCAGAATGCGACAAACGTTCAAAGGAAACTACACGTAAAACGGTTTCTGAATTCCCCAAACAGCATCATTCTGCCTTCTGTTAATAAACGCTCGAGGCGAGAGCGAGAGCCGTACTTTAGATGACGAGAAGCAAAAAATTTACAGTATACAAGTTTTGGATTCACCATGCAAGAATACTTGTTTGACTTTTTACTAACTTTTTTTCTTCTTGTGAGTGTCTTGTGTAACATTTAATAAGCTCAAACTACATCCAGAGTAATTTACATAAAAGGACAATAGTAATTAGAAGAGAGCTGGATGAGGTGGTAACCATAGTAATGAGTGCGTCCTGAAGAGCAGGTGTGGGAGTGGCCAAAGTGGTGGTGGTGGTGCTGGGAGGAAGGGAAAGGGGCGGTTCCTACGGCGTTCAGCGACATTCCCACACTTTGACCGTTTGATCTACACTTCCTGTCACCACGTAAGGAGAAGTCTTGTGGAAATCTGTGGAAGAAAGATGAAGTTGAATGAATGAATGGATGGATGGATGTTGCATTGATAATGCGTTTCCACAGCACTTTCTGCTTTTCCGCTCACCCAGAGAGGTAACAAAGTGTTCATGGGCACACAGGGTCTTCATGCAGCGCTTGTTCTTATAGTCCCAGATACGGAGGGTCTTGTCATCAGCACAGCTCACTACGAATCTCCCACCCGGATGGAACAGAACTCCACGCACCCAGTTATCATGGCCGACCTGAGAGAAGAAAAAGATGCATCTAATAAACAGTAAAAGTCACTTCAATGTGCGTTTGAAAAAGATGTTGCTAACTTTCTATACAAATCACGACACTGAAATCACAATACGATACTCATCACAATATTTTAAGGGGATATTCCACTTTTTTTTTTTTTTGGCTCATTTTACAACTCCCCCAGAGTTAAACTGTTGAGTTTTACCGTTATTGAAGCCATTCAGCCGATCTCCGGTTCTGGCGGAGTACCACTTTTAGCATAGCTTAGCATACAGCATTGAAGTGGACAAGACCATTACTCAAAAAGAAATGGCCAAAAAATGTATATAAAACTTGAGTCTTCTGTAGTTACATCGCTCACTAAGACCGACGGAAAATGTAAAGTTGCGTTTTTCTAGGCTGATATGACTAGGATTATTATTAAAGTAATATTTATACTTTATATTATCTATATATCTATATCTATCTATCTATATATATATAATTATCAGGAACCACAAATATCCTCTCATTGCATTATTACACTACATTATATATAGTTTAATGTATTAATGTCATAGAAACTTTCAATTTTGCAGGCACTCATTGGATCTAATATACACAGACTGCAGACTAGCTGCTACTTTTAATGTCATGCAACTCTAAAATGTCATGCTTTGGTAAATCATAATTATTACAAGTCAAAATTATTTTATACTAAGATTTTATTTTTTACATCAAATTATTATAATATTACTAGGGCTGTCAAACGCTTAATTGCGATTAATCGCATCCGAAATAAAAGTTTGTGTTTACATAATATATGTGGGTGCACTGTGTATAATTATTTTATATATATAAATATAAATACACACACATATAATTTAAGAAATATTTTCATGTATATAGATTTATACTATATAAATATTTTATATATATAAAAAATATTTTTTCTTAAATATACATGCATGTGTGTGTATTTATATATACACAAAATAATTATACACAGTGCACCCACATATATTGTGTAAACACAAGCTTTTATTTCGGATGCAATTAATCGCAATTAATCGTTTGACAGCCCTAAATATTACTCATATTAATTATAATTTTGACTTCTCATAATTACAACAAAAATACCTAGTTATTACCCAGTTATTGTAATTACTCTATTTTACACGTGTATTTACTAAAGACTTTTTTGCTAAATGCTAATGTGAGGGCAACCTTAGAATCTCATGATTTAAAAATAGTCATAACTTCTCATTAAGGATGTTTTTTTTTTATGATGGAAAAGCTAATAATGCACACAGACCAAACGGTACATTTGTTTGCCATTCTGAACATAGACAGTGTGGCTATAGATATTAGATATGACACAATGAAGCTGCCAGACCATAGCTCTACTCACCAGTGTCATAAGGCACATGCCAGTACTTATATCCCACATTTTAATGGTCTTGTCTCTGGATCCAGATAACAGGAATGGCCCAGGCTTTCCACTCTTCTTGTTCTGTTAACATGACAAATTATTAACAGAATTCAATCATGCAGAATATGGAAAAAAAAAGCAGAAAGCTGCCATCAACGAACACACTGGGCCTCATTTATCAAAAGTGCGTACACCACATTTCCAGCGTACACCTTGCGTACACTCAAAACCACGGTGAGTTTGAGATTTATCAATATGGACGTTGGCGTACGGCACGCTCGAATCCTACACCAGCTCAGGAGGTGGTGTACGCACGTTTTGAGTTAGTGAGGAAATGCGCAGAAAAATTCCTAACACCACAAAACGCACTGACAAACTAAAAGATATGATATATTATGACCCACTGTAAAACAAACAAACAACAAAAAAACAACAACATAGAAATTATAAACTTCAGTATTTATTTTTGTGTAACGTGGACTTCAATGTTTAATTTGTGTGACTTTACCAAAGCATTTGATTTGTAAGCATATAATATTCCTTCAGTTGCGAGCCCACTTTACCCTGACGTTTCAGGATTATCCCCGGCAGGTGCGCACGGACTGGGTTCGGTAGCCTAATGAAAGGCTTTCAATGACCAAAAAATAATTCAGACTGACAAAATAATAAAAAAATACATTCTTCTTCTTTTAAATGATGATAATAACAGAAATAATAATAACGACATCCTTCTTCTAAATAACAATAAGCATCATTAATGCAAATCACAATAATAAGAAGAATACTATTACAAATTGTCATGCAATTATTAATGTGAATAAATGGTACTTCACATCACATCATCATCATCATCATCACTATTATACATGTGACGTGATTCGAAATTGAATGCTAATTTCAAAAGACGTGCTGTAAAATAATGCATTGTGATAGGTCATTTCGTCTCCACGTCGGAGAAGTTTCTCTTCTTTGCCGTCTTCCGTGTGTCCATGGCGTAAAATAAGGGCGTGGGGGGAGAGGAGACTTGAATATTTAGGGGCGTGTTATTCTAATGACGATCGTTTTCGGCCGCGGGATTTATCAAGGGCAGGCATTGCGTACACCTGGATTTCAAAGGTACGCACATCTTCATAAATCAGGCGGTGAGAGGAGTGTAAGTATAATCTTACACCAAAATATACACCCGTTTCTACGCAAGATTGATAAATGAGGGCCAATGTACCTCAGAGCCTGTCGCCTCAGATATGGTGGGGTGTGCGCTCTCGGGGGCCCAGGAGATGCACTCCACCACATGCTCGTGCTCCCGCAGCTCCGCCTTGCACTCCTTGGTGGCCACCACCCACACGCGCACCGTCTGGTCATTAGAGCAGCTGGCCAACAGTGTGCCGTCTTGATTGGGCCGGACCATACGCACCCACTCCCTGTGACCCGTGAACGTCTTCACACAGTAACTGAGGCAAGACAGAGAGAATCATTATACATTCACACTCCCTTTGAAATAGAAATGACAAATTATGTCATTTCAATAACCATTTCTTGGCAATACCAATACCAAGTGCTGATTTATTACTCACCCAGTGGCCACTTCCCACATTTTCATGGTCTTATCCCTTGAAGCAGACACTATGTGATCCCCGTTGGGCATGATGGCAACCGACGACACATTGTGATCGTGTCCTGAGGAAGATGAATGCAATATAAGGTGTGATGTTTGTTTCAAGCAACGAATTTGAATCTTGATTCTAAGGTTACTGAGCTGACCGGGACGTATGGCAGACGATTAAAACAGGCACCTTTGTTATTTGAGTGGGAGATTAAAGCTGTCAGCCTGGTTAATCCTGCACCCAAACAAACCTTTACCCATCCCCCCCGGAACAACTGAGTCTCACAGACAGGATTCTCCAGCACACTAATAAGCTTAAAGCCTATATTGGAAGTGGATGCAGTCCACGGTGGGTCAAAGGCAGTAAATTTGAATAATGTGGTAGCAAATGCAATAAATGTGTACCGTGCATGGTCCTGATGCACTCGAAGCCCTGGAAGTCCCACAGTTTGATGGTCATGTCCGCGGAGCAAGAAGCCAGCAGCTTTCCAGTCTGGTCAAAGGAGATGTCCTGCACCGAATCAGTGTGACCCTTCAGGGTCCGCTCGAAATCCCCAGCCTCGTAATCCCAGACCTGCACAATGGGACAAACATACACACTTTATTCAAAGTGACGTAAAACAATGTTGCCCTTTAAAACCTTTTTTGTAGCTCGGGTAAAACATCTGAGGGCTCTGGTACAGCACAACCCACAGCCAATAAAACTTAACAAAATATATAATATATATATAACAGGATTATTATGATTATGATTTATTATACACTGCACTTTTCCAATTTGATTTTATAAATGTACACTACCATTTAAACATTTGGGGTCGGAAATATTTTTTAATGTTTCTGAAAGAAGATTCTTATACTCACCAAGGCTGCAATTATTTGATAAAAATAAAAAACAAACAAAAAAAACAAAAAAAAAACAGTAAAAGCAAGTAATTATAATTTTTTATTAATTTGAATGAATTTTTATATATTTTAAAAATGTAATTTATTCCTGTGATTGCAAAGCTTCAGTGTCACATGATCCTTCTGAAATCATTCTAATATGCTGATTTTCTGCTCAAGAAATATTTGTTATTATCAATGTTGAAAACGGTTGAGCTTCTTAATATTTTTGTGAAAACTGGATCATTTTCCCCCTAGAAATCTTTTTAGAAATTTTAAAAGAACGGCATTTCTTTGAAATAAAAATGTTTACCTTTACTTTTGATCAGTTTAACTTGTTCTTGCTGAATAAATGAAAAAAGATCCCAAACGTTTAAATGATAGTGTATATGGAATAATAAAAGAATGAACAATAAGGGAACCATACTGATCAGGACAAGACTGTTTTTGCCTTATGTCTTAATGCAGTGCAGGATTTTCCCAAAAAAAACACAAAAAAACAGAAAACTGCAGAGCATCATTTACACAAGGCAATTATAAACCCTGACTCATCAACTAGTACAACAGAGCAGTTGTGCAAGCTCTATTTCACACTAGAGCGCCAATCTAGAATGTTAAAAGTACAGTGGCAAAGATGAATAGCAGGTTTTAAATCCCGCACAGAAAGACTATACTGCTTCAGCTACAACTGTAAATGACAGCAGGTTAGACAACAAAGTAAATTGAGGGGATTAAATCTATGAGGAAAAAAAGGTGTGATGCAAAATGTCTCTATCTGTGATCATTTTCGGTGACTTATAGATCTTTTCAAGGGAAAAGGAACAAAGACAAGCAGAGCGAGAACGCTTATAACTGCACTGCCTGGCGTCCAGAGAACCTCTCACTGCGCCGTTGCCCTGGGAAACCAGAGCATCACGATTTCTCCATGGAGATAGGCAGTGAGTCAGCAGAAAAGAATGAGAGCAGATGGATTTGAAATCTAAAATGTGTCCCAAGAAAACATCCATATAGTGCATGCATGCATACATACATCCTTGTACAGCCTATCAAAGTCAAAACATCTGATGCATTAAAAAAAAAACAACACCTTTATAGTGGCGTCCTCTGAGGCGGAGACCATGAGGCTGAACACAGGGTGGAAGATGACGCGTGTGACAGGGCTTCTGTGACCGCTGAGGGCGTACTTCTCAGGCGGGCGTGGGATCCACTCTTTGGGGTCTCGTTTCTGTGCCACGGGGCCTCCTAAAGTTATCTCCTCCTTAGCTTCATTTAGTTTGGACTCCAACTCCATAACCTAACACAATACAGCATTGTGACCCCAGTTTTTACTGTATTATTTTGGAAAACAGACATCTGTGCAATCATTTTAAAAAAACGTTTTACTGTACGGACCTTTTTTTGTAATCTGATGACTGAAGTCCATTTCTTTTCCAAAAGGCCTGCGTACTTCTTATCCAACTCCTCATTCTAAAATTATAAGTCAGGATGACAATGTGACATACTAACACATCAAAAGGGAATGCCTTTATTTTAAATCTTAGTGTGAAAATGTGGTAATACCATATCTAACTCTGCCTCCTTCTTAAAAACAGAATATGCCTCTTCGTAGCCATTGGAGCGCAGATAATCTGCTATTGCTCGATTTCTGAAAGGCAAAGATGGGACTTTATTAGACAAAGAGATGTGTGATCATGCAGTTAAAGGAGGAGTTCACTTTAAATTTGCTGATAATTTACTCACCCCCATGTCATCCAAGATGTCCATGTCATTCTTTCTTCAGTCGAAAAGAAATTAAGGTTTTTGATGAAAACATTCCAGGATTTTCAATCTTCAATGGGAACCAAACAGTTCAAGGTCCAAATGAGAGTTTCAGTGCAGCTTCAAAGGGCTTTAAACGATTCCAGACGATGAAAAAGGGTCTAATCTAGCGAAACGATCGCTCATTTCAAAAATAAATAAAAAAGTTTCAGTTTTATAAGCACAAATGTTGTTTCACAAGTGTTTGTGACTCTCCTGTTCAAATTCGTTCATCAAAATGAACAAATCTTTTGGAGTCATTTCATGCATTCAACGAGCGAAATGACTCGGAAAAAGATTTGTTCATTTCGATGAACGAGTTCGAACATTTGGACACTTGAACCGTTTGGTTCCCATTGAAGTTCATCATATGGAGAAAAATCCTGGAATGTTTTCATCAAAAACCTTAATTTCTTTTCGACTGAAGAAAGAAAGACATGGACATCTTGGATGACATGGGGGTGAGTAAATTATCAGCAAAAGTTGTTTTAAAAAGTGAACCACTCCTTTAAGCTCTAATAAAAACTCCCAGAGAGTATCAGTATGCGATCAAGACTGAGATTTAATGCATGTACGGTGAATGATCAACGATGAGAATGGATTTAAATCACATTGGCAGAGACAGAGATGGGTCATTCTGTGTCAACTTAACACGAGGTCTCTGGTTCAAACTTTTGATTTTGTTAATCTATGTCTGTAGAAAGACAAACATAAATAGTGATGAAAAATAGATTATAAATATAAAGTAATCCCTTACAATTTACTCACAATGTTTTGGTGATGCAATAATTGTCACACTACATGGTTATAAAAGAGTGCACACTCCCATCTCTTAATGAAAGTGGAGACCGGGGAAAAACCAGAGCAGGAAAGTAACCAAAACAGTACCCCTGTTGCCATGGACACATGCCACCGAGAGGATGGAAAAAGTCTCAAATGACACAGCAGGAATGACCAAAATGGAAGACTGAGCACTTTCACTTAGTCTCAGTTTCGACACACAAGCAGAGCCTCTACTTTTATCTTCATTATGCAAATGAGTCTTTCACCTCTTCAGATGATGGTGAATATTTCATTAGCTGAACAATGGGTTAAATTAAGGTAGTGAAGTCAGCACCTTTGAGACTTAGACTTAGACAGAAACCAAGCAGTCAAGCAACCAAAAGCAAAAACTGGATTCAGAAGAACGGCCATCTGAAGATATTCAAATTAACCAGGCATTAAGTTTCTTAATGGTGACTTGGGAAAAGCTTTTCCCCAAATCTATCCTATCCTGAGCTGATGTCATATGCAGCAGACAGGAAAAAAATCCATTTTAAAGTGCCCAACCCAAAATACAGCCACTATCTTCTACTATATACTGAAAAGCAAAGTTTCAACTCAATATAAAATACAATCACGATTCATTTTTTGTGTGATTTTTTTCCCCAACCTCTAGTAAAAATGCTCTTGGAAATTAATTTATAGGGGGAAATCATCACTCCTTAATGGAAATGTTAATACTTTCACTGATCAGAATATTAAATTATTTGTGAATCAGCTGTCCATAACAGGCCCAAACCAGCCATGGTCCCAGCAAAGACTAAAAATATAGTCTAAATCCTGTTATTGACAAAATCCCCCAAAACAGATTATTTTCATCAATATTACACACCCCTGAAACCAGTTTGACAAAGGTCATTTGGTGTCAGAGCAAAAATTATGCACTTTAAAGAAATCGACTTCAGTATAAAGATTAGGTTGGCCTCAACTGGTTAAGTCTGATGTTTGTTATGTGGCTTTGGCTTAAAGGCTTCAGCAGTACAAGCTCCCAGAAATAACTTCCTTCCAAACAAGGTGGCCAGCCGACAAGGACGCATCCAAAATGTGCTCAAAACTGCCTTTTCACCTATATCATATCTTCTTAATACAGCTTCTACTAACCATCACTCTTTAAATCAGCGAGATTACCCAAAAGACCCCCGGTGCTACATGAAGCGTGGAGGATGCACAAGGATAGTCACGTAATTATGAATATGAACCCTCCACTCCGAGTCCTCAGTCATGAGGCTTTATAAAATATTAAACCTAACTTGCTGTCGCAGGAAGCTCCCCGAGTCGCAGGCAGCCATGCTCTTCACTACTGCCATGAACGTCACTTCATATCAGGTTTCTCGAGAAGGTATAATCGTTTTATATTTGATCACAAGTTGATATTTAAGCATTTCAGAATCAAACAGACACTTACCGTATTTTTCAGAATACAAGTCATGTATGTGAATCATCTGAAATGCTCTCGACTTGTATTACAAAGTGACTTAAATAATTAACATCTAGCATGCAAAACACAGACTGATCTCATGAAATGGCGTATGTATGACACCCCAATTCGTATTTTCATTTTTTGCGTGCTATCAACACGCACAATAGCTTTTCAGGGTGTTTATGAACGCCGTTTATGAAACGAGTTTTTTTGTGATTGTCGGGGGCAAAAATCCTTGATTACGCGGCCCGTTTTCTTTAAAAATGCGAAGGAATATGCAGGATATTTATGCAATTTTATGCAATGAAATTGCGGGAACTTGCAAAAACTGCGGTTTGATGAAAAAGAGAAAAGTGATTCCCCCAACACCCTGTTCTCACTAGGCTACTACCTTAATGTAAAGAGTAATTTCTTATTACTTCCTTTGATATGCAAGCATACTACATCATAGAAAGTGCTGGGAATATTTAATTTCTCATCTTGTTTTATTTCAGACTATAACGAGTGTAAATAAGGTGTGGCCCCTTTAAGAGCTGCGCGCTCCCTGTTGAACTCTCTGCAGTGTTATATGTGCGCCTCAAACACCCCATGTGTGCGGGTAATTTCTGTTTGATGCTTATTCTTTTATCTTATGTTGTTTATTAAGTAATGATGTGACGGTAGAACGTGTGACAGACAGTTATACGAGTTCGATTCGTGAGATGTCAATCGCCTCCGTGTGTCTGTCTGGCCTCTGCAATAACTTCAGCTGTGAGCTTTCCCGTCGCGTAATTGCGTCACTTCATAACGTTCCCATGGAAACAGGGGGAAATGGCTGCTCTTGTGTGAAGCAAACAAAACATTTTTCAACTTACAGCTAAGACACATGTGACTTTTTTGCAACGAAAATGCGAGGATTATGAAATCATGCAAACCCCGCATATTTTGCACGGAAATCTGCAATTTATGCTGCGAAAGTGCGGCGTATTCGAAAAAATGCGGCCCCCGCATAAATATGCAGACTTTGACTGATTTTGCATTGAATTCAGCGATCGCATAATCGCGTTTTTCTGGAGGGACTGTATATATAAATATATGACCTACCCAGTGTTACCCATGCAACGCATTTCTGGTCAGCTGAGCCTTGAAAAGAGGCGCTCAAAGTTAAAAATAATGAACACCTTGTTTCATTACATACATCTACTAAAAGTTGTAATGAATCAGCATTTTTGAACATGCTCGTTGAATGAAGGGTTTAATGATTAAAAGACAGTCCGTTGCCGTAACAATGTAACTGCGCGCTGAGTGACAGCCTTTCAATGCGCGGAGACGCGGTTTAGTTTCGGTTACAGAAAATGTCTTCGTTTTTGTGCATGCTGACCACATCGTAACACTTATTTATATCGCAACAAATAAATGGCGATAATACCGCATATCGCACTATTAAAATAAAATGTAAAAATTACCAGCCCCACAGCCCCACTTGTAGCACACAATGAATCGGAAGTCTCGCAAATTGAAAAATTAGCTTACTTCCGCATTGCAAATAGTCAGGAGTGACTTATTTTCTGAAAAATATGGTAAATGTCAGCCTATTAATGTGATTGATAGCATATGGACTCACAGTTCATCTCGTTGCCTCTGTGACAGCACCATTGTGTCAGGAGGGTGGGGGCGCTGTCTCTGCCCCGAGTAAGGAGCTGGCGAACAGTCCCGAGCAACTCCTCAGCAGAGACACAATCTCACACTCTTGTGCAAGCCGAGGTTACTTGGGCTTGGATGCTTCCTCCACAGCGACACACCAGACCACAGCAAAACAGATGCTGGAACTAACACCAATTTGATCCACTTGCCATCTAGGGAGAAACAGATAAATTAGAAAAGAAACATTAAAGCAGTTCATTCAAGATAAAGGTGAAGCCGCTATAATTGTGAATTTGCACACGGACAAAAAGCGTTACACAATAAAATAGCCATAATTCGTCCATTAGCATTTTTACTCACTCTCCAACTTATATTAAATCAAAAGTGTATCTGCCAAACATCCACACAGTAGCATTCAGCCCCGCAATGACAGCCAGACTGGAAGTGCTGGCGGTGGCGTGGGGTAAATCCCCTCTCCTAATCCTGAGGGGACGGTGGTCCAATAAAACAGAGTCGTCCAGACGAATAGTGGGGTGTTAAAGACTGAGACAAGACTCTGTAATCCTTTCAGGAGGTTTTGACAGCCTGCATATATCCACTATAACCTGTATGGTGCAAACTAAAATAGCTTGATGCAGGTGAAAAATGTCTATGTACATTAATAACTACATAATCATTAACTAAATACATTACTATAGGGATAGGATTACGGCAGGGGTGCAAAAGTCAGTTCCAGGAGGGACACGGCCCTGCAAAGTTTAGCTTCTTCAACCATAATTAAATCCAGCTAATCAAGAAAACTACAGGTATGTGTTGTAGGGCTGTAGATCTTCAGGTACTGATTTTTGCTAGTACATATATATATATATATATATATATATATATATATGTATGAATATTGCTACTGCCAAGACATCAATCCTAAAACAACAAAACTGCAACAAACTAATAAGAAATGCCTTCTGTGTCGGAAAGTGAATCTTTTTTTTATTCGCTTTAGTTGTTATTATTACATTACGCAATATTTCTGTATATAATAATTAGCTAAAATTATTGCTATAATAATGAACTGTAATTATTGCATTACACACTATTTCTGTAGTAATTAATTCATTTTGGTGGGAAACTGAAGGATAAAGTGAGTTCACCTAAAATGTGTAGGCTAATTATGAGAATATATTTTTTAATTATTTGTGTGTTGAACTAAAGACATGAACATGAGTATGAACAACATGAGTATGAGTAACTTTGAATTTTCCCTTTTGGGTAAACAATAACAAAGTCCCTTTGTAGTCAATTGTATCCCTTAAAACTCATCTTTGATCTTTAAGTCTTTAAAAATCCTGTGAATTTTTTTTTACTCACACCTTAAAATAGCTTGAATGTAACTATAAACTCACTTATTTAATAAACATGGATAGTGGATGCATGAATATGAAAATTAGCCCAGGCTCCACTCACTCACACCAGCTCAGAGACCGACTCGGTTAACTCAAATACACAACTCGATGCATCAGAATGGTAATGAGTTTTATGTATCGCTCGGACACATAACGGACCGGTAATTAATATGATTACCCTTTTGCTTGACTACGCTATCAAACAGCTAATAATGTGCTTCTTATGTTACAAAAACAACATGTTCCCGTTCACCATCCCAGAGCCTGACAGCCGCTTTCTAAAAATCAGTATTTAGAAACACTGAGTTTGAACAGCTTAAAACGCCACTGGAGTAAGGCATTTAGTTCATCATACATAATATACAAAATTCACCCGATATATTGCTAAATCTACCTGATTTTTCATATCAACAGAATAATATACTGACCTGGGATAACCTGGCTTCTCTCGAGACCACAGTTAATATGCTAAATACAGGCTGACGTGATTGGTTACAAGGTAGTTTGTGATGTCAGAAACACCAGCGATTTCAAACTGTGTTTTTAAGACTGTCGTTTGGTTCACTGCAGTTTTAAGGAGAAAAAAAAAACTCAGCAATGGTGTTGTTGACTTAAAGCATATTAAAAACACCACAGACAACATTAAAAACCATTTAAAAACAAAAACATTAACATTAAAAACTTAATTTCCACCACGGGGTGAGTCTTTTGTAGCTCACTATAGTTTGAATTACACTCCTGCCTAACATAATAATCAGGTTTGGAATAACGTCAATGCAAAAATAAAGTAAACAGAGCACTTTGCATTCTGCCTGCTAACCACAAAACTGAACTGCGGATAAAAAGTGAACCAACTTTTCATGCAGAGCAGTAAAATATAGCCAACTTTTGAGGCCATCACGAGTCCCACACCACGTGTGCTTGGAGTATGTGTAGTTAAGGACAGAACAGAGCGTCGCTTATTCACTTTGTAGCATGCAGCACATTCAAACTAACACACTAAGCCACATTCTGACATATTGCTTGTAATAAATGTGATAAATTGTAAAGCTCTACTTTTGTTTTGTGTGTATTCAATTCAATAAGGTATTACTTCCCCCTTAAACAACTAATTGTTAGAGTTACCATTCATGTCCCAAGCAGGGGAAATAATGAATCGTAACTTCCCTGCATTACACAGAGTAAAGGTCATTATATACATCTCCGTTAATGAACAGGAAAAAGCAAGCTGTGATTAAAATGCTCCTATGAAATTAAATAAACTCAACAACAGCTTTCATTTCTAAATGACCCAACAATGAACTGAAGGATCTACGGAAAGCCCAAAATGCAGATACAATACAAATGGTTTATTAGAATAGACGGGGCTCCAGAAAGCAAACAAATTGACAAAAAGCAAAAATTCTGAAAATGTTGGTTAAAACAATATCATATAACAGGTGCAAGACACAATGTAGTCAAAAAAAAAGCAAAGAAAGGGTGAACGTCCACATACTGATTTCTTGCTCCAAAAGAAAAAAGATTGCTTGCTTGCACTAAAGTAAACCAAACAGCTAAAAGAACATGTTTGAGCAACTGGTGCAGTTGAGTGGAAAACGTCTACTAGGAAAGCTTCTTGAGGCAAGTCAAAAATGAAAAGTTGTTGTACATTTTTTATTAAGTGAGGCTGTGATGCATGAACTGGGTCAGTGGCACGATATATTGTTTCAGCACCGACATCACGATGTGCGCATCCACGATAGTCACATGACGGGGCGTGTGATGTCAAGTGGGGACCGCAATTAGAGATGCACTGATTGCAATTTTCTTGATTAATGTCAGATTTTTTAAGTGTGAAATGTCGATATTCCGAATTTCATAAGAAATATAATTTATAGTAATATAGCATATAATGTACTTTTGTTTTCTTCAAAGCTAAATTTTTATTTTGGTTTAATATATATATAGAACAACATACCATCCTAAAGTTTAGTGTATTAAGGCCACACAGCCTAAAGGCCCACAAACTCACACCAAGACTAACATTCTGTGTGACAACCACTTGAATTTAAATGAGTTATAAACATTTGCATGCCGTCAATATTATTACGGATAGATGTTAATATCTTTTTCAATTCTATTGCATTGCAAAAAAAAGGCAGCGAAGTAATAAGATGTGTTTTTAGATCATCAGCCTGTGGATGCAGCGGTTACATAAACTACGAATTGGTAGCACTCACGAATACATAACACTGGTTGACTTTGTTTCTCAGTGACATGGGTTTCAGAAATGGAAAGTTGCACACCACTGCCCTGTTTTATTTTATTTTATTGGAACTATTTAAACAACGAACACATAATTATGTGTTTATTAAACATAACACAACAGCCATCAAATCAAACACAGAGACTATCATAATCAAGTTGATAAAAAAAGAAAATATACAAATAATAGTGCATGAGCATCTCTATAAGCAAATAGCATATTACACCACTGTATCTCTGTTTTTCCATAAGCACCGCCTCCTGTCAAAGAGTTTCCCATTTCCCCCCCACAATTATCTGGAAAAAATAGGACCAAATGATCATGCCAAATACTTGTTAATTTACAAGAATACCAAACATATTGTAATATATTGGATGCATTCATGGGGAAAGCATGTGAAGAGTATAATTTTTGTTATACACTATGATTTTGTTACCATGAAATTATCTCAAGAATTATGTGCCAGTTGAGTCAGTTTCACTGCTAAAGGCTAAAAACGAAGAAGAAAAAAAATACTGAATTAAATTGCAAAGAAGACGTCACACTGAATGACGTCAGATGTAAGGCAAGCTCAGGCAAAGTAGCCTAAAATTAATCAGGCCGGATAAATAATCATTAGCAACAAAAAGGAAACACCCACGTGGTAGAAGAGTGATGACAGCTGAATAATCTAACTAAGGTGTGTGTACACATATCAAGTGTTAGGGCAAAGCAAAGCGCTCACACCTCTACATATCATGATTATTGAGCTGGTGCTGATCTAACTTAAGCCAAAATGTAGTCATATCTGTCCATTAAGAGTCCGAGGGATCCCAAAAACATTAATTATATGTGTATAACAATAATTATTCTTGCGTATTCCAAAAACATCCCATCTTGAACACCGAATCAAAACATGATGGCACCCAGACAAGCAACGTTGACAATTTGTTTGCCAACTATTATCATGAACGGCTCGGCTATAAATCAGCAAACACATAATAACACATCCCACATAGCCTTGTTGACAGACCGAACAGTATATTATTATAACAGCAGCGAACCGTACAGTTATGCACCGGCATCGATGTGATGAATCTCCGGCCTTCAACCATCATAGGCACACCCAATCCCAAATATCACTCACACCAGCCAGTTAAATAAAACTTTAACGCCTTTATGAAACTACCTTAGTGGGGAAGAGGATTTTACAGACAGAAATACAAATGCCACTAGCAGATATGACTTATTCAGTGAATTTATTGCTGAGATGATGCTAACATGAACTAGCTAACATTACTAGTATGGGTCAAACCACTAAAGGCCGGCTGTCACAAATGCCTCGTCAGGTAAGAGGCTTAATTTAATTAAGTGAGGATTAAATGCAAGTATTGGTTATGTATCCACGTTTGTATACAAGTTATGACATTGCCGGCGTTAGTTTATATTGCACTCTCTCTAATATTCCCACCCTTATTTTGCTCTAACGGCCTGTCCGCCATTTTGAGTCAGGCAGGCAGGCGGCGCAAATTTCGCAGCCACATACACACTTTAACCGACTCACTTTCACCATAGCGCAGCCAGCAACAAATATAATGTATCCTTACCTTCTCATATGAAAGGTTTCTTGTCTGGCAGATCACACAGCTGAGTTAAAATCTAAAACCGAATGAGATGGGTCTCCGTTGAAAGTCACTTCCGATTTCTCGGCTCAGTCAGCGCTGTTTCTCCACCTTGATTTCTGCACCGCATAACCGTCTACTGGTGACGTGCACGCGCACGGTGCAGCCGGGGCCGCGCCCGCCTTGAGGATCACAGCGGTCACTCACTTACATCATAACCTTCAGCTGACACTGAAGATCAGACTCATTTTAGGACCTTTTTGAACTTGTTAATATGTAATTTATAATATCATTTATAAATATAGGCCTACTCTTAAAAAACTCTCTATCTCTAGGCCTATCTAAAATGGCAAATGTTCTACTCCAGTTGTTACTAATGTAATATTCTGTGATCTCTTTTTGTTACATGCAGGCCAATAGCTAGTTTCCATCCACCCATTTTTATGCACATTTTTGGATATTGCACACAAAAAAAAAAAACGCTGGATAAAAAAGCCAACGATGCGCATAAATTCTAAAAATGCACATAAAAAAACTATTTGTACGTGAAATTGGGCATAAGTGGGCTATTTTATCCAAAGTGTTCTACATATAATTTTTTCCTCTCATGCATTCCCTGGGAATCAAACCCCTGACCGTGGCCTTGCTATGCTATGCTATGCTATGCAGGAATGATTTTAAGAGTGATTTGTGTTTTTTTTCCCATTAGGTAGAAGTCATTGTATCCCCTCTCAGCATGTGGCACACACTCAGGCCTCTAGAGGACCTCTCATGAACATCACGATTGGTAAAAACCCTTTCTGCACAGGCTTATAGCATTTGCATGTTATCACAGACAAAGGTTCTTGTCTATGTCGCATGTTAGATTTCCACCACAGCTGGGTTTCAACAGTTGGATTGTCTTTTGTGAGAGAAATGTTTCTTGTTCCTTTGCACAGAGCTACTCAACACCCTTGGCAGTGCCAGCCCAGTGCAGTTTCCTACAGAGATGTCAGCGGTAAAATCGGCGGATTCCTTTGTACTGATGCACTGTATAGCCTATTAATTAATAAAATAAGCTTCTTGACAAGTCTTTTATCTTAAATGTATTTGAAAATGAAATAAAGCAAAGCCAACTTACCCATTATAGAGTACTTTGTCTGTAAGCAAGCCGCACGCGTCAACGCTGTCAGTATGAAAGCAAAACGCGTGTGTCCTGCTTCCGCTCACCATACGCACTGCTCCTGCGCTGCTTATGCTCTGCTAACCCGTGCGGTGTGAAACCGGCCTAAGACACGAAACGAGCGGTTTGCGTGAGAAAACGAACAGTATTTATATCGTTTTTACCTCTTGTTACCACAGCTACAAAGCGCCCACGCCCTCAGATCAGTTGGACGTGGCTGTGGTTACAAGAGGTAAAAACGATATAAATACTGTTAGTTTTCTCACACAAACCGCTCGTTTCATGTCTTAGTCCATCAATGTGTACTTACATTTACGAGTCATTAAATCATGTTTAATTTGGACTTCTCTGTGCATGCTCTTTGAGGTGGTGACCATAGACCTCCATTATATGACTGACAGACAAGAACGGTTTGATCTAAAAACATCAAAATTGAAACTACTGCGGAAACAAAGACACCTACATCTTGGATGCCCTTGAGGTAAGCTAAAACATACCAAAAATTAATTTCAAAGTGAACTATCCCTTTAAGGAGTGGTTGCTGGTGATTTTGTTTTGGAACCTTCAGAAAACTTGATTTTTGTTTTTCAAAATGGACTTTGCTGAGTCTAACTAACTGAAATTAAAAGCATTAAAATTACTAACTGAAAGAAAAATAAATTAAACCTAAATAGTAATTTTGAATAAACAAAAATTGTAAATTAAAAAAGAAATTCAACAAATTAAAATGAGAGCTGAAAAATATATATATATAAAGCTAATTTAAAATTAAATTTAATATTCTAAGATTAGTTCTTTATTTGAAACATAATCATATTTCTTGGCCAACATTCCTGAAATCAAGCAAAGCTCAGTGTAAACTCAAGTATGAAGTGCATGCATTAGCCCTCTTTACTAGTCTTGTACACATACAGTTCAACAGCACACATCAACATACAAAGGAAGATATAAATGATCAGACAGGTCTGTTTACAAATGTGCAAATTTGCAGTTACAATCAACAGCCAGATACACTCATGCTTTTTAAAGGGAGTGCTATATTTTCTTGCAAGATCATCCACTTTTTCTTATTTCATTTCCTATTAATATGTTTAAAGCTAAACTAGATCATTCTTCATTTAATAGCTCATCTGTCTGTTTACTTCATTTAAAGGCGTTAGTCGTCTTGAGTAACAGCTTGGAGTGTGTCGAAGTCCTCAGACGGCACCTGCAGATCCTCCGTTGACTCAACGTGATTTTGTGCGGGCTGACATGTTTTCTGAGCGTCAGTCTGGAGTTTCTCAAGGTCACTGTCACTTCAGGGGTAAAAGAAAGTGGATGAATTTTAAATAGTTAGAAATGCAAAGAGAGAATAATATAGAGAACAGAACAGAGAACATGTAAACATTATAAATAGGGCTGTGCAAAGACTAATTGCGATTAATCGCATCCAAAATAAAAGTTTGTGTTTACATAATATATGTGTGTGGGCTGTGTATAAATATTTTGCATATATAAATATACATATGTATGCATGTATATATTTAAGAATTATTTGCACCTAAATACTGTATATATAAATGGTAAAACATTTTCTTAAATATATACATGCACGTGTGTGTATTTATAAAATAATTTTACACAGCACACACAAATGTATTATGTAAACACAAACTTTTATTTTGGATGCGATTAATCGCAATTAATCTTTGCACAGCCCTAATTATAAAATAATTTTTTTGGTGTAGTTTTAGCATTTTTAGGGTTGGGTTTTCTATGTATACTGAACAATTCCTCACATTCCATTCATTCCTAAGGGGGTCAAATTGACCCGTGAGGGAAATATTTGTTACCGGTAATTTTTAAAAAAATTACAACCACATTGTTTTAATTTTTTTTTTTTGAGTATTTGTGCTTCAAATGCAACAAAAGTCCTAAGGTCTTGGACCACTCCGATAAACACTCAATTTCATAAAACATTTTTTTTTTTTAAATATGTTCCGAGTCAAATTATCCCGAGGGAAGGATGAAAAACAATCACAGCCACATAAAACTACCCTTTAACGCATATTTATGTTATAATTACATTGCAATCAATGAGCGATTGAAAAGTTCCTGACTGGTAAAGGTTATTTTTCTTACCTAAGAGGAATAAGGACAATCCCAGTGACGAGATTTAGCTGCTCCACAATCCAGACACGACTTGGAGAGTTCAGCTAAATGAGCGAACAGCGCAATTAATTCATCATTATAACACAACAATATCAACTGAGACATGTACAGTACTAACATTGAGATGGGAGATATTGGTGTCTGATCCAGTCTTGTAGATCCAGTTCATAGTTTTCTGTAGAATCACTGCCTGATGTGTCAGATGCTTTAGGTACTCTGAACTCTCTTGGGTCTTCTCGTGTGCTTCTCCCACCTATTAAACACAGCATTTATTAAAATCTACATTCGATTCAAGGCAAATTCAAAACAAATCTGCTCATTTTGTATTCTTGTAACCATTTACCTGCTTTCTGTATATGCCGTAACGCTCCTTTTCATGCCTCAGTGCAGCACGGAAATCTCCTTTACTTTCATGCACCTTTGCCAATAAGTGATGACTGTGGAGAAGGACAGGATCGTGAAACACTTTCCATTTATGTTTTCTTCAGGTTCAGAACATATGAGTGCTGTATCCACAACAAAGTTGCTTGGTTGTGTTTCTGTTCACTCTTCACCTTTGTGCCAGTTTGAGAGATGAGGGTCCCTGATATTTGGAGGTCAGGGCGAGGGCGTTCTCCAGGAACTTCAGGGCAAGATCACAGGCCATCATACTATGAAGCACAAGGCCTATTTTACTCTGTACAGGACATGAACGCAAACCATGCTTAAGTTAAAGGTGCTTTAAAACTAGTTTGTGCATTTAGTAACCATTTGCAAAGATATTAATGAGCATTACTTATTACGTAGTAGTATATATAAATCTGTATATGATAAAAAATGATCTTCCAGCAGGTGTGTACACAACATTAAACAACAGAATCTATTGATTAATATGGGGAAATATACAAGAATTATAAAAATGCTGTTTAAAATAGCTCGAATACAGCATGTCAAACTGCAGGCCACTAGTTGACATGTTGTTTTCAATGTCCCTGTTACTCATTATTATCACATTGCTATGATGATTATAACTCACATCCAGTAAAGTCATCTCAGGATGGTCTTCTCCACACACCAGGAGCATCAGGTATCGGGCACGGTATAATAATCGCAGAGCTGTCACTGGCTGCCCTCCAGCAAAGCAATACAGACCAAGGTGCTTCTACATAAAGAGGAAACAACTTTTCGTATATTGACACCAGCATAACTGTATGATACTACAGTAAACCATACTTTTAATTTACACTGAGATGATTACGTACATATTCCTGTATGGTGTTGGGATGCTCAATTCCCAGGACTCTTTCACTGATCAGCACAGCCCTCTGCTGGTGACTGAGGGCCTGGCAGCATAAAATACAAATTTCATTTCAAAATGTCATTTATTGAGTTCTTTATTCAATGTCATTTTGGAGCATGTGATACCTCAGCGTAGTCTCCGAGGATGTAGTGTATGCGTCCCAATAGCCTCAGACATACGCAGACGTCCTGATGCAGAGCCCCGTAGACATTAGTGAAGAGACCCAAAGCCTGGCTTATTAACTCACAGCCCTCTTTCAAGCAACCTAGTGACGAACAAAGATTGTTTGAATGTTATTTTTGTTTAAAATATACTACCGTTCAAAAGTCTGGGTCAGTAAGAGGTGTTTTTTTAAATTAATTTCACATTAATGCATTTTTAATTTTTTTCCCCATTTTTTTCTATTTGAAATAAAGGCTTCTTTTGCCGTTTTGATTCAGAAAATAATCCTAAAAAAAAAAAAAACAGTTTTTATGCTCATGTATATCAATTGTTGCTTTTTTAATTTTTTTATTGTATTTAAAGTGCCTTAGAGTTACCGTCTCGATAAAAATAGTTTATTGTTATTATTATTATTATAAAAAATAATAAATACTTTTATTTAGATTTTTGCTAATACATTCCAATGTCAAAAATAAAAATACTAAATAAAATAAAATTCTATCTATTAGGGGTGTAACGATACCCTCATGTCACGATTCGATACATATCACGATACAATATTATTGCGATACGATACTCCAAGACATATGGTAAAAGATTAACCAAAAATGTACTGTTGATTAAAATGCTAAATTTGATCATTAAATGAATAGGCTTGGACTTGGTGTTTGTAACCCAAGGAAAATGGTAAAACCAGAATAACAATATTCATGATTCTGAAGCTGAAATTACTGAGTTATTGTAGATTATATGCTTGCACGCTTTCACTGACAAGATATATTTAAAAAATAATGTTGGCCACTTTTTATTGGTAACATCAGACATTTGGCAATATCAGGACCCACAAATTGCATTATTATGCATTATTATAATCAACATTATATATAGTAGTTCAGTGTGATAGTCTGGTCTATCTATCTATCTATCTATCTATATATTATTTATTTATTTCATCCAGATAAAGTCCCCAGATTGAGAGCTACTTTGAGTGCTCACCTTTCTGGACCTGAGACTGACCACAACGCAAGAGATAAAGAGCATCGTTGGCCCTGGGACTGATGTGCTTTACTACGGGGAAGATGTTAAGGATGTCCTCTTCAGTGAACACCGTTCTGTGCTCAGAATCAAAGTGATACTCTCTTAAAAGAATCTGAAGGAGAGATAGAGATGGGGTAGTTATCGGGGTGAGAAAAAAGCACAATAATCTCAATCTGAAGTACCTGAATGCCAGTTTTGATGGCGATCTCTCTGAGCAGGGTGTTTCTCTGCAGCCTGCATTTGTCCACGGCCTCCTCCACACTTCCACTGCCAGAAGGAGACGAGATCCCACTCGTATCAAATCACAGCGCGCCATCTATTTGTGTTCAGAGAACTGGTCACTCACCAGGGCAGGCTGTAATGGTAGTACTCCCGGGCCTCAGTTTTGATGGCCTCCCAAAGGTCACTGGGAGTGAGGTTGGCCCAGACAGTCACGGTGCCGCCCACAGATGCACGACTCCGCCTTCTCCGACTCCTGCGTCTAGAAGCTAACTTGTCGTTTTGCTGGATGACTCCGGCATCGGCAAAAGAGCTCAAGAAGCAGTTGAGGAAATGGCTGACGGAGGCGGACAGGGCAGATGGTTCCACTGCCTGAGGAGTGTCATAGCATTATATTTGTGATGATATCCCACTGAGCATTTAAATACCGTAAGCAATTTCTGGACACTCACCAAAAGATACGTCTTAAACAGATGTTTTGCACATCTGGTGATCAGCTCACAGAGTGCAATTCTCTGAAAGAGGTTCAAAAAAGTTACTTTTTCAAATGTAATAATTGTATAGTGGGCGTCGTACACACACATCTTATTAGTTCTTCTCTTCAGATTAAAATAAGTTAGTCTAGTGGTACAACTTTAATTTACATTTAAAGGATCACTCTGACTTTTTGGGACTTTAGCTTATTCACCGTATCCCCCAGAGTTAGATAAGTCCACACACACCTTTTTCATCTCCGTGCGTGCTGTAACTCAGTCTGACGCACCCACCGCTAGCTTAGCTTAGCACAAAGACTGGATGTAAATGGATACAGCTAGCATACTAATCCCAAATAAGTGACAAAATGACACAAACATAGTCACAGAGTGTACAAATAACAAGGTCATATGAGACACAGCCATCTTTTAACCGTATAAATATTGGGAACTAATATTACAGCTGAACCAAATCCTATTTTTGGTTGGAATTCTATGAAACATCATGGTCTCTCCTATTTATTGTCGCAGCTCTTTACAATACAACGAACACCCATGATTGTAAACTATGCTTTTACGATCTAGTGATTGTTGACTCTATACTCGGATTCTGAACGAACTCTCTGCTACGTCTCAGGTGCTGCGGTAATCCCTCCGCTCAAGTAGCAGTGCTTCGCCTGAATATAGTTCCCAATATTTATACGGTTAAAAGATGGCTGTGTCTCCTATGACCTTGTTATTTGTACACTCTGTGACTATACAAATCACAACATGTTAAATAGGAAAATGTTTGCGTTATTTTGTCACTTATTTGGGATTAGTATGCTAGCTGTATCCATTTACATCCAGTCTTTGTGCTAAGCTAGGCTAGCGGTGGGTGCGTCAGATAGATACAAAAGCTCTCTCTATTTTGCTGTAGATCATTAAACTGGTTATTGAACCACACTAGTTTTGTGAGGTGCCTTCATGCACAAACGCTGCCGACGTTTTTGGACGCCGCCGTAGGAAGATAAACTAAAAATCCAAGGAACCAACAGAAAACGTGACAGGTATGAGTAAAATACACACTTACATAGACATGATCAAGCCTTTGTTTCTGGGGTATCTTCTGAATATTCTCCAGCACAGAGCCCAGGTAGCGGATGTTGATGCCGTGCTGATGCAGAGCCTCGGTTAGAGTGACGCCGTCTATTGGCATTGATGTGTGGTCAAGGCAACTCTTCATCTACAAACACACACAGATAAAGATGCCATTTTTTCCCATTCAGCTCGGGGTTACACAAGGACAGACATCAGGGATAATCTGTTTTATATCCTTATCTATATCTTCCAATCCTAATAAAAATCAATAGGGCTGCTCGATTATGGCAAAAACCATAATCACAAACATTTTTGGTCACAATTATTTAAATCGATTATTGGTGGGCTATATAATCTCAGATTAGTCTTATTTCACGATTTTAGTAGCTAAAAATTTAAAAATTTCACAATTATCAGTACTTCAGCAAAACTAAATAGTACGTTTTTCAGGAAGATGTACTCGCATTCAGATAAATAAATTGAATAATCAAATGTAAAATAACATTGCACAGTCTTGCTGTACACATTAAATATAGATTAATCCTTATTAAAGGGTTAGTTCACCCAAAAATGAAAATTCTGTCAGTATTTACTCACCCTCACGTTGTTCCAAACCTCTATGTGTTTATTTGTTCTGCTGTACACAAAGGAATATTAATATTATCCGTGTATTAACCCTTAAAGTGACAGCAGCCTAATATACCTGCTGCTGTCTATCATTAATGATAATCAAACAACTATCTTGACCTGAATAACTTAACTAGCTTTAAAGGGTTAGTTCACCCAAAAAATTCTGGATGATATATGGAAGAATGTTTTAATCAAACAGATCTCATTCCCCATTGACTACCATAGTATGTATTTTTTCCTACTATGGTAGTCAATGGGGAATGAGATCCGTTTGATTAAAACATTCTTCCATATATCGTCCAGAATTTTTTGGGTGAACTAACCCTTTAAAGCTAGTTAAGTTATTCAGGTCAAGATAGTTGTTTGATTATCATTAATAATAAACAGCAGCAGGTAAATTAGGCTGCTGTCACTTTAAGAGTTAATACACGGATCCAAAATGCTGACAGACACGCATTTTCTTTCTCAACCGTGTGCAGTTAAGCCATAACCCACTGTTTTTACGTGGAAAGGCATTTTGACATATTTGCCGGATCTGGGCCGACACCATGTTGCTGTTTTGGGTTGTGTGTACGCGTTATGACGCCTTATTCACGGCAGCGCCATCTTTGATTTTTAATGAGAATGAAAGCGAGGCTGTGAAGGATAGACATGCATCTCTTCAATGGGCTGTACTGTTATTTAATGTGTTTTCGGATTGTTCTGCTCATGAAACACTGGAAAAATATCTTTGACAAAAAACTTCCGACAATATAAGTTGTGGAAAATTGTACGTAATCTAGGAGCTTTATTCAGCTTTTTACAGCGGATGCCACTGGAAATACGGTAAGTCTATCCCTCACAGCCTCACTTTCATACCTGTCATGGCGCTGCTCTGAATAAGGTCTATTGAAGCCCATCATACGCATTCGGCTCCGACTCAAAGCACGCATAAAGAAAGGCACCTGGGGAACAGTGTCTCTTTTGTGGCTTAATGCGCTTTTGATTACACTGTTTAATATCAAACATGTCCTGCAATTTAGCAACAGTAGACTGTATTTTACAATACTCTCTTATTTGGCTGTTTGGATGTTACATTTGGGCTTTTAGGGAGGAAAGAAAGTACCTGTGAAGGAAAGGAAGGTGCGGAATAATACACAATAATCGGTTTACCTCGATTTAGTTGTTTTCATAAATGTTGAAAGCCAAAATCAATTACGATTAATCGCACATCCCTAAAAAGCAACTTACAAATGCGGGGATTTGATTGGAAATGAGGAAGACTGCAGCATCCTTTAACTGTTGTTTCTGTTTCTGGATATCTTCTGCACTTTCCTTGGGGAAACGTACACCTGATAAAAGAACAAAAATATTAGTAATGAAATGTTCATATTTATCCATACACGTGTAATATGCTGCTCATGTGTATAGCCAAAAGAGCTGCAAGGTAAACACAGAAACACACCTGCACAGAAGATGTTGGGGTTGAAATGTATGTCAAAAGTTTTCCTGAGGGAGGAGAAGATATGCTTTATTGAAGAAGTTTTTAGGGAAAGGTCCTCTGAATCCTGGTCTGGGAGTGGGGGAGATGTTGAAGATAGCTGAGGCGTAGTAGTTGGATCAGCCTTTAGTGCAGATTTGCCAACATCTTTGATTTCTTTGTCATGCTCAGTACTTTGAGAGACAGTTTCCATTAACATCTGGTATCTGGTGGCATTTCATATAAAAAGATCATTCAGCTTAAAAGGTTAATATTTACATCATGATGTAGAGTTTTTCTCATGCTGTGCATTTCAGTTGTAATCGCTATACCCAAAATTAGCAATATTTTCACAAAAACTGGCAAGACCAGGCCAAGAATCCTATTTCACCAAATGCCTGTATTCAGGAGGACCATTGATATTTTGAAAATTAAGCAAAATATTTTCAGCAAAATTCTCAGTACGTTAATGTGGCAGGACGTTATTATTAAGTTTATATAATTATTAATATGATAATCTCAATTATGGTTCTAATTGGATTCACATTACTGAGATAATCTTTAACTGTATTAAAGTAAAAATACGCTTTTTTTTTTTGTGCTGGGCAATGATTTATCGCGATTAATCACATTCAAAATAAAAGTTTGTGTCTACATAATACATGTGTGTGTGCTGCGTATAATTATTTTGTATATATAAATGCACACACATGCACGTATATATTTAAGAAAAATGTGTTATTTATATATATAATATTAATATTTATATATAATATCAATTATGTATAAATATACATGCAATATATACATGCACATATTTCTTAAATATATACATGCGTGTGTGTGTGTGTTTATATATACCAAATAATTATAAGCAGCACACACACATATATTATGTAAACACAAACTTTTATTTTGGATGCGATTAATCGCGATTATTAAATTCTATATTTTTATTTTTTTAATTGTTTTTAAATAATTATTTTTAAAAATAATTATTTAAAAGCACCAGCAACATCCTTCCATATTATTAAAGAAGAATAATGAGGTATAAATGTGTAAAGTAATATGGAAATGAATTATTATTTAAGATCATAAAAAGTATTTATTATCTTAAAATAGGCTTCATTCTCAACTGTGGATGAAAGATTTCTTCTTTTTGGGGGGGGATTTTTGGGTGAATTGTGATATTTTTGACAGGTTCACCTGTGTAATAATCATAAGACGGGTAAATATAATTACCGGTGCTCCACAAAGGCGTCAGTGAGTTCCTGTCTCAGGCACACTAGGCGATGAGGATGTAGCCTTGGGAAGCCCAGTTGTTTACACACGGGACTTAAATCCTCTCCTTCCACAGGAAGAAAGTTGAGGTCGGGTGGGAAGGTAAAAAGTAAATCCAGTATGTAGTGCCGACCATCATTACCCACAATGCCCTTGTGCTCCACCGAGGAGCACAACTCTACTGCTGTATCATCTTTGTTTAGCACTAGGTGGCGCTGCACTCGCAGCTTCTTACTGGGTTTGTCAAGCAGCTCCAGATACCTTCAAAAAGTTTGAAATGTGTAAAGTGGTGACCATAGACCTCCATTATATGACTGACAGACAAGAACGGTTTGACCTAATAATATAAAAATTGAAACTACTGCGGAAACAAAGACACCTACATCTTGGATGCCCTTGAGGTAAGATAAAACATACCAAAAATTAATTTCAAAGTGAACTATCCCTTTAAAAATGATGCATTTACCTGTCATCGGACACAACGGTCTTGCCAAAGTCAGTGGAGCCATAGACAACACTCTGTGCTTGGTCACGCTCAAGAATTCCCGGCACGATAGTTTGGGCAGTGACGCGGTAGCCGCGGTAATCGAACACTACAGTGCCAATCAGGTAGAGCTCTTCTTGATCCACTGCCCAATAAGCCCTCACACCGTTCAGGTCCAGAACAGGGGCGGCATGGGCCGCAGCCTCCCCTCCCAGATCTCTGTATTGGTCCTGCACATCAAAGCCTAAACTGAAGAAAATATTGTTCCAGATGAACATCTGCTGTCGTGGTTCTTCACTAGGGTTGATGGGCATCACGTTACCATCTACCACTGCCATGGCCCCTCGAGTGGCAGTGCTGACAAAATCACTGTTAGCCTGATAAAGTCAGTAAAAGGTCAGTATTAGAAACAGCCAATGAAAATGTTCCTGATGTTACATTTTAGATCAGAACGGCCCTGTTGTTTACACTTGGTATTAATAAAGGAGTAGTTCACGTTTAAAAAACTTTTGCTGATAATTTACTCACACCGATGTCATCCAAGATGTCCATTTTTTTCTTTCTTCAGTCGAAAAAAAGAAATGAAGGTTTTTGATGAAAACATTCCAGGATTTTTCTCCAGATAATGGACTTCAATGGGGTCCAAACGGTTCAAGGTCCAAAAGACAGTTTCAGTGCAAACCGCAAACTGTTCAAAGGGCTTTAAACGATTCCAGACGATGAATAAGGGTCTTATCAAGCGAAACGATCGCTCAATTAATAAATAAATAACAAAGTTTAAGTTTTATAAGCTCAAATGCTCGCCTTGTTCTGTTCTGTGATTCGTGTTCATGACTATCCCGAGTCAATTCGTTAATTTCGTTCGTTGAATGAACCAAATGACACGAAAAAAGATTTGTTCATTTTTATGAACGAGTTCGAACATAAACGTGCGTCACAGAACAGAGCAAGGCGAGCATTTGAGCTTATAAAACTTAAACTTTGTTATTTTTTTTTAAATGAGCGATCGTTTCGCTTGATAAGACCCTTATTCATCGTCTGGAATCGTTTAAAGCCCTTTGAACAGTTTGCGGTTTGCACTGAAACTGTCTTTTGGACCTTGAACCGTTTGGTTCCCATTGAAGTCCATTACAGTATTTAGAGAAAAATGCTGGAATGTTTTCATCAAAAACCTCAATTTCTTTTCGACTGAAGAAAGAATGACATGGACATCTTGGATGACATGGGGGTGAGTAAATTATCAGCAAAAGTGAACTACTCCTTTAACACCCGGTGTAAACAGGGCCAAAAAGTCATTTGTGGAACTGTAAAAGCCAGTTTTGATTCAAAGTTGAACACATATGATAAGTGGTAAAGAAGATACCTTAAAAACCGCTCTGTCCCTCATCAGACGATCAGTCACGTTTTTTCTCGGAAGCTCTCTTGTGGCCTGAAGTTCTTCATTCCAGTCCCGGGCCTTTGTTCAACACAGAGGAATGAGTGAAAAACTACTTGTGTAACTGGCTTGTGCGCTGACTTTCAACATTTTTACCTGAACAGGCACATGTTCTTCATAACCCAGGCGGAAGGAGATGACATCCTCTGCTCGGACACAGTCCATTGTGTGGTCAAGTGCTGGAGCTGTCCAGCTAAACACCTGGAACGGTGTGGCAATCCTTTCAAAGGGGTGTGTGGACCCTCTAAAATAAGAGAGAAGATGAGTAGTTTCTACTTACTCTATTACATTTACAAGAAAAACAATCATATTTCGTTTTATCATTTTATTTAGACAACGAATGAACATATTTTGCCGGTAAACAAGATTTAAAAGTTTATGGTATATATATATATATATTTTTTTTTTTTACAATTTTTACAGTTTTACTTAGATATTTTTAATTTTAGCACAGTTTGTTGTACTCTTTTCACTTGTCCTGAAAACTGTCATACCTCCTTTTCAGCAAGGCACTGAAGTTCTTCTTAAAAAGTGGACTGATATGACCCAGGAGATCCAGCAGAGCATGACTGAGGGCACTAGGATTGGCTGGCTTTGGATTAAAGCTGTAAGTCGTGGATCTAAGTGAAAATAAAAATATGTAACAAATCGATGCATTGGGTTTTTCTAGTAGGGCAAAGGCAATTTGTACATTGTAACTCACTGATTTACGTAGAACCCACGAGTTGATGCTGTTATACAGAAGTGTCTGTCTTCCATGGTCACCACATTGAGATACATGAGGTCTCCATGCATCTTTCTGTTTCCAGGAGGAGGATTCCAGCTACTCATGGTCAGAACCTTCAAGCACTCTAAGGACTGTAAAAAAGACGGACAATTAAATATTATCATATGCTATCTTCATTTTTAAAGGGATAGTTCACTTTGAAATTAATTTTTTAGTATGTTTTTAGCTTACCTCAAGGTCATCCAAGATGTAGGTGTCTTTGTTTCCGCAGTAGTTTCAATTCTGATGTTTTTAGGTCAAACCGTTCTTGTCTATCAGTCATATAATGGAGGTCTATGGTCACCACCTCAAAGAGCATGCACAGACAAGTCCAAATTAAACATGATCTAATGACTCGTAAATGGAAGTACACGTTGATGGCCTAAGACACGAAACGAGCGGTTTGTGTGAGAAAACAAACAGTATTTATATCGTTTTTACCTCTTGTAACGACAGCCATGTTCAAGTGATCTGAGGGCGCGGGCGCTTCAGTCTGCGCAAGCGCCGGAAGTGATCTCGCGAGTTTGCGGAAAAAATTCAACGTTGTCTGTTGATATAACGAAATCATCATATCTAAATAGGTTTAGATCTTCACAGTGAAGGTTAACGCTTCCGAAATCTCTGTGTAAACAATGAGTGAGGTACACGGCACGCGCGAGAGTTCACTTCTGGCGCTTTCCCTATTGGACAATTAACAGCGCCACTTGGATGTGGCTGTGGAGGTAAAAACAATATAAATACTGTTCATTTTCTCACACAAACCGCTCGTTTCGTGTCTTAGGCCATCAATGTGTACTTACATTTACGACTCATTAGATCATGTTTAATTTGGACTTGTCTGTGCATGCTCTTTGAGGTGGTGACCATAGACCTCCATTATATGACTGATAGACAAGAACGGTTTGACCTAAAAGTATCAAAATTGAAACTTCTGTGGAGACAAAGACGCCTACATCTTGGATGCCCTTGAGGTAAGATAAAACATACCAAAAATGACTTTTCAAAATGAACTATCCCTTTAATGCTATACTGTCAAAGTTCCTCAATTCCTACCTTCCCAAAATCTGTATGAGGTTGCAGAGGTACCAGCAGACGCTCCCTAGAGCCTGGAAGAATGTGATTTGGAGGACGGAAGCTGACACGCTTCAACCCGTCACCTATTCGCTTAGGTTTGCCGCTCTCTGGGATTTAAATTCATTGTATTATTTACAGGTCTCATGAGGTCTACTGTATAAGGTTATCTTATCTTAACTTCTAAGCCTGCTATCCTACCTAAGTGTATTTTATCCTAAGACTGTCCTCTTACCTTCCATACGATCTTCTGTGACACAGCTGAGAAATGATGGAGAGCTGCCCTCCACTCCATTATAGCCATCAGTAAGGTCTAGGCTCTTTAAAAGGTCCCTGATGTGGCATAAATGGATACGCACTTCTCGAACATTGTACTGCTCTTTGGCATAATTAAAAGGGGAGCGGGAAGACAGATTTAAGGCTATTTGTTACTTGTACATACGTCTAAAATGTAAGATTTCAACCAGTTTACTATTAGGTGAAGTTTCCAGTGAAAGTTTAACTATAACGATGTGATTTAGTGCGGTAATATTCGGGGCTTACCCTCGACAACCCTCAGAATGGAGCCCTCCTGAAGGCCTGGTATGGATGTCAGGTGGGTAAAGTTGTCAAGAGTGACTCCATTCAGCTGCAGGGAGAAGCAGGTACGCCGACAGGTCTCCTCTCGGTCCATCAACACTTGCTTAATTTCTTGCACCATTGCTAAAGGTGACACCTTGAGTGCAATAAAGACAGATAGAACAGATAGATATAAGACAGACAGATAGATAGATATTAGATAGATAGATAGATAGATAGATAGATAGATAGATAGATAGATAGATAGATAGATAGATAGATAGATAGATAGATAGATAGATATTAGATAGATAGATAGATAGATAGATAGATAGATAGATAGATAGATAGATAGATAGATAGATAGATAGATAGATAGATAGATAGATAGATAGATAGATAGATAGATAGATAGATAGAGAGATATTAGATAGATAGATCGATAGATAGATATTAGACAGACAGAGATAGATAGATGGATGGATAGATAGATAGATAGATAGATAGATAGATAGATAGATAGATAGATAGATAGATAGATAGATAGATAGATAGATAGATAGATAGATAGATAGATAGATATTAGACAGACAGATATAGATAGATAGATAGATAGATAGATAGATAGATAGATAGATAGATAGATAGATAGATAGATAGATAGATAGATAGATAGATAGATAGATAGATAGATAGATAGATAGATAGATAGATGGATGGGTGGATGAACAAATACACAGACAGACATTAAATAAATAGGCTAACAGACAGACAGACAGACAGACGGACGGACGGACAGACGGACGGACAGACAGACAGACAGACAGACGGACGGACAGACAGACAGACAGACGGACAGAAGGACAGAAGGACAGATGGACAGACAGAAGAACGGATGGACAGACAGACAGACAAACAGACAGACGGACGGACGGACGGACAGACAGACAGAAGGACAGATAGACAGACAGACAGAAAGACAGAAAGACAGACGGACGGATGGACAGACAGAAGAACGGATGGACAGACAAACGGACGGACGGACGGACGGACAGACGGACGGACGGACAGACAGAAGGACAGACAGACAGACGGACGGACGGACGGACAGACGGACGCACAGACAGACAGAAGAACAGATGGACAGACAGACAGACAAACAGACAGACGGACGGACGGACGGACAGACAGAAGGACAGACAGAAGAACGGATGGACAGACAGACAAACAGACAGACGGACGGACAGACGGACAGACAGACGGACAGACAGAAGAACGGATGGACAGACGACAGACAAACAGACAGACGGACAGACAGACGGACAGATGGACGGACGGACAGAAGAACGGATGGACAGACAGACAGACAAACAGACAGACGGACGGACAGACAGACGGACGGACGGACGGACGGACAGACAGACGGACAGACGGACCTGGAAATCAGTGGGTTCTGTTCCTGGAGCTTGGATCTTCACCGTGAATCCTGCATCCTCAGATGGGTCCATGTCAAGCTCTTGTTTTTTGCAGTCGTCTTCGACCTGTTCTGTCATACCGTCAGCTGGGCTGTCTGGCACATGCTCACCGGTTATGATATCAGGGCTGGGTGCTGCGTGCAAAATACAGGAATATAAATATAAAGTGGATTACCTAGCAGGTACAAAAGAGTTAGAAACATTCATACATTTTTATCGGCACTACAAGGGTCTGTGCAGCTGTTAATTATTTGGTTACAATTAATTTATTTCTAAATATTATAAAGTCTATAATTATTTTCATGTTATGTCTAACCGATATTAAAATGTTATGCTATTTTGTCTAAATAAAGCAACTAAAATGTTTGAAATGCTGCAAGTGAATTCAGGCATCACAACATCATGGATATTCATTATTTAATTACTTCAGTTCAGTTCAGTTCAGTTATTTTTATTAAAGTGTCTTGCACTTACATGCCCAGCCCAAATGGGCTTAAAAGACACTAATGACATAAAACATAATACAAAAAAATACAAAAAAAAAACTAGTGTTACTAGTGTTAATAAACATTAAACTTGAGTAAGCAATAGATGACAAGATTGTAGAAAGTGGGGCATGCACAATTAATATAATCAGTGTGGTACCAGTATATTGTGCATTCCTAGACAGAATACACACCTTTAAAGTTCGGAGTGGCCAGAAACAGTTTATCAACCACAAAAAGCGTGAAGCGCTGATCCTCTTTTGGTTCTACCTGTGTCACAGCGAGTGTTTTCTGCTCAGAGTCCTGCAGCGATAACCCCGTGCTCTGCTTTAGCGCTTCCAGGTCCCACTGCATCTGTTCTACTTCTGTCTTTTTCCAAATCAAATCCTGGGACAGGCTTTTCTCCGTCTCCCCTAACTCATGCTCCACCAGTCCACAGCCAATCTCTGAAATGCCTGGTTCCTCTACATGAGATATTTTCTTCTCCACACAAAGAAGAAGCTCAGCAGTTGTAGCTTTCTCATTGCTCATAATATCCATCTCTAGCGTCTCAGAAGTCTGTGCGTGTCGCTCCGAGTCTGGTGCATCTTGGTCTTCAAAGCCATCCGGTTGTGCTACTAGTTCCAAGGCTTGTGCTTCCCTTTGCGTCTTCAGAAGCAAAGGATCTTCAGTTGTAATGCCATACGCATGTTGCATCTTCAGATGTGTTTGTGCTGCACTGTTTGGACAATCTTGGTTCTCCTCTGTGCGCATCACAGATTCCTCGTGTCTGATGTACTTCTCTGTTTGAGTCCAACCATCTTCTCTGATGTCAATGTCACTTTTTGAGGCATCAGTGCTAGCTGGACCAGAAAGTGAAGTTTGACTATTTGCAAATGTCCCATGACCGAGGAGAGAAGTGTCTGCTCCACTTCCGTGAGTGCATATTCGGTTTTGAGCTGCAGGTATGTTGTATAGGGATGACAGAAGGGGCCATTCATCCTCTATAGAGCGTACTTGATGTGTGCCTGCAATGTTTGTGCTTGGCGGCCCCAACAGCTCTCCATTCCGCAGGTTGCTTTGATCAACTCCATCGTCTCTTCTGGCATCTTGTTCTAGCCCCCTGACCCGAAGGCTGCTGCTAAGCACGATGTCCGGGAATAGGAGATGATCTTGGTCCAGAACTGGAGATGCCAGCAGGTCAGCTGAAGTTCTTGAAGGAGACAGACTTTCTACATCGCTATTTTCCTGGGATTGCAGCAGAGACAGCTCCTCAGTCTGACGCCCGACTTCCTTGGCGTTAATAATCTCAGACACCTTGCGGCAACAACTAAATATGTTCCCCATGTTGTCCATTTCATTACCAAAGAGCAAGAACTGTAATACTGGAGCCCACTGTGAGTCAGCTAATAAGAGCTAATGTGATTTTAAAATGACCTTGGCAGCTAGAAAAACAGTGCTTTGTTGGCAAATCTGTAAGACAAGCCTGACAGACAGTTGACATACTCAATTACCAAGTCTACAATAGCTGAAACATGTTCGGATCTAGTAAAGACATTCTATATTTTGCATGCAAGAAATTTTCAAAAGGATAATTTATATAGATTCATTGGTTGACTGGATAGTTGTATCTGCTATTTATTTAACCGTAAAAGACAAGAAACATTGCATAGATTAAAATAATATGGATTTTTTTTTTCTGTAGGCTATGTTTGAAACTAATGCAAGTCATATTACACATGCAGATGTCTTCTCACAGTTCATTTCCTTCATAAGTGTGCCTGTTGTTGTCTCATAAATCTCCATTGAACCACGGGAAAGCAGAACGGTTGCTCCATGCAGGGATGTCCCTCTCTCCAACAAAACGCAACACAATGTATAGTGTCATTTCTCTGCCCTTCATCTCCCCATACACACATCAATCTCGGGGGGAGGAGTCTCGATGGAGTTCCCTGCATCCCATTCCTCTTCCAGATAAATCGTAACTCATTTCTTCAGTTTCTTTAAAGAAGAAAAAAAGCACATGACATGACTTCCTGAATCCATCCCAATGCATACATTCGCTCAGAAGTATTCTATATTCCCCGCATGCGTTTCTCGGTCTCTGCTGTTCCAGCGTTTGCTGCTATGAGAGAGTACTGCAGTACCGGCGGAATGTGCAGGACGACCTGCTTTGAAAAGCTACAATAGTCGGAGAAGTGGAAGGACTAGAGCACCTTACGAATACTAAACGAAGAGAACAAGTAGCCTAATCGTCATTGTGTAGGAACTGAAGCTTGTCGACCGTCTTCGTATGTGTCTTCTCCAATGTAAGCATTTTTGCGGTTAGAATCTCACCTTTACTTGATGCGCATGCGCACACGCTACTGAGTTTCGCTAAACTATCCTTTTTAATTTCTTATTAATTTATCGTGTAGGGTCATACCCATATGGTATTAGTTTTATTTTTGAACGTCTTAAAACTGTTTAAATACCCTGCAATTTGGATGAATCAAAATATAGAACATTTCACAGAACTAAAAATCTAATATGTTCGAGGTTAAGCTAGGTGACATTTCTAATATTGTAATATTTGTATTAAAATTAAACAAAACACAAGGTGTTATTTATTGTAGATAGACACAAAGTGCCACAGGTTACTTGCCCTTGTTGAAAATATCCCAGTCGAATGTTCTTCACACAAATGTCCACCATATGATTTGATTTTCTCTTTATTTTATCAAGTATGACATTATCACTCAATAGCCCTATTAAATCACTTGTTCTCAGACCATAACTATTACTTAATTAAATTAAAATATATATATCAGGCACAGGCCTAATATATTCCTACTTAGAAAAAATATACAACTATGTATATTTAAAAGACGTATTATTACTACTCTGTATGAAATCAGGCAATCAGACAATAAGTCAGTTTTGATCCTGAAGACCCTATTTCTTTATTTCTTTCCATAACAACATCACACAGACTCTGTTGAGTTTAATACATTTTTATCATTTAAAGTAATTGTGCTTATACAATGTCACAACCTTGACATGTCATTTCTTTAAACCAAAATTACATTTTCTAAAATATTTTTTGTATAATCATTATAATTTTATGTACTTCCGATCCTATCTGTTTAACAATGGAATATCACTTAGAAAATTGAACTTTTTTAAAATCAAGTCAAGAATTATAAGTTTCTACAATACAGCACCAGAGAAACAACATGACTGCTGCTGTATTTAATATATGTATGATATTGTGATTATTGTCCGCACTGTAAGATTCCTTGATAAAAACAAAATTCAGTTTTTTAGCCTTTTTTGTTATTATCCCAACTTTCAGAAAACGCTATAAACCTAATGTATAAGCATATATATTTATAAATAGGGCCAACTGAACAAAATAACATTAATCCGATTCCGAAGATTTTTGTATTATTTAATAAATAAAACATGATTCACTTCATATACATTACATATAAAGCTCTTTACCAACTGACCCACGGCAGCGCCATCTTTTATGTATAACGTGAATGAAAGCGTGGCTGTAAGGGATAGATATAGATTGTACTGTTATTTCATTTTAAATGTTAAAGTGTTTTTGGATTTTACTGCTGACAAAACACTGCAAAAATATCTTTACCAGAAATTTCAGTAGACGAAAAAACTCTCGACAACATGAACAATGGAAAAATATAAGTGATATAGGAGCTTTTTACAGCGGATGCCATTGAAATCATGGTAAGTCTATCCCTCACATTCATAGCTGTCATAGTGCTGCTCCGAATGAGACCAAAAACACAAAAGCAATATAATACACCAGTTTACCTCATCTTTTAAAGTGTGTCTAATGTGACAAGAATAATTCACTTCATTGACACAAATAATTACTGAATGGAAAGTTTTAGAGTGTTCTGGATTTTACAATGAAGACTAATTTTCCAAAATCTTCATATCCAACCTTAATATGTTCCGGAAGACAAAATCCCATTCATTTTCTCCATAGGGGAATGTATTTTGAATAACTTTTTGAAGACATATCTACTGTGAGCTTCAATTTGTTTAATTATGCTTCTGTTGAAGACACCAGTCCAAAATTCAACTCATTTTTTAACTAATTGTGTTCAAAAGCAGAATTCCAGTTGAAAAACTACATTAACCATGATTCTGTAGAGAAATCGACCAATCAGAGAAGAACACTTCACTGCATGAAGCACCACAAATGATGTACTGTAGGTTCCCTACATAATTAAAGTCTTCAAATCAAGTTTTATATTCCTCCATCTGCTTTAATTTTAATTATGTTATGTGTAATGCTTCATGGGATTGTAGTTAAAGCTGTGAAGTACACAGCTTTGTCTTTTTTTGTCAGATTTTCAAAACCTTTTTTGCTTCAAATCAAAGTTTGTAATGTTGTGATTCGCATTGCAGCTGTTTGGTTTGGTTCATGGCTTAAAATCATAACTCCTAAACAAAGACTTTTGAAAAATCACTATAGAAAAAAATGAATGGGAAAAACACCTCAGGAACCAAGTCTGCTGAAAAAAGGGACTGTTACACTCTATAACTCTGTTGTCTCTGGTCCAATGTCTTCCCTCAGTGGCCGGTTCCTGAATCTACCTTTTCGAGCTACCGACATCCTTGAAAGTCCGCCTTCACTCCAGGGATCTCCAAGTGACCTGTGCAAGGGGAGGAGCCTATGTCTGAAAGGATAAAGGAAAAGGGCGGGGTCAGGCATGGGGCGGGGCTCCTCGGGCCCAAGCACCCTTTCGCGGGGCACGCACTCCCTCACTCTCTCCGATCTCCGCATCCTTCCTGAAGCTCGGCTTTGACGTGCGTTTTCCGCCATCACTGGAGATGTCCATGGAGAATTTGCAGTCCATTCCGATTCCTATGAACAGGTAAAATAATGAAACTGATTTGCATGTCAGATTATGAGTAGATCCATCGGATCCATAGTGCCTACCAGCGCATTCTCATATATGACACTTTTGTAAAAGCGTGAACATCCAACGCACATGGCACCCTTTAACATCAAATGAGACGCTTCGGTTATGGTAGGTTTAGGTCTGGGGTAGGGTTAGGGTTAGACCACTAGGAGGCGCCTTCTGCCCCATATATATCTGCGTCTCATATCTGCGTTGAATGTTTTTTTTTTTTTGTTAACAGCTGTTTATTGAGTTTTTACTTTTTTTTTTAAGTCAAGAGACACAAGAATACAAAGCATAAATGCGTTGTTCATGCTTCGGCAAAAGCGTCGTCTATGACGCCTTGGGATGAGAACGGGCTCGTCCTACCTGCATGGCACCTCCATCATCCTCTTCTTCTTCATCATCTTCCTCAAAATCCTCTGCCTGGTGATACAATCGAAAGTGTGCTGAATGTAGTTGGAAAGAGAGTTGAGCGGCCACATCGGTCTGCTTGCGGAGGTCACGACTCAGCGTGGTGATCTTATGACTGCGCCGCTTCAGCTCGTCCAGGAACCGCCGCTCTTCATCTCGAAGTCGAACCTGCAGAGCGCTCGCAAGTGCCCCCTTTTTCCGTAGCTCCACCCGAAGCTGCACCAGCGCACTTTCCTGCTCAGCCAAATGCTGCTCTGTCTCCAGCAATCGTGCCTGTAGCAGCTCTTCCTCCATCTCAATATCTATAATAACACGGAGTTGAGGGAACGTGTGGGAATAGCTGGAATTTTGTGAGATTTTATACTCACCTTCTTGGGTTCTCACTGGTGGTCTTTTACTTAGATCACAACTCAGCTCTGTAGAGACAGAAGTTAACAGACACGAGATTAACAATGCAAAGTGGCTTTTTGAGAATGGAGAATCTATACAGTGAGGTTGAGTGACGGACCATTGCATCGTTTCTTCAGGTTGTGTATCTCTAGCCGTAGACCGGTCAGGAGGATCCGATGTTCCTGTTGCAAAAATGCTACATTTCGCTCAACACTCTCCACCTGTTGGGCAAGTGTGGATCTATCCATGGATTGGTCCCAGATGTTGGCAGGTAACAGCTCCTTTTTGCAGTTAAATTGAAAAATGTCAATACAAAGTAACCACACTTTCTTCACTATAGGCCTAACCATTCATTTAAAGCCTGAAACAAATTAGTTTCCATTAAATGGATAGTTCACCCCCCCAATAATTACTCAGCTTCATGTCATTGCAAATCCTTAAGAATTTTGTTCATCTTCGATACACAAATGAAATGAAATGGAGGGACAGAAACTCTCAGATTTCATCAAAAATGTCTTACAGGTTTGGAAAGACATGAGGGTGAGTAAATGATGACAGAAATCTCATTTTTGGGTGAACTAACCCTATCAAAATATCCTATAGCCACTCCCCTCCAATCACCAGTCTGAGACCAGCTAGACATGGCAAGGATTTGTGTTAAAATCAAATCCCACCCTCTATTTTTTTTATCTTTCAAAAGTGCCTTGGTTCCAGACTGTATGTGGAACCAGATCGACGTCATTCGCAGTACTTCACTTCACTTGACTCTGTCATTTGATTCTCTGGTAAAAAAAATATTTGCAGGATCACAGTTAAACATGATTATTTAGAAAATAAGTTAATGCAGGCAGATGGCTTCAACAAACACATACCATCGATTAACAACATAGTAACTCACATTAAGTCTTTTTTTAAAGGTTTATACGTTATTGTTTGTAATTCCCTCTGTGGAGAAAACTAACTGGATTTTTACTTTCAGGCCTTGACTGTTGCACTGTTCTGTTTTACTCCGAATGATGTCACAATAAATCAAAAATTCCGTTTCACATGGACTTAAACAACCTTCTCTTCAGAAGGTGAAATGTTTTGTTTGACAAGTGTATGCTATAAATCCAAGCTGTTTTATTAAAGTGCAAAGATGTGGTCACTCTATGCACCAATAATAACATTTCAGATGGCTCCCTCTTATTCTGGATCTTAAAATGGCTCTTTTGTTACAACTGCAGCATCAGCAGCTTATGATTCAGTTTAAAATCAGCATTATGTCATTGGTACATCCGGGACATTCTGACCCAGGAAATGCATAACGGCGACAGGCGTATGTAAACATCGCAATGAATGTATAGCCGCCCTTTAAAGCGAACAAATGTTGCCAAACCATTTTGTTTTCTTCTTCATAGAAAGCACACAATCCTCCCGTCGACGTCTATTAATCCTTTTGTACATTTTATTTGTATGTATGCCGTTTCCACAACGATTTCAACTATTCTACACACCCATCAAACTTCGCGCATTGGAATATGTCAGCAAATGATGATTATCTAAATAAATATGATATTGATTATTGACAGATGAGTCTGTTGAAACGTATGATGATGTCGTGAAGGTTACGTTTTCCTCACGGCTCTGACGATCTTGAATCTTTAAAGTACACCTCCATCAACATGATGTTTTAAAATCACTGCACCGCATACTGTCAATGATATATAAACATGCAGGTGGAACATCACAATATGATGATACTTACGGTTTGACTGAGTAGATGAAGGATGCAGGACACCTCCAGTGCTAAGCATCGCCACCAAAACAGTGCGTCAGGGACACGAAAGGGTTAGTTAGCCATCTGCCATATCAATCCCTACATCTCATTAGGGTATATCAGTTTTTGCAAAGACAAAACTCAGAACAAATTGTATACCATATTTATTTACCTGGAAAAATAAAGAATTTCACTGTATACTCTATCAGAAACTACAGCTGAAATAATGCCAGTTGTTGTTTCCACATTTAATGCAAAATAGTTAATGCTAGAATGGAAAAAAAAAAAAATTCTCATAAATGATAGATCTGTACAAGTAAGATACCGAAACAGTACACTCTAAAAAATGCTAGGTTGTTTCAACCCAAATTTGGGTCAAATATGTACAAACCCAAATGTTGGGTTAAAAAATGAAATGTACAGTTGAAAATGAAAGTTTTAACCCAACATTGGGGTTTGTACATATTTGACCCAAATTTGGGTAAAAACACCCCAGCATTGTTAGTTATACATAGAGTGTATTACAATATCTCAGAAAGAAAGGTAACTGGAGCAGATGCAGTATACAAAAGCTGAAAAGTTACATCTTTGTACTGTATTTACCTCTAAATATAGTACCTTAAAGGTACATATAGGTAATTGAAGTGTACATATTAGTAGATTGTGTACAATAGGGTACTGCCCCAGTGACAGCTTTGCACCTTTTTTTTCTGAGAGTGTAAATGTTGGTTTCAACTTTGATCCACGATGTTGATTTAGCTGTGAATGACTGGATCACTTGATAGTAAATATAGTGTAGCCTTTCAATTTGTCAATATAAACCTACTAATATCAATTGTATCTTGAAAGGAGCATATGAGCAGCACGAGCGTCAGTGTTTCAGAGAGAGGTGCAGAGTCACGCACTTTGCCCTATGCACAAGTCTATTGTGGCGTGCTGCTTGCTCAGCCGTTCTCTCTTCTGTTGTCACACCACAACAAATGGCATTGCTCTTTTACTACTAAATACCCTCTATACACTCTACGCAATCCTTTGGAAACACTTTACGCTTTTGAAAAAACTCAATTTTCCTTTTCCACCCACAAAACTCTAAATTTGACCTCTTTTTTTTTTTTTTGGAGTAACCAACTTCATGAGTGATTTGGAGCATCCGAATGATGAAATGTCTAAAGGACAGGAATGGTCTCCTGGATTAGGGGCTTGTGAACCGATCATTACGGTCATGACAGCCGTCCCAAGAGTTTGATTGTGTGACAGCTGTCGACAGAGGGGATAGTTTAAAAATAAATTACTGGAGAAAGTCTACTCTTACTGGTCAATCTGTGATGTCTGAGAAAAAATCAGGTAAGCATCCAATCATATTTTACTTTAGTATTGTTTTTTATTTTATTTTTTGAGCAAGAGTGTGGACCAGGGTTTCAGGTTACTTTATTTGGGTGACATTTCACAATCTAATTCATAATGTGGTGTGGTTGAAATCATTGTGATGATATCATGTGGCATTGATGATTATAGGTTTAGTGGCTGGTTTGGATCCAGAGGAAGAGGTGACAGATGTCGTATGTGACGAGTCAGATCTCAGAGATGGAGAGTAGGTCCCATAGAAATGTCATGTTCATGTGCATTATATTTATAATATACATATTTATTCATGAAAGAACATTCAAATGGGAAACATTTACACTAGGATACATCAGGTTTGCTTTTATAGCTGTATTTTTGTATTTTGTGTCGTATAAAGCTACGATTTTTGACTGTGTTGTTCTTGTGATCTAGAATGATGGAGGTTGAGGTGGGTGAGCACAATGTTTTGCTGGTACGCTGTGACGGGATGTACAGTGCCATCAGTAACCAATGCACACACTATGGCGCGCCACTGAGCAAAGGTAGCGCATTACCAAATCGAGTTTGGTGCAACTGACTTGTGTCTGTATATAAATAACACGTGAGAGGTGAAGCGTCACTACAGGGGGTGTTCCTGTTCCTCTGCAGGGGTTCTGTCGGGTCACAGGGTCCGCTGTCCTTGGCATGGTTCCTGTTTCAATGTGAAGACTGGTGACTTGGAGGAGTATCCTGGGACTGACTGTCTGCCCTGCTACAAGGCACTGGGATATAGATCAATACACACAGAACTAAAATACACTTTTGTACTGCTAAACATAAATCATTTAAATATGATTCATAGATAATTTATTATACATTCAAAATATTGAGCGTTACTGTACATGCTAACATTTTGAAATGATTTAATCAGATTTTTTCTTGACAGGTTAAAGTCGAAAACAAGAAAGTTTATGTGTCTGTAAAGAAAAGGGTAAAGTACCTTCATATAGACATTTTATCTTCCACATAAAATGAATGAAACCAAAACCAAAATACACTTCTCACAGTAAAATGTAAATAAAAATCTCTCTGTGCAGATTCAGGGTCAGCCTAAACGTATAAAATGGATGGGGGCCAGAGATCCAGATGTGTTACATACTGTGGTGCTCCTAGGAGGAGGTGAGAGAAAAATGTCTGATACAGATTTCCTTTATTTGTAGTTCACTTTTAAACAAACTTTTGCTGATAATTTACTCACCCCCATGTCATCCAAGATGTCCATGTCTTTCTTTCTTCATTTGAAAAGAAATTATGAAAACGTTACAGGATTTTTCTCCATATAATGGACTTCAATGGGAACCAAACGGTTCAAGGTCCAAAAGAAAGTTTCAGTGCAAACTGTTCAAAGGGCTTTAAACGATTCCAGACGATGAATAAGGGTCTTATCAAGCGAAACGATCGCTCATTTAATACATAAATAACAAAGTTTAAGTTTTATAAGCTCAAATGGTCGCCTTGCTGTTCTGTGTGACTCTCCTGTTCGAACTCGTTCATCAAAATGAACACATCTTTTATCGTTACATTTGGTTCATTCAACGAACGAAATGAACGAGTTGCCTCGGAAAAGATTTGTTTATTTTGATGAACGAGTTTGAACATGAGAGTCACGAACGTGCGTCACAGAACAGAGCAAGGCGAGCATTTGAGCTTATAAAAACTTAAACTTTGTTATTTATTTATTAAATGTGCAATCGTTTCACTTGATAAGACCCTTATTCATCGTCTGGAATCATTTAAAGCCCTTTGAACAGTTTGTAGTTTGCACTGAAACTGTCTTTTGGACCTTGAACCGTTTGGTTCCCATTGAAGTCCATCCTGTAATGTTTTCATCAAAAACCTTAATTTCTTTTCGACTGAAGAAAGAAAGACATGGACATCTTGGATGACATGGGGGTGAGTAAATTATCAGCAAAAGTTTTTTTTTAAAGTGAACTACTCCTTTAATGTTATTGGATACTGGTGTGTGTTGTTGAGCACAGGCGCAGCCTCTTTGATGTGTGCTGAGACACTACGGCAAGAAAACTATGGCGGCAGGATTATTATGGTATCTAGAGACGATCTCCTTCCTTATGACAAAACCAGACTCAGTAAGGTAAGGCACAAGATGTTTGAAAACTGAAAGAAAATGTTAAATGTTAACAAGACTCAAAAACACACAAACTGAAATCAAAATTGACATTTGTTATGGAATATTGCAGTATTTATTATTAATGATTTACCTGTGCGCATCATTTTATCTTAAAAAAATAAAATAAAAATGAATGCACCCTCGTAATCTTTAATCGAAATAACGTCCCTCCCTCTTCTCGTCTCTGATGTCGTGTTTACTGGCGCAAATGTTCAGTATTAAATAAGAATATGCTGATTGTTTTGGAAATCTTTTTCCACAGATACAGTATATTGATAACATTGATAATAATAAAATAATTGTTTCTTGAGCAGCAAATCAGCATATCATAAGGATTTCTGAAGGATCATGTGACACTGAAGACTGAGCTTTGCCATCACAGCACATATTATATATATATACATCATTTTTATTTATTTATTAGGGCTGTGCAAAAATTAATTGCGATTAATCGCATCCAAAATAAAAGTCTGTGTTTACATAATATATTTGTGTGTGCTGTATATAATTATTTTGTATATATAAATACACACACATGCATGTATATATTTAAGAAAATGTGTTATTCATATATAAAATATTTATATTTATATAATATAGATTATGTATTTATATATATATATACAAAATTTAAGCGCAAATTATTCTTAAATACATATATACATGCATGCATAGGTATTTATATATACAAAATAATTATATAGAGCACACACAAATATATTATGTAAACACAGACTTTTATTTTGGATGCGATTAATCGCAATTAATTTTTGCACAGCCCTATTTTTTACATTGTTTTATTTTTAAAGTTTAATCTCGATTTAGGTAATGGACGCTGAGAGCGAAAGTCTCTTAATGAGAAGAATGGATTTTTTCCACGAGCACGATATTGAGGTCTGGCTGAAAAAAGAGGTGAGAGTGAATCTTGTGTTCTTTCTCATTTCTACCACAAGAGACATATGATCTCTCAGAGTTTTTCTCTGTGCAGGCTTTATCGATAGATACGAACAAGAAAACAGTGACATTTGATGATGGCTTAACCCAGTGCTATGACCAAATCCTTATTTCAACAGGATGCAGGTATAGTATCTACATTTTACATGTCTAGATACAGGATTACTTTCATCATTTAGTCAACTTTCATCAACACACACGGCTTGATCTTTGTTTTTTCAGAGCAAAATGCCTGGACTGCCCAGGTGCAGATCTGGAAAACGTGCTGATGCTGGAAACACCGGAGGATGCCAGGAGCATCCATTACACCTGTATGGGCTGCAGGGCAGTCGTCGTAGGCACTTCCTTCATTGGTACACACACTCAACACACTCTCCCCAGCATATCCGTAATGTTATCGGTTGACTATGGTGAAGGTGATTACATATGATGGATATGTTTCATTGAAGGCATGGAAGTAGCGGCGTATATGATAGATATGGCCAGTAGTGTCACAGTCATTGGAAGCAGTGAACTCCCTTATCAGAAGACTCTGGGCCCCGAAATAGGGAAGGTCACCATGATGGTATGTGATAAGGGCCAATACAACCATCTCATTATTTCTATATGTGTTTTATCTGCTTTATGATGACCCGCTTATTCTGTTTTGCTTGTTCTTTGAGATGTTGGAAGAGAGAGGGGTGACGTTCTACATGAATGACGCTGTCGCAGAGATCCAAGGCGAAAATAGGAGGGTAATGTCAACTTGTTGTGTGTGTGTGTTTTTTTTTTTTTTAAACAACATAAGTCCGTTCCATGGAGGTTAATTAACTGAAATAGATTAAGAACAATTAACTGGATGATGGCATCACTTTTGTTATACTTTATTTTAAGGTGTCCTTTTTACAGTGTAACACTAACCTGTGTTGTCATCAAACTTAGTGTAAATAGCCGCTGCCTTATACAAACAAAAGTAGTGAGTTATATTACATTAACAACATGCACTTAAAGGGATAGTTCACTTTGAAATTAATTTTTGGTATGTTTTAGCTTACCTCTTTGTTTCCGCAGTAGTTTCAATTTTGTTATTTTTAGGTCAAACCGTTCTTGTCTGTCAGTCATATAATGGAGGTCTATGGTCACCACCTGAAAGAGCATGCACAGAGAAGTCCAAATTAAACATGATTTAATGACTCGTAAATGTAAGTACACATTGATGGCATAAGATTGTGTGAGGAAACGAACAGAATTTATATCGTTTTTACCTCTGGTTACCACAGCAACAAAGCGCCCGCACTCTCAGATCACTTGGACGTGGGTGTGGTTACAAGAGGTAAAACTATATAAATACTGTTCGTTTTCTCACACAAACCGCTCGTTTCGTGTCTTAGGCCATCAATGTGTACTTACATTAACGAGTCATTAAATCATGTTTAATGTGGACTTCTCTGCATGCTCTTTGAGGTGGTGACCATAGACCTCCATTATATGACTGATAGACAAGAACGGTTTGACCTAAAAATATCAAAATTGAAACTACTGTGGAAACAAAGACACCTACATTTTGGATGCCCTTGAGGTAAGCTAAAAACATACTAGAAAATTAATTTCAAAGTGAACCATCCCTTTAACAGTTAGGGTTAGCATTAGTAGATGAAACAGGGACACTAATAAAATGAAGTGTTACTGAATTTTTCATCCAGTTTATTATGATGACTTGCATGTTTTTCCGCAGGTCAAGGCGGTGAAACTGAAGAGCGGTATTAAAATTGAAGCTGATGTGTTAATAGTTGGAATTGGTATGTACAGTCGAACTAGTAAGAACAAAGTGCTACTTCAATTAAAATAACTGGAACAACAATTTTTCTGCTCTCGTCTCCCTATTATCTCAATACAAGGTGTCAATCCCAATTCAGAGTTTTTGAAAGGGAGTCCGATAAATATGGACTCGAAGAACTTTGTCATTGTGGATGAGGTGAGTGTTTATGACTATTATGATTTTATGAGTTTAAATAATCTCCCTACACTTCCAAACTCGTCAATTGTGTCCCTGTCTGTCTAGTACATGAGGACCAACGTAACAGACGTCTACTGCGCAGGAGATCTGACCTGCTTTCCTCTCAAAATGGCAAAAGGCCAGAAAGTGTCCATCGGCCACTGGCAGATAGCGCAGGCACATGGTAATCAAACATTTTTAGATGTGTACATCTGGTCATTTTGTCGAAGTGCATTAGCATAAAGACACCGGAAAGCTAAACAGACTTTAATAGTGATGGACCGGCCAAAACATGAATTTTTGGTTTATGCTCCACAAAGCACTGAAAATTTGTGCTCCTGCAGAATATTTAGGTTCACTGATGGAAATTCATTGAATCAAACTGTTCAAAGACGCGTTTTACTGTGTTAGCGTAAATGGATAAGCTATAACAGGGAAATGACACCGGACACCCTAAACAATTACTCAAATTTAAGTTCCAAAACTTCGTTATCAGTTTTGGTTTTTGGCTGAATGAAAACTTGAGTAAAAAATTATTTTGTTGCATCACTACAAGTAGTCTTTAATTACAAGCATGAAAAGAAACGTTGCTTTGACACCATTATAACATTTGCCTTATTAGGAAGGATCGCAGCCCTCAGCATGTTGCACAGGGAGGTGGAGCTAAACTCTGTGCCATTCTATTGGACCGTCCTGCTTGGGAGAACCATTCGTTACACGGGTACAGCCTTTTACTTACATGCCCGACATGCTTTAAGGATTGTAAAACATGAGTATTTTGTATGTAATTATGTTCTTAAAGGGATAGTTCACTTTGAAATTAATTTTTGGTATGTTTTATCTTACCTCAAGGGCATCAAAGATGTAGGTGTCTTTGTTTCCGCAGTAGTTTCAATTTTGATATTTTTAGGTCAAACCGTTCTTGTCTGTCAGTCATATAATGGAGGTCTATGGTCACCACCTCAAGTCCAAATTAAACATGATTTAATGACTCGTAAATGGAAGTACACATTGATGGCCTAAGACACGAAACGAGCGGTTTGTGTGAAAAAACAAACAATATTTATATTGTTTTTACCTCCTGTAACCACAGCCACGTCCACGTGATCTGAGGGCGCGGGAGCTTTATGGCTGTGGTAAAAACGATATAAATACTGTTCGTTTTCTCACACAAACTGCTCATTTCGTGTCTTAGACCATCAATGTGTACTTACATTTACGAGTCATTAAATCATGTTTAATTTGGACTTCTCTGTGCATGCTCTTTGAGGTGGTGACCATAGACCTCCATTATATGACTGACAGACACGAACGGTTTGACCTAAAAATATCAAAATTGAAACTACTGTGGAAACAAAGAAACCTACATCTTGGATGCCCTTGAGGTAAGCTAAAAAATTTTTTTTTTTCATTTTGCACAGGTTATGGGGAGGGATACACTGAGTTGGTGCTGAAAGGCAAATTTGAGAACATGAAGTTTTTGGCACTTTACCTCAAGTAAGAAGCTTGTAAGAAGTCTTTATAGCCGTTTTCTCTTTCAAGTGTGAAATATCGGCTTTGTACTTAAAAACAGGCATGGTGAGGTGGTGGCGGCAGCAGGATTGAATGTTGAACCGGCTGTCTCTGTTGTGGCAGAAAGGTTGGCAGAAGGAAGAGTGATAACAAAGGCGGAAGCAGAGTGAGTGAGAACTCAAATTCAGTGCACACAATTTATTCATAATTCATTTTATTCATCATTCTAAACAACTGATACAGTCTTGGCTAGTTAGCATTAATCTAGTTAGCTCCTTCTGGGTTCCATTTTTTGTTTGGCAATCAACAAAGAATGTTAGTATTTCTTTATTGTTTAGTTTATCTTTTTTTTTTTTTTTTACACAAATCACTATAGTATACACAGATGAGCCAAAACATTATGCTCACCTGAACAATGGCTGCATCCGAAATCACATTCTTTCTCACTATATACTATAGTTGGCAAAGGTCTCACGGAAATAAAATCGTCATGAATGTGATTTTCTAGTTTTTTTTTTGGTTCGTTCCAATGGTCAGACATGTACTGAACCATAATAAAGGCTAGATGTCTTATGGCGGAGTCTCTATCATTATCACCGGCGGCCATCTTGTCACAGGCAAGCTTTCTGGCAGGCTCTGTGGTTCTTGATGTAAGATGAGTGATCAGCACGAACACAAATACTCTTATCTCGTTGAAATCTTAACGGAACTACAAACGCTTTGGTTTCTTACAAACGTTATTAACGTGGCTAAAATTCTGGTTGATTATTTATTTATTTATACACTTATTATTCATAAGTATGCAGTGTCATAACTACATCTTTGACGTTTATAACAAAACAAACCGTTTGAAAATCTGTAGAAAATTGAGCGAGTTATGGTTATTTAAAAAGTACATGCACCATTGAAACACAATGTTACGAGTGAGCGAGCTGCCTGTGACAAGATGGCCGCCAGGTGAGGACGTCGACCTCCATTGGCCAGCAGTGTAGACGAGACATCTAGCCTTTATTGTGGATATCTATGGGCACCACCCTTATTAAAATAAGGGTGGTAAGTATTTCATAAGTATGCACTCTCAGAAAAAAGGTCCAAAAGCTGTCTCTGTGGATATACCTTTTCAAAAGGTACACTTTTGTACCTAAGGGTGCATATTGGTACCTTAATCTAATGGTACATTTTAGCACCTAAAATGTAAATAATAGCACCTAAAATGTACATATTAACACCTAAATGTACATAACAGCACCAAAATGTTCATATTAGCAACTAAATGTACATAATAGCACCTAAAATGTTCACATTAGCGCCTAAAATGTTCATATTAGTGCCTAAATGTTCATATTAGTGCCTAAAATGTTCATATTAGCACCTAAAATGTACATATTAGCACCTAAATTAACTTATTAGCAACTAAATGTACACACTAGCACCTAAAATGTTCACAATAGCGCCTAAAATGTTCATATTAGCACCTAAAATGTACATTTTAGCACCTAAATGTACATAATAGCACCTAAAATGTTCACATTAGCACCTAAAATGTTCATATTAGCAACTAAAATGGAAAAAAAGTTTACCTTTTGAAAAGGTACAGCCCCAGTGACAGCTTTTGTACCTTTTTTCTGAGAGTGTATGGAGATACTTTTTCTATGCAACTGATATGGATTCTTCTAATGTGAGAGTCCAATTTTTGAAACATTTAATGAACGATTCATTTCATACTTGGTTCTAAATGCGACCACATACTGTCAGAGCTCTAATGTATTGTTAATGTTTTTACCTTTTCTGTTATAGGTCAGATGACATTAGCTGGCTGCAGCTGCCGCCCATGTGACCACTGACAACAGTTTGAACTCAGAATGATCCGAATTCAGCCATTCTGTCCACAGTCCATCCCATCCAATCATGCCTTTGCTCAGAATATGTTTTGTAACATTTCTAAAGGCCAGTACATTACAGTATGTCCCTTAAAGAGCTTTCGACTCAGTTCACAGAGAGTTTGCCATTTGAACATGGATATTCAGAGAGGAAACCCACTACCCAAGTGTGGCTAAACGAAGCTTTTATTCTGTTCTTGCTGCAGTTCCAAAGACCGGTCAGACGCACATTTTTTCAATACTGAATATGAACACAATGCTTCAATCGTATATTATTATTATTCATTAAGATAACATTTAGCTTATGAAAGATGATTTTTTTTTTTTCCGTATCTGGTTTGTACGGAAGCGTATTGCATTCACTTGAAGAAAAATAATTTACTGTTTTTCTGAATTAACGTGTTAATTTTTCATGAGAAAAATTTTTTTGCTCTGTTTTTCTGAATTAATGAGTTAATTCAGAAAACAGCAAAAATAAATTTTCTCATGAAAAATTAACTCATTAATTCAGAAAAACAGAGCAAATTTTTTTTCTCATGAAAAATTAACTCATTAATTCAGAAAAACAGAGCAAAAAATTATTTTCTCATGAAAAATTAACTCATTAATTCAGAAATACAGAGCAAATTTTTTTTTTCTCATGAAAAATTAACTCGTTAATTCAGAAAAACAGAGTAGATTTTTTTTTTCTTCAAGTGAATGCAATACGCCTCCGTAGGTTTGTACATTATTTACTAATGGAAAAGTAGATTCTTAAGTACAGTCGCTATTGGCATACTGTGTGCTTGATGCGTCTAGGTGGCGTAGTTGTTTATCAAGCTGTGAAACGAAGCATGGGTAGTGGAAAAACAGACAGTCACTGAGCGCACATCCAATCATAGCGCTTAGGAGGATTAGATGAACACAGAGCGATGGATGCTGAATGTGATGGCGGTCACAAAAGCGGGAGTAAATATAATAGAACTGGGGACGCATGTTACAAAAGGGCATATTACAAAAGAAATGCTGAGCCGCTCTCTTATATCGCCTCTTATTCTCTATCTCGTCTACCACGCAACCCAGTTTTTTGCTTCCAAATCCTCATAATTCACTTCTGTTCTTATCAGCAAGAATTTGTGCAGAGATATATGGGTCATATACGACAGTCCAAATCTGGAGGTGAAATGTGGGCCATGAAATAGGGCTTAGAACGAAAGAAGCTGTCGCATGAGAATTGAAAAGATCCTTTTATCAAGTACACTAGATGGTCTGCCTATAGTTTTTATACACACACACACACACACACATGTTATTGCTATTATTGAGACATAGCAGTTATCCATAATATGCACAAAAGGAAGGTGAGAAGAAGCTTTACTATACTTGACATTTTGTCATTATGTACAGACTGATATTGCTGATAAGCACAATATCACTTTTATTGTTATGACTTCCATGTTGGTCCGGTTTTTCTATCAGGATTTCTATAATGCATTTCTGAAATCATGCAAAGAAAGGAGCCCTTTAAAGGAGTAGTTCACTTTTTAAAAAACTTTTGCTGATAATTTACTCTCCTGTTCGAACTCGTTTATCAAAACGAACGAATCTTTTCCCGAGTCAACTTGTTCATTTCGTTCGTTGAATGAATCAAATGACACGAAAAAAGATTTGTTCATTTTGATGAATGAGATTGAACAGGAGAGTCACGAACGTGCATCACAGAACAGAGCAAGGCGACCATTTGAGTTTATAAAACTTAAACTTTGTTATTTATTAATTATTAATTAAACGAGCGATCGTTTTGCTTGATAAGACCCTTATTCATCGTCTGGAATCGTTTAAAGCCCTTTGAACAGTTTGCACTGAAACTGTCTTTTGGACCTTGAACCGTTTGGTTCCCATTGAAGTCCATTATATGGAGAAAAATGCTGGAATGTTTTCATCAAAAACCTTAATTTCTTTTCGACTGAAGAAAGAAAGACATGGACATCTTGGATGACATGGTGGTGAGTAAATTATCAGCAAAAGTTTTTTTTTAAAGTGAACTACTCCTTTAACCCTCTAGGCCTCTTCGTTCAGAAAAGGCCGAACATTTTTACGTTTTGAATTTTACAACAAAAAACAATTTCTTCATCGAAATGGGATGACACTTGGTGACATTTGCCGCATTAGCTATGTAAAAATACACACACACACACACACACACAAAAAATCACGAACATGATTCTTCACGCGTGGCTCCTTCGTCGGTCAGAAATGGCCGACATTGGAAATGAATGTGAAATAGGAAAACTCAGAGAATCTTTCAGTGGAACTGATCAGAAAAAAAAAACACACAGCAATAAAGAATCATTGCTATCCATTCCTTATTTTGTTAGTTTTTGTTACTAAATAACAAAAATTGTAATGATTGATTGTAATCATAATGCAAAACCTGACACTTATCTAACAAAAAATATCTAAACTTTGACAAAGTTCTTTTAAAATATCTAAATATATGTATCTAAATGCAAAACCTAATAAAACTAATAAATTATCTAAAAAAACAACCTCTGTATATTTATACGGAGCGATACAGGTGGTTTATTTTAATTTTTAACGCATCCAGATGGTACTATATTTTTTTTTTAAGGATTTTAAAAGCATTCACTCTATTTAAATGTGAAATATTGCATTTATTGAAAAATAATAAAAAATGAAATATTTGTAATATATATATATATATATATATATATATATATATGTATATATTCTAATGGGAAAAAATAGCTCACGAGAATATTTTATAAATATTGCATACTATCATAAAATCCCCTCAAAATTGTAAATAATAATCAAAAATATTATTAAACAAATATATTACATTGATTTTTAGGCTTCAGTCACTTTTGACCGAGAAGGAGCCAAGTGTGACCCCTTAAACTAAGAGGTCCAGGGGGGTTAAGAGGTCCTTTCCCACTACAAGATGTGAACACAGGATGGCAACCATATTTTAGAGTTTATAATGTTATCATGACCGTTTTAGATGAATGAATTGTTTGAATGTAGTCGCCGCCATGATAATAGTCAGAAGACAGTCACACACAAGGTTATTTATATCAGAACAAACATTACAATGTGCTGCAAAACCAGTGTATCATTTGCACTGGTTGGGCAGTTTTAGTCACTGTTACTCATTCATGGTCTTGTTTTTTTTTTTTTTTTAAATACAGCACATGTTAGTAATGCTCATAAACATCTGTAACCCTTAAAAAGCAATAAAGTATTATGTTTTTCTGGTTTAGACTTTGTTACTTTCATCAATTATAGTGTTTTGTTTGATTCAAGAGTGTGAGAATATACGTATTCAAGGTGCTTTAATGTTTTTGAAAGAAGTCTCTCATGCTAACCAAAGCTTAAAATAACTCTTTTCTATTTCAATATATTGTAAAATTATTCAGAGATGGCCGACTACATGAACTGAACAGCTTATATGACGCATGAAAAGTGGTAACAAAACCAAAGATCGATGTATAGGCACAATATAATGCACTAGGCCTCCATCCTTATTCAGGCCTAAAGAACTTTCCAACTACAGTTATGTTATTAATAACACCAAAAAATACCCTCAAAACCTGTTCAGACTCTGCACATGATAGTAGACTGATAATAAGACAAAGTTCTTCATGTTAAAACTCCAGGGTTGTTTTGTGTATTTCATTTTTAGGTGTTTGAGTCTGTGTGAGTGTTATTGATGCCATGTAACGCTTACGGCGATTTGCTCTGTAGACCTCCAGCCGCTGGGCCTCTGCAATGGGGTCTTCCAGAGCTCCTTCCCACCTCAAGCTGTCCTGTCCAGGGTGGGTCAGATCAGATTTGTCCTCCTCAGTTGGAGCCAAAGCCACTTCTGATACTACCTTGGGGTTTTTGGATTTGCTGCTCTTTCGTTCTTTGGCTTTGGCATGACCTTTGCCCTGAGCATCACTTATCTCTCCGTTGGTCCACTGCTCTGTCTGTAGTTTCTCTGGAGGGAGGATGGATAAAAATATATATTATTTCATTGGTAGCCCTGAAAAATTACTATTCCTATGCATTGAGTACCAAAAAAATACCTAAACATCCTTAAAGGGATGTGTGTGCACAAACTGGTGTGAGGGGATGTGATATTTTTAGGTCAAACCGTACTTGTCTGTGTTAGTCATATAATAGAGGTCTATGGTCACCACCTTAAAGGCTGTGGTTCAAGAGGCTTAAAGGCAAACATATTCATACTAAAAGCAAAAAACTTTATCATGTTTTCCATTAGCTAACGTTACTTGCTTAGCATTTATTGCATCAATGACCAGGTTCAGTTTTTAAAACCAACTCCTTACCTGAATCCTTAGTTTGGTTGATACAATTCCTCGATTTCTTTTTCTCCTTTGTTGTGTCTTTCATTTTCTTTTTGCTCTCTTTCATTGTGGCAGTCAAAGGTGGGACGTGAAATCCCTTTTTATCTGAAATCTCCTGCCGCGTGTTTGTTGTTTGAGAAGCACCTTTAATCCGTTTTTCTCTAAACGAAGCCATTACTCGCGGCTTTCCCAGCACTTTAAAACGAGAACATTGCTTGTAAAGACTTTGAATATACTTTAAATACAAATTTCGTTTTAATGAGCATTAAAAAGAGATATTATTTCATCAACAGCCATAAACGACAGAACTCGGCGTTCTATCAAAGTGAAGGTCGTTTGAGCGTGATGACGCATCTCCATGGAAACCGAACTCCTCCCATGTGCCCAAAGGGAATGGGGGAAAAGCCAACGGTTTTATATTTTCCACATTTATAGACCATAAGAGCACTTGCAATGGAGTAACAACACGCATAATATATTTAATCATCACTAATTTTATTCAACTGTATACGAAAGAATAAATACATATCTGCTTTTGGCTCAACAAGGCCATCAGTGCTGAGCAGCCAAACTTAGTAACAGCAATAAAGGTTACAGAAGGGAACCATAAAGAGAACTACCATCCAAACATTTTTAAATGACATTTTATTAACAGACGCAGACCTTTGTGGCACTATAAATATTGGTTTGTTATATACATTTTTTAAAAACAATTAATAAATAAACACTTGTTTTGTTTGCAAAATTTCGCATACAAGCCACTTTTGAAGCCTCTAGTAACTCCAAATCTCTAAAAAAAAATATTTACTTTAATGAAGTACATATTTAAAGTGAAATATGTAAAACGAAAAAGTGAAAATGAAATAGAATAAAATAACTTTGTGTAAAGTGAAAATAAAATAGAATAAAATAACTTTGGGGGCGGTTAAGTAAACTTTTACATGTACAGATGATTGGCTGAAAACGAATCGTCTATGAGCAGGAGACGTTTTAATTGGTTGGAACCGGTTTAGTCCCGCCCCCTGTCTTGTGAGTCGAGGCTTACCGTTGGCTGAAGTTGAAGTCAGTTATAATCTACGGAAGTCAGTCGTCATAGCGAACCCTTGACGTCGCAGATCCAGTGGCCAGCTGTTACTAATCGCGTCACCCCCTTTGCCAGCTGATCGCAGACGCCGGTAAACGTGAGAGCGAGAGGAGAAAACGTAGGAATCTCTTTACATGCGAGGTGAGCGTTTGAATCTATCAACTTTTCAGACATTACCCACAGATCCGTAGTGAATCTAATCCGCAGCCTGCTTCGAGATAAAACAGCTTTATTCGCTTCGGGGAAAGGCGAGGCAGTTCACTTAGGTGGGGCTGAAAAAATCCGCTTCTGGGGTATAACGTTACGAACGCTTTTTCTTTTCGCCATAAAAAAACCCCGAAAGATTATAATATTAGAACAGGCCATCATCGAATATGTTGGACGCCGGGCGGAGGTCATTACATAAGTTTCATTCCATTATACCGGCCAAACTTCCAGCCTACTAAAGCCTTTACTCGAGGACGCAAGCCGGTGTCAGTGTAATCTGTGTGTGTGTGTAAAGTTATTTCAAGAAAAATGTAATCCAAAGACATGTTGAGAGCAAATATAAGATAGTTATTCAGTACAATCACGTCAGTCCTTTTTTTATTGCTGCATAGATGCCAACGTGTCTGCTAAAGTGTGTTTCCTCATTTGGTTGGGTAAGAACATTTCTTATGTAATTCATTCACCTCTGATGAGGAAATCTATGTAGATTGTGCTCGAAATTTGACGTTACAATCGGTTTTGCTGGTTAGGAAGTGACGTAACAAACTATATAGGCCTATATATAATGTTTTAATACGTCACATACTCAATACTGTAGTTTTTCGTGTGTATTTTAAGTATAAAACATACATATACATATTATTTTTAGTCTAACAGAATTGTATTTATAGTAGTAATCATTGCATAATATGTGCCCTTTTTATCCTGTGATACCATATAAGTTAGTTACCCTCAACTTGTGCTTGGTAATGCAATAACCTTTGAATGTCACTGAATGAATGTACTGGCATGGTTCACCATTTTATTTTATTTTATGTTGTTTGTCAATGAAATCTACATAAGAATGTTGTTTTTAAGCTATATTTAAAACAGACATGTAGAGAGCAGAGCAGGCCTCAAATGCTGAGTATTTTCCAAGACGTCACTCTGACGAAGCATATCAGCCAAAGACCTTGACAAGACGCTCTACGTGACATTTATGTATCTGTGGCTCTATATTATTGGTTTTATTTTCTGCTAGGTTAGTATAGCAAGTCAACACTTTTTAACCAGGCGTCTAAAAATAGACAGCTCGTCTGAAAGTCACAGTACCATAATGCAGGTACAGAGAGCAAACTTGGCTGCCTTTTTCTCATGTATGAGGAATCAGGTTATAAACCCGGGCTGTACTTCACCCTGTTGTGGATCTGAATCATCATCTGTAATAAAAAATTGACGCAACCACATTTCTTTATATGGATGATCTCAATGGTGAAGTACGTGTGCACCATAACGGTTATCATGATGAGATGCCATCAAGCAAGATAATTATTCGCATTCAAAGACCTTAACTGATCTTTTCTTGCATGAAAAGGAATACACGTTTTTAAATACACAAGGCATGTTTCTGTATTGAGGGCAGTGCATTAAAATGGCCACCATTTGCCCTATCTGCAAAATCCATGGCAAGTCAGTACTCGGTCACATCTGATTCAGCCTCGGGCTTTGCAGTGCGATGTGAGTGTTTCTTTCCGCCCTTAAACGGCAAAGAGCAATGGATAAATCTTCCCACCCTGTTCCTCAGTTCACGCACACACTAACTGATTCAGTCCTTTGTGTGCTCATAGATATCACTTTGTCAGCCCTGAGGAAAGATATCAGCATTAGCACAAAGTAAGAGTTTAACTGTATGCTTGTGTATGCCTACTGATCATGTTGGCTGAAGATAAGCAATTTAATTGTTTGTTCTTGTGCGAACGCTTTAGATACCGAGGGTCGAACACGTCTTGGTACCAGAAGACACTTTTTGTATTAACAATGTAGGCTAGTGTGTTAGCACTTAGCAGTAGCGAGCTGACCTTAATGTTTCCCTTTTCCATTCACGCACTGCAGCTTGTGTACACCCAGACCAGATCAATAGATCGACTGGTGACAGGGGAACGAGACGAGCGTGTTCAGATATTCAAACACTGTCAGTACAGTTCTTTTAGGCTAATTTGCTAGTCCTGTTGCGACACCCCTGCATATTTCTTTATCTGAAATCAACTATTCATTTTATTTAGGTGATTCATATAGCATGTAGTGAGTCAAAAGTTTTGAGATACTATATATATATATATATATATACTGTATATTACACACTAATAAGAACTAATACTAGAAATAATTTACTGATTTTTTTTACAAAGAGTAGAGGCCACAAACTAGTCATGTCATGAATTTTTTTTTTTTGCAAAACTCATTATTTTTGTATAAATAAAATTCACAAAATTTTAAATTTGAGGCACTAAAAAATTGTATTCCTTTTCACACAAATCATGATTGCATGGGCAGATTATTGGTTAATAAAGAATTACACAAGACTATATTATGACCTCAAAACAGTTTTTCTAGAGCTGCTCGATTCTGGATATATTGAATCTCAATTTTTTTGTTTTATCACGATTTTCCCATGTCAGATTTTGAACAGACTACTAAACCAAATAAGGAGTTTACTAGAGGTTCTGTCAAATCTTAATTGCTATTTAATAAGGTTTTATTTGTAGGAATTATTAAAAAAAAATTGTTTTATTGCTGGATGAAACAGTGTTTTTTTGAATGAATCTCGAATGACAAATACATTTAAAGTCCCCGTGAACCGGAAGTTGCAAACGACTTTTCTCCAGTGTTGTGACGTATTTCGGAGAGAAACGGAATACTAAATGAGGCAAAATAGTGGGCGTGGCTTTTTTTTCTAACTAGCACCTGATTGGATCTAGAAAAATAGGTGTTTCATTCTGAAATGGAGGATGACACAAGTTTACACACGCTGTCAATCAATGCTCGCTCGGCGCTCGCTAACACACAGCAGCTGTCAGTTGGAGGGGCGTGGTTATGGATGTTAAGGAGACACCCAAACCGTAAAGCCTACATCATCGGTAGGGTTGGGTATCGAGAATCGAGTATCGATTGGAACCGGGACTAACTTTTCGTTTTTCCCGGAATCGTTCAAAAGTTAAAATTTCGATTCCTAGTTTCGATATTCACAGTCCGCCGAGCGGAAGAAGAAACCGCTGAACAACACCAACGAAGAAGCGTCTACCGGAAGTGTTGGCATAACCGCGCGAGTCGAACATGAGTAGCTTATGTCGGCGGTCCAAAGTGTGGCTTCACTTTTCTAAAAAAACCGAAATCGCGGCAAAATGCAAAATTTGTGACAAAAGGAGTATTTGTGACAGAAGGAGTATTTCCTTCAGAAAGGATTATTTCCTTCCGAAAGACCGTTGGTTAGCAAGGTTAGCTAAACTTTTTTGACCCTGCCTCTTAAAAGAATCGGAATTGAGAATCGTTAGGAACCGGAATCGAAACAAGGAATCGGAATCAGAATCGTTCAAATTCAAACGATACCCAACCCTAATCATCGGGCAAGGTCCTCCAGTGCAGAGGGGAGGGGCATTTTCAAAATTTGATTAAAGATTACGGAGCCAAAAAATTTTTTTGTGTGGATTGACTTGCATGTATTAATTGTTCACCACAACGATCAATTTAGGCAAACAAAGTAAGTATGGTCAATTTTGATTTCATAGGGACTTTAAGCCATTTGTTGCCACCTACTGGTGAAACGATATAATGACACAATCTTTGCTTTCAAGCGCAAAGTTACTTTCAAAAGGCTTCTGTAGACTGAATCTGAGCTATAAACTTATCTCGACACTTCTGTAATGATTTTAATTTTTTTTAAGACAGAAATAATGACACTGTGTGGTTGAAAAGGCTTTTTGTGAAGCGGTTTCAGACTTAAACATGACAACTGATCTCTCTGGCTCACTTTATCCACGGTTTAATACACAAGGCGAATCATTGAATCATTTAGGAATTACATCACGTAGGTGTTTTAATCAGAATCACAATCTTTTAATAATGAATAGTGCAGCTTTTACTTTTACCATAGTGCCTGATGTTTATCACATAACCAGCTCCATATGTCTTTTCTAACATTGTAAACTTGCTCTGTTGCTCACATGGTACAAAACGAGTCGCAATAAAAGATGGCCTGGTTGCTTTAGTAAATGTGTTTTTATCGCGCATTTGCTTTTAACGCCGTCGGTTTGGTTTAGAGTAGGTGGTTATCTTTAAACACCTTACAGATTATCTTTAATAGTTATATGGAAACACAAAAGGTGATATTTTGTAGAATGTTCGTGCTGCTCTGTTTGAAATAATGTAAGTGGATGGGGACCAACCTCAAAGTGTGCTTGACAGACTGAAAGTCTTAAGTTTTAATAAAATGGTCACCATTTAATCTCATTATATGGAAAGGGGAAGCTTGGTCGTTCTTATAAAGATCTTGTTTTGTGTTCCACAGATGAATAAAAATCATATGGGTTTCAAAAGACATGGGGTGAGTAACTGATGAGAGAATTGTCCTTTTCTTCTTTTTTTTTTTTTTTTGGTGAATTGTGCCTTCAAGCTGCCAACGTGAGAATGAAACATTTGAGTTATGCGTAATAGTCAAACTGTTTATCGTGTTTGTGATTGTTCTGTGCATCATAGATCATAGACATTATGTCTGAAATGTGCTCTCAAGGCCTTACCTTGTCCTCTGGCCTCCACCCCGAATGCCTGCTGATTCATGTCTGCGCCGGCTTGCTGGATGGGGGAGGGTGGAATGAACGAGGGACACGGAGAACTGAGAAAGAATGGTAGATGATTACCAAACGCAGCTCAGGGAGGGAGGGAAGCAAGATGGAAAGTGCGAGAAACCTAAATCTTTGTCGTAGTTAGCATGATTCAGCATGCCACTTATTTATTTCCTTGTGCGATGGGAAATGTATGTAAACTGGAATGTTCTGCGAGTTTATCTCAGCATTTCTTGTTGGGAATGACAGGCGTTCTTTGTGAAACTCGAGCATCATGATTGCCAAAATTGTTGCGTTCGATTAAATTCAGTGATGCTTCACAAATGTGCAGCCGCTTATGTGGAAGGAATGCACTGACTGAAACCACTAGAGCCCATAAATAATGGGAATCTTAAAGGATAAATGTCAATTTCTTACCCAAGTAATAAGTTCCATGATGTCAAATAAGATTGTAGTTTAGCTTAAAGGGGTATTGTAATCTAATATTGTCATTTAACTGCATGTTCTAAACCTGTACGACTGACTGACTGAGCACAAAAGAAAACATTTTGAAGAATGTTGTTAGCCAGCCATATTTGGTGACCATTGACTTTCATTGTAAGAACGAACAAAAACAAAAAAAAGTCATACAGGTTTGGAATGACACGAGTCTGAGTAAATTATGAGATAATATATGTTTGAGTGAACTAACACTATTACATGAGCTTAGACTAAATATTCGTAATATTTAATATTAATCAGCCCTTAACAGTAGAAATGGTTGCTTACCCTAATTCTAAAAAAAAAATGTATTTAAAACCCTAAAAATAAATATCTATATTAGGGCTGTGCAAAAGGTAATTGCGATTAATCGCATCCAAAATAAAAGTCTGTTTACTGTTTACATAATATATTTGTGTGTGCTGTATATAATTATTTTGTATATATAAATACCTATGCATGCATATATTTAAGAATTTTTTGCGCTTAAATTCTGTATATATTTATAAATACATAATCTATGTTATAGAAATATTTTATATATGAATAACACATTTTCTTAAATATATACATGCATGTGTGTGTTTATATATACAAAATAATTATATACAGCACACACAAATATATTATGTAAACACAGAATTTTATTTTGGATGTCGCAATTTTTTTAATCGCAATTAATTTTTGCACAGACCTTATATATATATATATAGTAAAATATATTATAGATTTTACTTATTTATATAGATTTTACTTATTAAATAGTAATGCATTTTAATTGTGTTTATTTTTTAATGATTTAATTTTTTTGAACTCTTTAATCTACTTAAGTAAAGTGACAATAATACCGGGAAATTACATAGTTATGAAAACAAAAACATAATACCATAAATTAATGTTCAACAAGTTCATTTCAACCAAATGTATCACGTATTTTACATTACGTTTGAAAGGCATAACATTTTACTGAATTGAAAAATATTCAAAATGATATTGCACTGACCCGTGAACTGGTCAGAAACACTCAGGACAAGCTGGCCTTTCTTCTTATTGAACCAGTGAAGTGTTTTTCATTTTGATGGTTCTTTGTTCTGTCACAGGAAATGACTGATGTGACGCGTTCTCCTCATGCATGCTGTAATTACAGGGAGAACATGAAGGAAAACTGCTGTGTGTTAGTGGAACATATCTTGCATTATTTGTGAAAAGTAATCCATCTTGTTTTTATCTTCTAGGATTGTAGTGGATTCTGATGAATGAATATTGGCTGACCTACTGCAGTTCTTCCCTGGCAAACTTTATGAGCCTGTCCTGACGCTAAAGCTGCCAGCTGAAGAACTGTTGTGGTCAGCTCTACCCAGCATGCACCACTTCATTTTGAGACTGCTGTGGATTCTGGATCATCTCTGTTTGTAGATATTTGATGGACGATATTTTATGTTGAAGGAGAAAATATTTCTTAGTGAAAAAATAAATAGTCAATAAATGTTTGGTAAATGTTACCAAGCTGGAAATTCAGGATGTTTTTTTTTTTTCTTAAACTTATTTCAATTTTTGGAGGAGAGTAATATTAAACTAACTGAAAATGAGTTTTATAATATATATTTGAAGTATTCTGGATATTTTGCATGACAGCCATCATTAAAAATAATATTCTGTACATTTTAGCCTTTGCAACAGCTGCTGGCTCCAGCCATACAACTAAAGGGGGAACTTGCATGTGTCCAATAAACTGAAGTCTCTAGTTACCATGGTGCTTATTGTCTCATTCACATTAGCTCACAATTTTGAATCTGTTTGAGCATGGGATAAGGGTACAGTGCACATACTACATCTGAATGATTTGTGGTTCAGGCAGCAGCATTAGTGATGCACGGAGACCACTGAATCACTGTCTGGCTTCAACAGGCTGACTCAAAGCCATTGTTTGAGGAATATTATGAGGATTTTAATTTTTTTTTTCTGAGGGAGAGTGTGGCTTTTGGTAATGATTAGTGCCAGATGTGTGTTGATTCCCCTGACTTTGCTTTTTTAGTGGAATGTTACAAATGACTTGGTAATAGTCCCCAAAATGGATTTGGTAATGACATTAAAGTTTAAAATGTTTGTTTTGCTTGTCTAAATGATGAATCGGCATATATATTAATATAAATTTCATGAGATACTTAGATTCACACAGTCACAATTTATTATTGGTGGGAAGATCGATGCTTCGTGAAACACCGACACTACGGTGACCCCTAGTGGCCAGAACAGTGTAATGCAACAAAAACTCAGGCCAAACATGCATAAAAACCTAAACACTTTTGACAAATCTGTTGCAATTTTTTTTATTTAAAAGTAAAATATTTCAAATGCAATTATCTAATCATATTAGATTATCAAGTGTCTATTTTATCAATTGTCAGGGTTTGTTGAATGGCTCAGCTCAACAGGGCAATACGAGACTAAAACTACCATTATTAATTTTGATTATACTGATTAAAACGTCTACAAATGTATAAAACTGATCAGAGATCAGGTAAAACCAACAAATACTTGTTAATTGGTTTTCAGTGACGACTCATGATCATGATTCATGGGTTGGCAGAAATCATCGCCCCCCAGCGGTGAACCATTGAAATTTGAGGGGTTTTTTTGTTTTTGTTTTTTGTTTTTTTAGTTATTATTACATGCTTGAAAAGAAACAACAACAACAAAAAAAAAAAACCTTCAGCAATTATCGTCATTGTCATATCATAATACTGAAATTTCGAAACAGTTATGACGTAATGAAGCCTGGTTTACTGAAATCACGTGATACACGCTCCGAACCATTGATTCAGGACAAAAGAGTCGTGGATTCGAAGCGGTGTTTTGAAATTGCAATCACTAAAATTTATATTTGTACCCCAAACTAATTGAAATTATGTAAGCACATAAGCGTTTATATCAACAGGGTTGATTTTAAAAACAGCTTAAATTAGACTATTTTTGTGAATTCTTTATTAAAAATGTCTGTGTAGGTTTTGCTATATCTGTCAGGTAAACAAAATCACACTGACAATTTCAGACAAGATAGAATCACATGTAAAATCGAGCTTTTAACTGAAAGGTTAAACTAAACATTTATTTTTCATAGGAATGCTATACATTACTAGGCCTAAATAGTGGGGTTATCTCCATAGACAGTAAAAGAAATGGACACAGCGAACCCATAGATTTCAACAGAGAACGTTGGAAGGTTTCCAATGGAAAGCATATTTAGCTACTGTCTGATTCGTTTCCCTATCTCAGAATTAGTAAATATGTTAATAAATGACTTCAGCATCTATTTAGGGGCGGGGGGACGCTTCAGAGAGCATTTGAATCTGATGAGAAGCTGCAGGTGCAGGTGATTGGCAGAAATAAAACATAGGTACATTTTGAATGCTTATATCTTCTAAATGTAATGTTTTGGAGCACACTACCTTATGGATAACCCATAGGATAACATCAAACAAAAAAAAACTTCAATTTTGATTTCAAGGGGACTTTAACTCGTTTTTTTTTTTTGTATTAGGATGCAAAGGTAATTTAATTTACGATGGTTTACGATGATGATAACCGTTTAATCGCGTCATCAGTCTATGAAAAGGGACCAAAGGATGCGCTTGAACTTAACTGGACTGAAGGACGCAGGACGAGTATTGTTGTATTATGTTAATGTTTATTTTCTTCTATTCAAGCGTTTAAAAAAACAACAACAAATAAAAAAATAAATAAATAAAGGATGCGCGTGTGTGAGTCCACCAATCAGATGAGCCGGTGGGGCGTCCTCCTCACAAATGCCCGAAGCAAACTGTTTGATTTACTCCAAGTGTCTAGATTCACTTCACCAGACAGTGATGCGAGTGGTAAATACTGATGAAGTGGATGGACGTCCAATAACAGGTGTGCTCGAGCTGCTCTGCGAACAGTTTGATTAAATACAATCTTATGCTGACAAATTAGTAAGTGTTTAGGCTAAATTTTATGTTGTTTTTACACAAAGGAGATTTATTCTGTAAGAGATGGCTATAAATACGGACGCCCGTCACGCGACACAAGTCCTGCGCGAGAGCGCCGCGCTGCAGTCCACCGATTTCGGAGATACTCAGAAACTTCTTGACATCTCAGACAAAGGGCTGAAGAGAGAATTAAACCACAACGCCTCTGATACACACCTCGTTGCGTCTCTTGCCTCGGACAAGAACGAACAGACTGATGAAAACATTTACTCAGTGCCCTGCTCCCCATCGCGGGTCAGTTTCAGCCGCGCGCCATCGCCCACGCCCGGAGAGCGCGAGCCATGCAGCTTCATGTGGGTGGCCGTGATCTCCTGCTTCTGCCCGGCCGTTCCCATAAACCTGTTCGCGCTTTATTTCGCGCACGTGGTGAGTATTGCCAACGTTTAAATAAGGTTACTTGTGACATTTAAATGTTTAAATTACGTTTAGAGTTTCAGTAATAACTCAGAATGCAGAGAGAGAAAGTAACTTGTTTGATTTTCTGTTTAGGGCTGTGGCTCTTGGGGCGCCTGATAGTTCATAATGTGACTCATGGGGCCACCAACTGTTCAATTGATCATAAAGCTTACTTATTTATGGTTTTCTTTCTGTTTAATTCAGTCTCGGTCCATGATACAAGCAAAAGATTATGATGGGGGCAGAAGACTTGGACGTCTTGCTTTGTTGCTTAGTGTTGTTTCCATTGTTGTGGGTCTGGCGATAGTCCTTTATCTGGTGATTACAGGTAACCATCTCTCTTTTTCTCTACACACACTGCACCGTCACGTCACGAACTTCAAAACTATGAAAACTGTCAATAATACAATCAGAATTCTATACTAATATATAGCTATTGTCCACAACTAAGTTGAAATGAGATAATTGCTTCTGCACACTTAAATGTCTCTCATTTCCTTTTCTCTCTCCCAGAGATTGACTAGTCCTGGACATCCTACATCCAAAATTGATGTAAACGGGTATTGGAGCTGAAGAAGATGAATGATAAATGCCATGTGAAAAAAACAAAGTTAGATTATACATTTATGTAATATACAGTAGTAAATTTGTTTTTAGGTTTTTTTTTTTCTTGATGGCTTTCAGCCATTTTTTTTTCTGTTTTGGCAAATTAAGCTTTTTGCGTTATGATGTTTAAGCACAAAATTAATTTTGCAATAAATCTTTTTAAAAAAAAGCATTTTCAGTATTATTTTCTACATAAAACAATCAGCTGCACAATTTTGAATTCCATACATTTTAACTCTTTCAAATAAGAATGATTCCTATGCAAATTTAAAACTATAATTTTTTTTTCTTTATTTTTATTCTTTAGTACATTATGCCAATGTATGCATGTTGCAATGAGAATATGACATCTGTTCATGAAGCTGGTGCATACAAAAGCACATTTAATTATTGTAATATGCATTGCATTTTATGTAATCTGTTTAAAAGGACAGTTTACCTAAAAATGAATTTTCTGTCATTATTTACTCACCATTATGTCATTCTGATGAACTCTTAAAGTATTTTTATTAATTTTGATGCAGCCGTATGCAAGATCGCAAGAACGCAAGAGTGAGGTATGCAGTGGAGATATAAGTATGTATATCTATAAACAGGGATAAAGACTTTAAAGAGGGAGGTATATGAGCTGGGTATAACAAAAAAATCAAGGGCTATATTCAACCAACAGCACATGCATGTCTGAAAAAAACAAAACGACAGGTGCATTCGAATTGTGCAAATTTGCTAAAATGGTGCCATATTTTTGCACGTTATAAATTCAACTGAATATACTCAATTGTTTAATTCATGTTATTTTTGCAGATTGTTTTCATTCGCATAGAAAAAAAAAACATGATGTATTCTGTTTTTACAAGGATAAAATGAGGTGTGGTTATTTCATTTAAAGAAGTACATCCTGTTCTGCCGTCAGCCATCCAGCCGCCAGAGCAATGCAGATCAGAGGAAGCACGTCTGGTAATTGATATCCTCGTCACATAAGTGCATTCCTTGCGTCTTTACATTTACTCATTATTGGCCTCAAATGGAGGTTATTATAATTAGTCTAATTTGGTGAGCATATGTTAAGACAATACTGCTTTAAATATTATTTTATGTTTTACGTCTTTTGATGTTGTTCCTGGTTTTGACACGGATGCATGATGTCTAGCACACAAAGACATTTGTAGCATAGCAAGCATCTATTTTCCAAACCCACAGAACTTTTGCTTTCTTCCGGTTCATAAATGATCCACTAAACCTCCACTAATGGCTGTGTTCAGATGGGGATAGTTAGAACGATAAAAGCTCGTAAATGGGTTCGATGCAGAGGCCAATATCACAGAGCAATATAGGCTATATACTAGTGTGTATTACAGTATTTGCCTTTAAAACATACTAAAACACATTTTATAATATATTGCTTTCACTTCTCCAGTTTAATCAGATTGGAGATAATTAATAAAGTATTTAGTGTTACCATTTCACAATCATTCTTATTTATAAATTAGCTTATTGCAATATATTTTAGAATGATCTTGTACAAAATATCACTAAAATTAAGTATTTGATGTGCAATCTGACAGTTTCATTAGGGGTTCAAGCACGAAGTGCTGAAACCCTATTGTTATTGTACTGATTTTTATTATTATTAGGGGTTCAAGCACGAAGTGCTGAAACCCTATTGTAATTGGTAGGATTTTTATTAGGTGTTCAAGCACGAAGTGCTGAAAACCTATTGTAATTGTACCGATTTTTATTATTATTAGGTGTTCAAGCACGAAGTGCTGAAAACCTATTGTAATTGTACCGATTTTTATTATTATTATTATTATTTTTCTTCTGCCGTAAAACGCATCGTGCAGACCAAACCGTAAGGGCCAGAGCTCTGAAACTTTGTCAGATGGTAGTACAAAAATCGAGGAGAGGTTATCAAATTATGAGCCCGATTGGCCCATAGGTGGCGCTATAGCGACCAATTGCGCGAAGCTGCTCATAACTCCTAAACCGTAAGTCGTACACTCAAGTGTCTTATATCATTGGAAAGCTGGTCACCTGACGAACAAAACGTATATCTCCGATTTCATTTCCGGTATGCAAATTTTTCGGCTATTTTGAATTTTGTCGAAAAACTACTTTTGCGAACTAGTCCCTGGTTTTTTGCCCGATCGGAACCAAACCAGTGCAGAAATGTTCTCTGGAGTCTGATTATCAATAATCATTGAAAAAAAGTGGAAATTTCTATTTCCGGTCGCTAGGAGGCGCAAAATAAACGTTGTGGGAGGAGCCTATTTTACTAAAATGGCTATAACTAAAGAAGTAAATGAGATATCTTCACCAAACTCGGTACACATGTGTATGAGTTCAATTTGAGGTCACAGTAAAAAAATAACGACGATTGAACACTAGGTGGCGCTATAAAACGGAAAAAACAGATAACCACCTAACCGTCAGTCCGATTGACTTGAAAATTGGTATGCAGTGTCTTGGTCCAAGGCCTCATGTACGTTTATGAGGACATTGGTGTATCTCAAAAAACATGGCCGCCATCAGCCAATGAACTTTGAGCACCCATGAAACAAGGTTAACGAAGGCCGATCGGAACGAAACTCGTTGGGAATGTTCGACTCATGGCCCTAGAGGTCTGTAAGAATTTTGAAAGAAATTGGCCACTAGTTGGCGCTAACGAGTTTTATGGCTCTGTAATCACGTGGTTTGCACACACCCTCACAATATGTATATCAATTGATAGATCTCCTCATGCTGAACAACTTTGCTTCTAGAACCATTGCTGTCAATCAAATCGTTCGTTAAATATTCACGAATATGTCAAAAACCTACTTTTGCAAACTAGTCCCTGGTTTTTTGCTCGATCGGAACCAGACCAGTCTAGGACAATTCTCTGGACTCTCTAGATCAATAACTATCAAAAAGAAGTGGAACTTTGACATTTGTTTTGCTATAACAGGGTCATTTACAAAAGTAGGCGTGACAAAATGCACCCAAAGCCTATAAATCCTAAAGGAAAACTCAGAACATCCCAAAAATTGATGAGCATATGTGTCATCACATCATTAACAAGCATGCAAAGTTTCATGGAGATCGGACCATAGGTGGCGCTATAACTGTTAAAAAGCTTTAAAACCATGTATTTCCATATGGTGAATTGCCAGTATTGGCTGTAAATGGTGTTTTCCATCTCTGATCATATCATAATGTTAAAACCAGTGCATTACAATTCTCTGGACTCTCTAGATCAATAATTATAAGAAAAAGTTGAACTGCTTCTTGTGGATGGCTTCAACATGTACTGTGTTGAAGCCATCTACTACTACACTTTCAGTGTCCCTGAAAGCGTTGATCTCTTCAATAAACAAGTCAGAACACGTGACATTAAATAATCATGAACATTTTCAGACAGATCGGACAAAATATGCCTGTAGAACAGTTAAAAAGGTGAAAATGATGGTCTGTTAAGCCAATAAGTGGAGTTTTACTGCCCCCTGCTGTTCAAAATAGTAAGTTGTCATGTATAATTTATATTATGACTTTATCAATTCACTAATTTAACATTTACAATCACATTTAGTCAAAAAGTACTATGACAACTGTCATATTGAATTAAAATCTACACACACTCATTCAGTTGTAGATAAATGATAAGAGTAACTACCACTGTTGTCACTGTTTTTAACATAGTTTTATAACATTAGATTACAAAGAAATATCCCAAAGGTGTGTGTGTGTACATCTCTGATCATATCATAATGTTAAAACCAGTGCAGTACAATTCTCTGGACTCTCTAGATCAATAATTATAAGAAAAAGTTGAACTACTTCATGTGGATGGCTATAATCGATGGCTTCAACATGTAGCCTTAAAATGAATGCTCAGATCACAAGACTTGTTAAAAACAAGTCAGAACACATGCCATTAAATAATCATTAACATTTTCAGACAGATTGGACAAAATATGCCTATATAACAGTTAAAAAGGTGAAAATGAAATCAACATGATGGTCTATTAAGAAAATAAGTAGTGTTTTAATGCCCTCTGCTGTTCAAAATAGTCATTTTTACACTACTCAACTATAATTCATATTATTACTTTATCAATTCACTATCATATTTTGTCAGAGTTTATCACTTCAGTTGTTCTGAGTTTTCACCTAATTGCTATTAACGTGGTAAATAGCTGTACTATATTACCAGAATCACATTGAAATCCATGTTGAATCTTCTAAACGCAGCACACAAAGATATGCATTTCAACTTTCAACTCCCAGCTCAATTACTCAGCAACACCAGGATGGGTGTTCAAGAGGGCTCATTGAACACTAAGGTCTGAGTTTCAGATTTTTTCACTTTATCATTCCCGAGACATAAGTTAAAAAAAACAAATTTCCCGTCATTCATTTCAACAGTTTATGTAGGTTGTAAAACCAATGTTGTCCACTAGAGAGAGCAACAGCATTGGTTATTTTTAATCTTTTTTAACCAGTTTCCAGCACTGGCTAACAAACAAATGCTCAAATCTATTTATTATGTTGGAAATAATATTTATAATAATTAATATTATGTTAACCCTTTATGACCTGCCATAGAACAATTTCACTAGAGTATATCTTTGCATTTTTACATGCTGTGCTGTCATTCTTTTGAGCATTTTCAAATGCCACACATCAAAATTATCCTTACTCTCCCAATTTGAAGGCTATGTTTGTAAAAAAAAATCAATAGAAAGAAGATAAATATCTCAAAAGTGCAATAAACAAAAAGAAAAACAATTAACAAAAAATCTACATAATTTTATTCAATACAAAAAATTATAAATGTCAACCTTAAACTTGTCAATGTGAAAAACTTGCATTAAACAATTTAAAACTATACAGAATACATCAATTAGTTTTGAATATACACTCATTCAAAAAAGGGGGTAAAAATGCCATGTAAAATATTCAAGTACATTGAATGACGATTGAACACTAGGTGGCGCTATAACATGAAAAAAACATACTGTGTACACACAGTAAAACATACGTCAACACATGTACTGTGTTGAAGCCATCTATTACTACACTCCCAGTGTCCCTGAAAGCATTGATCTCTTCAATAAACAAGTCAGAACACGTGACATTAAATAATCATGAACATTTTCAGACAGATCGGACAAAATATGCCTATATAACAGTTAAAAAGGTGAAAATGATATTAATATGATGGTCTATTAAGCCAATAAGTGGTGTTTTACTGCCCTCTGCTGTTCAAAATAGTCATTGTCACACTACTCAACTATAATTCATACTATGACTTTATTAATTCACTAATTTAACATTTGCAATCACATTTAGTCAAATATTAATATGACAACTCACATTAGGTCCTGAATATAAAAAATGTGTAATCTACACACTCTCATTCTGTTGTAGATAAATGATATTAATAATATGACATATTGTATATGAA